AATATGAAAGGTGACATTCCAGAGAAAATTACCAAGGCAGAATTATTCATAAGTGGTGATAGCAGAAAGTGCTTAAGGCCTCTAAAAGCTCCCTCACAGAAAACTACTACATGAAATGGTTATGAATACGCGGCCTGATGGCTGAGACATTGTTTTACACCACTTTTACAGTAAAGTTTTGGCCTAAAACATATTTTTTGTAAAATAAAATAGTCCCTAAAGAAGATTTTACACACAAAATCTCCAAGGACATGACAGGTTTTAGAGACTGGTTAAAAGAGCTGTCTTTGTAGTAGACATCACAACCTCTGGTTCCTATCACCACCACTGTAAAGAAATGAAAATGGATAAGTTTCTGTACAATGAGACGTCTCACATCAAATCACTCTAAATGACTTCGTTTACATCTCACAGATAGAATTATGCAGAAATGATGGAAAATGGGTGGAATTCCCCTTTAAGGTGTCTCCCACTGCCCTGCATGTTGTTGTGTTTTCTCTGCTCCAACACATCCAGTTCACCTTTGTAAGGATGTGTTTCTTAGTTCATTAGTTGCGTCAGGTGTTAATGGGGGCAGGGAGAGTCGACAGTGCGCAGGGCAGTGATCCTCCAGGACCAGGATTAATAACCACTGGGTTAAGGCAGCTGTTCACTAGCTAATGCTAAAGCTTCATGCTCTCGAGGACGGCATATGTAAAGGACCATGTGGCTTTGTCGAGGTAAATGTAACCCAAGTTTTTAGGTTCCAGTATTTGTTTTTATTTGAAATATCTAAACCCAACATTTTTTTATTGAGAAGATTTTTCTGAAACCCTGCAAACAGTTGGGTAGTGAAACAGAATTCAGGGGCGACCACCGTTTGACTGTAGCAGAACGACACATTCCTAGGATTGCACTGTTGCATTTATATTTTTGTTCGGTATATTATCTGATTATTTGTTACTTTTCAAAAAAATCATTTTATTATGAGTTAAAATCATTTCTGACCAGACTCTGTAGGCATTATGAGCGTGTCACAGGCCCCAAAATGCCTACATGCACATACTTGTGGACCACTGCACTATAGAGAAGAAAAACTTACAAACTCACATTGATATTTTCTGTATTTTGTATGGTCACTGTTTTACGTTTCTAAACTGACTGGTTCTTTTCCATAAAATTGAGGTTACTGAGCTTTTTATTTGAAAATTCCTGGAAACTAAAAGTAAATTATTAAATTAAGAGTAAATTATATTATTTATGCTCCTGTGTTTTGAATAACAAATGCACTGAAATGGTAGTTGTAGGTCAAGGCTGATATCCCGTATTTTCCACATACACGCCAATGCCAAAGCAGATACATAAACATTTATAATATGTTGAATTTGGGACTCGATCAACTTGGATTAGCATTATAGGGAAATATAAAACGGATTTCTGTAGGGTTAAAAATGCAGCAAAATGAATGATATGAAGATATGTTTGCACAGTAGCCCAGCACCACCTATACATTAAAATAAATACATTAAATTTTAGTTTGAAATTTTGCTCAAATCTAAACATCTGTCCAGAGGTGATACATTTTTTAAAGCAATTATCTGCCGATACCAATATGGTTCTGATATCATCGTGCATGCCTAGTGTCCACTCTTTGTCCTTCATCCATTTCAGCATTTGGGCAGTTTGGTCAGGGGTTGAGCGTGTGTACGTCAGTGATGTGACACACACCTCAGCTCAGAGGTGGAATGAGATTTGCCTCTGGCATAGTGATTTTGGTTGAACATGGGTGTCTGGGGAGTGGGATCAGGATGGGCAGGTTTACTGCCAGTCTGCCATCACTATATATGGAAGAAATAATGACAGCTGTCAGGGGACTGGAAATGAGAGTCTCTGTATTTTTTCATCATAGCACACTGGATGATTATGTTTCACAAAATGACACCTTTTATGACTCCAAGGCAGCATAATGACATACTGCCGACAACAGTGACTAAATAATGCATACTTAATATTGCCAGGTCATGGTGCTGTATGTGTTATATCACTGCCAACTGTCAAGTGAAAGGGATGATTAATAAACCTGAAATGTTTACAATGTCTGAGTGAAGCAGGATTTAATAGAGCCCACTGCACTATACTGTGACGAGTCTGTCCTTTCATGCCATTATGTGCGTTGGTGTGTGTGCACTCCTCTGAGGAGCTGTCCTCTCTCTGTAGAGAACACCCACTGGGCTCTGGCTGAGATCAGGTCAATGCGTCAGAATGGGGGTTTCATCTCTAAACACTGGCTGCTCTGTTCTCTGGCCCTCCATCAATGGAGGAGGACAGGATGTGATGTCACAGCAGAGGCGTAGGTAGATTTTAAAGAGCTTCAAAGAGAATTAACTAGGTGAACAACTAGAGGTGCGCAATATTGGTCTTATCCACCCAAAGCAACTGTAGATGGTTAATCTACAGCAGTGGTCTCCAACCCTGCCTTCCTGCCTAGTTCCAACCACCATTTGCCAAACCTGCTCCAGCTAATCAACCTCTTCCCAAGTCCCTGATTGGCTGGTTCAGATGTATTTAGTTAAGGGCAGCTTATTGGATACAGGTTGGAACTAAACTCTGTAAGAAGGTAGCTCTCCAGAGACCACTGATCTAGACCCATTTATTGAATAAAGATTGGCGTGATACAGGTACAAATGTCCAAACACAGAATTTGAAATCTTAGAATATTTGATAACATCAGACTGAACTGTTTAAACAGCACAACAGCCACTCCAGGACTGCAAATGACCGCTTTACACTGATGTTCAAAGCACAATATCCAGGAATTCTCTCAGAAAAGAGAGCAATCTGGCAGCAACTGAGCAGATTTGGTTTTACTCATCCTAGATTGCATGAGAAGCACAATGAATTAGTGCCAGTTGAGCGCAGAAATCTATAGAACGACTGGGTGCAAATAGAGTCTGTGGCTTGAAGGCCAAAACAGGCCTGGAATGGGCTTTTTCAGTAACTTACTGCCGTTCATTCAGAGTTCTGTCTTACTATGGAGGCCCATATCAACCAGACGAGCTTCTGCAGGATGAGAGAGAAAGGGCGGAGTAGCAGGAGGAACAGGATGAAAAGATGGGCACTTCAGCAGCTATCGAGCAGGGATATAATGGGGCGGTAAATTAGTCGAGAATGAGTCCGGGGGTTTCACTGACCTAGATAAGACTCCACTCTGATGTTGATTTTCTCAGCCAGTCGTCAAACTGAAAGGGACTTCATACAGTAGGTAACATGGAGCAGTCAAAGGTGTGGCACCTCTTCCTTCATCTAGTTTGGGTTTAAAGATTCACCCCATTCATATGTAGATAAAGCCTAACCTGAGCACTTCTTGCTTGATGTTATTTTTAATACATTTCCTCATTCACTGGGCTGTCAATGCCTTGCTCTTCAGCATTTTGTTGGAGGCCTGGTAATATATCTAGAGATCATCGTACAGATTAAATATCACCTTGTCATGAAAAGCAATATGGTGAAAGAAATGGTCAATCAATGAATGGTCAGCACGTGTATGTACTGTATGAAGCACATATGATGCACAAGTTCTCCTGCTACATTTTGCTGCTGTAAGAACAAAACCTTTTATCTCTATTTTGTCATTTTTCAGTTTTTGACATAATTTGAAAGCACCCGTGGTCCTATACATTGTTTGTAAATTTCATGATGAATAGACTGACAGAAATGACCCAAAAAGACTTGGAAAAAAGTCTGGTTCCATTGACTTACATTAAAAGTGAAGTATGTTTTTTCCTTCTCCTGCAAAGTTACATTTTGGAGATACAAGATTTTGGTCCGGCAACAGCGATATGTTGGTCAAAATGAATGTTTGGTGCACTTGTTTAAATTGCGTAGGCTGAACTAGTTTCCTGATGCCTCACTAAAAGAGAGGTTGACCACATCTGAATGCTTAAGTGTGATTAAGGAGATGCCATCCTGCATCCTCCATTGTGCAGTGAAAGGTCAGGCCGCCGCATTAAATCTAATTGCTCGAGTTTGGGTTATGCAATTAATGGGGGCCACGCTCTTCTTTTATAACATCTTTAATGCCTTTGTAGACCTAATTTGATTTTTAATTGTAAAGGCATCGTCTGAAGGGAACTGTTTATGTAATACTGCGTAGCTGTTGTTCATGTTGCGCTTGCAGACTGCAGCATGGTATTCCTAATGTACTGCTGATGCACAGTACTTTCATTCCTGAGCTACTCTCTATATATGTAGAATGTTTATAGTGGGATGTTAAAGCTGTCTTTGGGGCCAAAAAAAAAAGATGTCCAGCAAGCTGTTCTTTACGTACCCTGGGGATATCCTACTAACTGGCTGTCAAGCAATGTCCATGACATGGAGAAGGCTAGCACTGATGGTACACCAAGGTCCTCAGGGTTGGATTTTTATCAGCTGAGCTCAACAGTCATGAAAAACGCTTGTTACAATCCCACTCATGAAAGCGCCCGGTCTTCTCTTTTCTTGCTATTTAGCGCTCTGCTGCTCTGTAAACTCAGTCAATGTTAGCATGGAGTCATTACTTTATGAAATTGGCATGTATATGTATAAAGACCATGTGAGAAAACAGTAGGTTTCTTTGACTGAATATATGAGTGTCTATCTATGACATTTAATTAGCCTGGATAAATTAAACTGCTTAGTTATGATTATAAATCTAACCGACCGCTGTAATTCCTAATCCTGAGCTGGTGAGTGAATCTCTGGTGGTATGGATCTAAAGAGGGGACAGCACAGGCTTCAAATGCCATGCTTACCCCTCTAAGCCTTTAAATCCCACTTGTGTGGACTAGACTGGCACCAGTCCTCACAAATCAATGGCCTTCTAGGCCAGCAGCCATTTAGAAGAAACGACTGTAGATGTCCGGTCAAGTGATCTGTTATTGTTTAAACGCTGACTGAAGGGTAATGGAAGAATTGCCGAACAGTTCTAAGCTGTTATGTGAATCGTATCATGTATTTGTTTCTCTCTTTCTCTCGTTTCCCAGCCCTTCCCGGACTCCCAGTAGATCTTCCCAGTTGGAGACCAGCTCCACCCACTCCATCCAACAGCCATGGCAGATGACGCGGACATGCGCAATGAGCTGTCAGACATGCAGCAGCGTGCTGACCAGCTGGCCGATGAGGTGAGGGCCAGTCACTCTATGCTTGTGCGGTCATCAAGGCACTCTCTGTAGCTGTTAATGAGTAATCAAGAAACACAAGTGAGACCACAGACATACTGATAGGCCAAAAAGAGCAGGAGCAGTGAAGTATGCCATTGTAATATTTCAATTTTTTCAATTGTGAGGTTGTGTGGAGATGGATGAACTTAACCTAAGAAGGTGAGCCACACTGGCTAACAAGCAATCAAACATTCCATCAAAGTAAATTTCATGGATTACCAATGCGCAAAAACAAATAGCACACAATCCCAGTCTTACACTGTTTAGTTGATTATCACTGTGCTATAACCACTAAGCTGTATGCTGTATGCTATTCAGCTGTAAAGACGCCCACCGTGCCATGTTCTACTAACTGTGCAGCGATAGCCTCACTGGTTTTGGACTACCAGCTTTGCCAGGGATGCTTTAGGCTCTTAATCATTTCGCATCCTCTGCAGAGGGACGGTTTAGATGGATCGTGGACCCCTAAAGTTGTTCATCATTCTGTAGCTTCTGTAGCTGTCTGGCTGTGTCAGGCCTATATTATATTATATCATATATCATATATTATATATTATTATTAACTACAGGTCCAGGCAGACTTTGTCTAGAAATGAATGGCATTTTTCAAACAGGGTACATTTTGTCCTATGCATATTTTGTTTACCAGAGGGCATGACAGAGCCATTTTTCAAAAAACATTCATTTCTCTGAATTAAGAGGCCATTAACCAGCCAAATGATGGCTATTGCTACATGCAAGCTCACACTTCTGCATACTGAACTGATATCATAAAACAGGCAACTTCACTAAAACACCCCACACAAACCAGTACGTTTTGCCAGATGGGGTAGTTAAGTTGTTCTGGCAGTAGTAGCCAACAGTTCGAGTAGCTGATGTTAGTATATAATAGTGTTGAAGTTCAATGGTAGACTTATTTTCATGCAGTGTCATTTCAGTGAGCAGCAGTGTGAGCCTGCTTGTAGCATGTATGCAGCATTGCTTATAATTTGACTGGTAAACAACCTCTTGAACATTTTTCTTGGACAGAAAAGCAGCTAAGACCCAGAATTTGTAATACAGGCTTGATGGCATCTACAGAATGATGACAGGATTTTAGGAGTCTATCGCAAGCTCTGTTTGTTTACTTAATTCAAATGACAGATTTCTGGTTTCGTATCTTCTCCAAGCTGTGACTGTGCAACTGACCCACGCATGTTTGGATGAGTGTGCATGTGTGTTTGTCAGGTGTAGGGAGGGTCCACCTGCACCCAGGCTTACGTAATGCTGCAGCTTTTGTTGTTTGTGTGTGAAGCGTGTAGATGCGTGTGTGAGATAGATAAAGATAGAGCTGGGTCTGTGTATGTGTGTTTGCATGTGTGTGCATGCGCAGTCCGAGCTCCTGTGGAGCTTCTTTCTGCCGCTCCACGCTATGAATCATCTTCACAGCTGAGCAGAATATTAAAACGCCAGCGCAACACAGCTACGTGCTGCAAAAACATCTTGCAGCTCTCTCATCTGGAGAAAGCAGGATTCAGCTACCTCACACACAAACACACACACATACACACACGCTCGGTTCTCAGTGTCTGTCATCATAATGTCAAAACAGCCAAAGAAAAGAACTTTGCTTTAAAAAAACCTGTATTTGGTCTTAGTCAAAAACATCGGCAGTTAAACTGTAGGCCTTTTAACAGCGGCCATTTTGGATCATCCTCGTCTGACTGTGAAGCGGGGGTGTCTCTCAGCGGGCAGCGAGGCTGTGCTGGGAATGGGGGGGTGGTGTGTTCCTGGCATAGGCTCTGTTCTTCAGGATCATAGGGTGTGGAAAGCTACAGTGGGTCTCTCAAACACTCACTCAATGCCTATCCTTTGATGTTCCTACAAAAAAAGAACTGTAGAAACGCAATAAGAAACTATAATATTGCTATAGTGTTGTATAATGTGTCTATAATAACCTGTACTACATTCAGCTCCAAATAATATTCCTTTAGTACTGGGGGTACACACTTGGCACATGACCGGTTTCATGATATTTTGAAAAAGATTCGAATTAAGGACAATGATGACGACAAGCATGTTGTTGCACAGCTTAGTAATGACACCAGCACTTAATAAACTATAAACCAAATTTACCAAATTTACTGTCCTATCGGAATCATGTACAAATTCCTGTAGCATTAGCATTGTTCTTTTTCCTAAGGCAGAACAAATCAATCTGCAGTGGCTTTCCGAAAAACAGGAGCCACCAAAATAAAACATGAAACAGTATTAGTCATGCAAAATGTTGCTGGAGTGTTGACTCTGAGATAAACTCCTTCAAGGCAAAATACACAAGCAATAATCCACAGAATTTAGTATCAGTCTGGAATTCACTGGAGAGATTTTTTCCTGAATGTTCTTACCACCACTTTTCCCAAGTGTGGTTTGTTGTCTGAGATATTTCAGATACCGTGTCAAAGGGTAGCTCTTTCAGTAAAATGTTCAGTTATGGCGTTTTCCTGCTTGTCCCTAAGACTGGAGTCCACACCCAGGACTGATTCTGGGCTCGTGTGAGGGAGGGGCTCATTATAGCTGGTTTAAATTCACACACAAGAATTCCATCCTAATCATGGATCGATTGCACAGTTCCATACGTAACTTTTCTGCGTGCAGGTTGCAAAATGGACGCCCTAGCTTCAACCATTTGCTGCTTTTTATTATTTTTTTTGGATACAAACACTTAAGCGGGTTGTGGCCATTTGCGCTTGAATGCCTTCTTCGATCCAAAGTCCATTAGGACTTCCATCTCCTCTGCTGTCCACAACAATCCTTTCCTCGCCATCATGAAACTTGAAAAGGGAAGTGATGCGTTAAGTCAAAGCAGTCATCTCACAAAATGAACCAATAATGCAACTCACACATGGCGCTCGCTCGCAGACAACCGCACCAGAGTTCACTGGAAACAAACCACTGATTTCAAGAGAACCAGAGATCGGACCTCTGGACCGCACCCAGGCTCGAAAACAGCTTTCACACTTGACCAAACTCGCAGAGCAAGCGGTCCCGGGTCCAGAAAAACCTCTTGTATGAAAACACCCTTAGTGTTGTGATCATACTAACTGCTTTCTCACTGATTAGCCTGTATTGCCACTGCTTCTCACATATCACAGGTCATGAAGATCTTTATCTGCTGGATCTTGCTTCCTTTTGTAATGTCTACTTTCTCTTTCCACAGTCACTGGAGAGCACCCGTCGTATGCTGCAGCTGGTAGAGGAGGTAAGTCCTTTAACACGCACACTACTCTCAATATTATACACTTAGCCATGGCTGCCAGAACAGTGAAGACAAGATTTTAACTAGCAATTTATTTAACTAAATATCAGTTGCAGTATTTCTTAATGCTACCTCACCAGTCTCTTTTGAGATGCTAGCTAGCAAACTATCTGAGCGGAAATGAAAAGTTTTTTTTTGAGATGTTAAATTACATTAAATGCATAGCTGTTACAGCTATGACCCAAGCTATAGATTGTACTGAATGTAAGTATGGTAAGTCAATGGGCACTAGAGACAGCAGCTTTTGGTAAAGTATGGGGAGTCCAATGAAATGTGGAGCTACTGTAATATTTTAAAGAAATACCTCAACAAAAACTGCTAGCATTGCTAACTGTTCACTGCTAGGACAGTTTGTTGTTGGACGTGTTAGCATTTTGTGGATGAACTGTTATTTTCAGAAAACAGTAGATTGTATCTAATCATTTTTATTTTATACAGCTACTTAAACAATGTAGATTGTAATACTATAAACTAGACATCCAGTGGTATGTTTATATATCACTGTTGTGGGAAGAAAACCTCGTATCTCCAAAATCGTAACTTTACAGGAGAAGGAAAAAACCTACTTTACTTTTAATGTAAGTCGATGGAACCAGAATTTTTTCCAAGTCATTTTGGGTCGTTTCTTTTAGTCCATTCATCATGAAATGTACACACAATGGAAAGGACAACAGGCACTTTCAAATTACGTCAAAAAACGGAAAACGACAAAAATGGAGATACGAGGTTCTTCCAACAACAGCGATGTTTATAGTTCTTAAATAACAAATAATATTCTGTAATTGTCTATTTATAGTCAAGTTATCTGCTATGAGATTTGTCCACTCTTTTTCAAAATATTAATTATTATTAGCTTTAAATTCTCAGTGCAACACACCTGTCTCAGTTATTATGGAATCCTCTACATCACTGCAGACACATCCAAAATTTCTTACATTTTTACAGATTTAGAAAATTAAACTCGCTTTGTGTATGTCTGCAGCAAAATGTGTTGTAGTACTAAAAACGTTTGAATGGTAGTGTACCAAAAAAATCACAAAGAAAAGGCTACACTGCAATCGACATTTGGGGAAGATTCATTGTGGTATATTGAGCGACTAGAGTAATGCTTCTGTCTTTGGCTCCTGTCTGGCTGTGGTCAGCTGACCGACCGGCTGCATAGCCAGGAGCAAGTTGAGCCATTCTAAACTGGGCTAGACGGGACCAGGGCGGAAAGAGAGACAGAGGAGAGAGGGAGAAGGAGAGACAGGGGAGGAGGGGCTAGCAATAGCAAGCCTCTGCGGTATATCTCAAGGTCATATTGATAATCAGTGACCATAATTGCTGCAAAGTGCACCTCCCTGTGCCTATTAACAGGCAGAAAAGAGAACAGCAGTAAGTTGCTAGGGAGGTGACAAACGGTCAAGCGGCCTGGAGAAACCCTCCCTGATGGAGGGGAGGGGTGAAGGAAAACGGAGGACAGAAAGATGGGTCTGGAAAGCGGCACAACACTCAGCCAATGATTAGTCATAGTGACCGATGGGTGAAACGCCCCTCGCTGGCCCCCATTTGAACCTACTTTGGCTTGCGTTAATCAAATGCGTCATATTATGTTCATCTAGCAGCAACTAGAGGTGAATTTCTTGCATTATTTACCCCAGAAAGCACATTGAATTTATACCAGATGTTCTAGCACTGTTGGGGATTTCACCCGGTGCTAACACGTCAACCCCCACGGATCTTTTTAAGCCAATTTTGGGGTTCCTACTGCTGCTTGGGTCTAAGGCCTGATTTATAACACTGTGCAACTGCCTGATTATCCAAAACATCGATTCTGAGTTCCCTGCTCAAAATGCTGATGCAGTAGTTCTCCTGATTTACGCTCTGCAAGCCCAGGTGTTATATTTATCAAACACTTATAAACGATGTAAAACAGGACAGTGCAGCAAAAATGCCTTTACCAATCCTACTCGAAGTGTTTTTATGAAAATAAAAGGTGTTTTGAGACCCAGTGACCAAACAGGGTTGAATGCAGGACAGAAAAAGTCAATACTTCCATCAAATCTAATCAATAACTAAAGCATTGAGTGCTTACTATTCAGCACATCAACATCTGTGATTCAGTGTGTCACAGCCACACCCCAGTGGAGCAGTGGGGGTTCACCACATTCATTAGTAATCACTGACTGTGCCTTAACTGAATTAGTAATGGAGAAATCTGTTCAAAGCAATCACCTTTGTTCTGAGTAGAAATGAAGGTGCATCCGCCTGCATGTCTCTCCCTTTATAAACTGATTGCCTGGCTTTGTGCTTTTATTCCACACATTTAAATCACTAAAGTTTGTCCGTCATCACTGTACTACATTAACTTTTATCACCATTATTAACCACACAGGAATGAGGAAAGTTGAAATGACTCTGATAGGCGATTCGTTGGATTAAATGATTCTAATTCATTTCACCTTACTTGATAACTTATGTACACATTACAAGCAAAGTAGGTGCCTAAACTTTAGCTCGATGCCAAAGTCTAACCACTGTCATGTTTTTATTTCTGTCATTAACTATTCACTGTCCTCAAGCCAAAGGTAAATGACACTGCCATTATTGTTCTGTGGATAACGGTGAGTTAGGCCCAATCCCATTTCTTCTTTTTACCCCTACCCCTTGTTTTCGAGTGTCACCCTAACCCCTTGGAACTGAGTTACAAGGGGTAGTGGTTGAAATCTTGCCCTACGAAATGGGACAAACCTCAAATAAAGAAAAAAAACATTGCTTCATTAACAGCTACTAGCGCTGCTCTGTAGGCGACCCGGCCCGTCTTCAGTGATAGCAGAGAAGAGAAGTGTTCAGCTCCTCACTGCTGGGCTTTATTTACATTTAGGGCATCATATGCTTTCAAAGAGGGGGCAATTATTTATTATCACCCACCACTAATTCTTTGGTGATAAGTCAGATATTCACCAGCATCTTGTTCGAATTTTCCCGTTCCACCTTAAATGGTGCAGCAGTTACATTCTGGTGCTGCAGGCGTCAGAACTGCTTGACTATTTAAGGTGGAACGGGAAAGTTAGCTAGCTAGCTAAAGAGACATTAGCATGCTATTATTAATTCTTTATGCTTTTTATACCATAATACATTGAATCGATATTAAACTAATATAATACAGTGGTTATCGTAATCGAAAATTCTCACATTTGTGGGTTTCTTTGGTCGCTCACGCCGCCATCTTGCCTGCTTTTTTTTTTCTCATAACACTCAGTTTGGACTCTGCCTCTGAAAACCTTCCTTTGGAGGGCCATGTAGCCCTACCACTTCACCCTACCCCTCTATCTCAACAAAAATCAGGACACCTTACCCCTAGACATGAACGCGCAAAACAGAGGGCTAAGGGCTAAGTGGTAGGGGCGACGGGTGAAATGGGATTGGGCCTTACTGTATAGGGGGCTCAACACCTGAAATCAGACATTTTCTCCTTTAAATCCCAGCTGAGGCTTCAGAGCAGGCAAAAAAACAGAGCTTTGGATTTTAACATCAGTGCGCTCCATCATTTGACGGCTGCTGCTGAGCCCCTGAGTTAGATGCCTAATCCCCTGGATGCTTTAGGGATGCTGAAATATTGTACCCCCATCTGGCCTGTCAACAGTGACCTTGACAATGAGCAATGACTGCACAACATCCCAGCTGTACAAAATAAAGCTTGTTTCACTTTACCATAATGTTCCATGAGTTCTAGAAACAGTTTGCTTGAGACCCGCAGTTTGCTGCTGGACAATACGCACCTGGAAACAGGGGTCACATCTGGAGATCCTTCAGTATATCGTCGCTGTTGTATCAAAACCTAATAACTCCATCTTTTCCATTTAATACTAACCCTTGTGTGGTGTTGATGTGTTTGTTACTCAGTGGTCTGGTGGACACAGCCATAACAATTTATGTAAAAACACCAGATGTTTAAAATATCACAAGTGGCCATATAAAGGTACAATTTCAGAGTTATAAGCTTTTGTGACAGCAGTAGTGATATGTTAAGGCCTGACAAGCAAGTGTTTTCAAAAAGGCTCCACATTAAGACCACAATTATTCCCCTTAATCATTAGCTGACCACAAGTTCATATGTACGAAGAGGGCAATGCGCTGTGTCGACATATCCTTAACCACTGACTGCTCATGATCCTGGACCTTTCACGGTTTTCCTTGACAAAGTCCCGCTTTCTTGACTCCAACTCTTAAAGAAACCCTGTAAATTCCTCCTACTGATCTTACCTCTGTCTTTCTATTCTTTCCTTCTTTCTTCTTCCCTCACCTCCATGCCACCTTGCCACCTCTCCATGCCTCTTGGTGCATAGAGTAAAGATGCTGGTATCAGGACTTTGGTTATGCTGGATGAGCAAGGAGGTAAGTCCAAACGCTTTACAGACGGATGATGACAAAGCATGATTTCCTGAAACACAAGTTAACTCTGAATCAGCGTTTCACATTTTGACTGTAGTGTGTGTAGCTATATCCATGTACAGTTTTCAGTTCATTCACACTAAATGACACACAAGTTGTAATGGCTGACAGCTTAATTAAAACTCATCACTGAATTAACTGATATCGGTAATTATATCTTTCCTTCCACTGTTTAAAATGTTAATTTCCTCTGCTTTCTTTTGACTAACAACTTTCTAAATCTTTTTTATTCTTTTGCTGACAAGTTTGCTTCTTTCTTAACTTCAAGACATTCTCTAGAATCCATTTTTTTCATTTTCACTAACAAAAGCACATGCGCATCATACGGCCACTGAGACTCTTCATTGATTGTCTGCATCCAACTTTTTCCATCCCACAACTGGTCAGTTTACAACTGTTCCATCATCGTAAATAAGGCCAACATTTTAAATCTAGAGCGAGTTTCTTTCTCTGTGTGGGGAAAAATAAAACGATCGAATTAGCTGGTAAAGACAAACGTTTCCCATAGAACACACTAATATCCTTTTTTGTATAATCCCTGGTTGAATGCCTCAAAACTGCTCAGTTATTATATCTTATTTATGATTAATTGGTGAATTAATTGGATTCCTGGTTTCCAATAACGCTGCAGTGGACCCACATTAAAAGCATACATTAGCTTGTTTATCTAAGTGTGATTTAGGAAACTGTGTAATTGGCCTTGCATTGGGCATTATCCTGAGTCGGGCGCTCTGATTGGCTGCAGTGTGGGAAAGCCCCCACTCAGAAGCTGATGATTACTCTTGTGCGGTATGGCTATGAAAGGGATGAGCTCTTCCTGCTCCAGACCTTAGGGATTGCCGTCGAAAGCCTATTTAAACGAGCCCCTTAGCCATGAGGTACTGTTAAGCCAGGCTTACTCTTTGACATTGTAGTCTGGCACTGTCATCAAGAAAGGGTGTGGGGGCAAAGCAGGCTGAGAAACTGTTGTACCTGAAGAAAGGCTAAATTTTCCAAATGAAAATGAATGCCTTCCTTGAATTTCCCCACTAATATTACAATAATATTCTTTCTAATAAGCTACCAATGGACCAGAGCTTTGGGTTCAAGTCCAGGGATTCTACAAATCTGACTAGCACTGTAGGTTTTTTTTCCTTCCCGAACCCATCCACAGTCTTTTCCTCCTCACAACATACCACACCAGACTTCCTCTCTACGGGTCACGGATTAAACGCCCTGTTCGCGTGGCCAAACAATCCCAGACTGCATCACCACAGGTCACACAGCCACCTCTGTCATGCTCATCCCTTACCCCCACCCAGACAAACAAACCATGAGCTACATACATTGCCTTATTAAGCCTCCGCCGAATGACTCAGCACGTTACGGCCCTTAAGCCCTGGGCGAAAGATGAGGGCAGTCTTTAATTCCGTCCTGAGGTCTAATTAAAGTCACACAGCTTTGAGCTGCTGCCCTCCTACAGTGACTCTTGTGGGACATGCTGTCTCTCTCTCCATTTGACCTCAGGGATCTGTTTCAAATGCACTGGGGAAAGTGTAAACAGCCAACAATGATTTGCTTTTTTTTTTGTCCTCCAGCCTATTACGCTTTTAATGGATATATCCTTGTGGAATATATGGAATATTTTCCAGCGGCATTTGTAGATCCATTCCAATGCATGTTGTCCCCACTAGGTACATTGTAGCAGAGTCGCGCCCAGCTTGATAGTGTTCATTTCTCCAAAAAAAAACAAAAGCCAATAAAATTCATTCCACTGCTGTCATCCCTTTGTCCTGACCAGAACAACTCGATCGTGTTGAAGATGGCATGAACCATATCAACCAAGACATGAAGGAGGCCGAGAAAAATTTAAAAGATTTAGGGAAATGCTGTGGCCTTTTCATATGTCCGTGTAACAAGTAGGTACTGACCATGTGACGGAAGGGTCTTTTGCGTATGTGGTGGCGTCCATTATTATTTTTTTTTTCTTTCCTTTCGTTTTCCTTTTGTCACAGTGACTGTCTGAAGTTTTTTTCTTTCTGTCTTCTCTTCTTTGTCCTCTCTTTCCTCCTTCCTTTCCTCCCTGTTTTCTTCTCACGTGCTTCGTTCTGTGGGGGATAAATTGCTTGTTGTTTAATCAGAACAACTGGAGCGCATCGAAGAGGGGATGGACCAAATCAATAAGGACATGAAGGATGCAGAAAAGAATTTGAACGATCTAGGAAAATTCTGTGGTCTTTGCTCCTGTCCATGTAACAAGTAGGTGCTGCTTGCCTGCCTGCCTGCCTGCCTAAAAATAAAAAATAAAAAAAAAGATTGCAATAAAAATACGCCTTAGAGGTCTTTTAGTGGCTAGTAGCCCTTGCCAGCAATAGCCAGACTCACCACCCACGCTCTTCAGTATGACCTGCCCCAGAGGAATTGATGAGCATGAGGCATGGTCGCACCCACACTCTCTCACACACACAACTGCCCTGCAGCCTTGCCTCCTGGTCCTCTGTGACTGAGAGATTACCCATCAGATATATGAAGTAAGGCATGCTGCACTGATCCTAAGGGTTGACCTTTCCACACACCCCTATCTGAGAACCGCATGCAAAGAATGAAAGGCTGGACCTTTCGGGACCGAAATCTTAATAGCCAAAGAATCCAGCATAAAAACTGTATGGATGTGCCAAAGTTGAATTAGTTGACTGTCCAAGTGTCAGACGTTGGAAGCAGAGCAACTCTGAACGTGGACAGTAACCACTGACACGGCCTATAGTGAACCAGGTTATCTTAATTTCAATAGATGAGACAGACACAATCACTCATAAACCAAACTTATAATCAGACCATTATTTGACGAATCCCAAACCATTCGCAATTTTTAATCCAAGATGCATGAAATAGGCCGACTTAAGCAGCAGTGCAACTCCTCTGCAACTTTGAGAGCACATCCATCAATGCCACTGGCTCGTATGACTGGAACAGCATGTCCCTGAATGCCAAATGCATGCTGATGCAACTCTTGCTATTAATAACAATGCTGCTACCTATTAAACAATGATGTATACTAACAATAACACTGCTGATGACCTAAACTTGACTTGTCAGGAAACCAGATATATCATTTAGCCATTAGGGTTTTACATGAAAGTGGTAGGAACGGAGGAAGACAGACCCAGAGATCTGGTCCTCAGCCGCAGTACAGTGGATAGAACTGTGTTTTCACTGGTTATCCCCAAAGGGGGAGCGGACCAGATCTAGGTCAGGCAGAAAGAGAATGGAGATATATTCTGTTTTAATTTGATAGCCCTTACTGCCGATGTCCTCGGTTGATACAGCCGAACAAATGAACATAATTCACCTCACTTCTTTCTTATGTATCGTGAAAGCAATACAGTTTCAGCCTAGAGCTTGAATGATATTCAGTTTTAGCATATCTTAATGGTTTCAGAGGGGGGGGAGGGGATTTCTCTGTACATTGTACATTTGTCTCTCATTTAGATCAGACACTTCTTCTTCTTTCACTGTCCTCTTCGTAGGAAAATGTAGCAAGGATGGCAAATATCAGCATTCCAGGCAGTATGTACCGGTTAGAACATTAGTTGCCCTGCCACATTACATAGAGCCTAACGCACTGCGAAGATGGAGAGTAGGAGAGACGGGGGAACTGTAGCCGTAGTCCATATCTATAAATAACACTGCAGTGGGAGGCCTGGCTATCTCCGTTTAGATCAAATCGAATAAGATCTGGAATCCAGGATCACTGAGCTGTTATCAAACAATAACACAATAAAATGTTCGGACTCATTTTAGACACTCAACACGACTGTGTGCTGAGAAAGAACCCCGGCCTGTCATTTTGACCAGCCGGACAGAATTCTCGCAAGCCAGTGGTGGCAAACAGGATCCAGATGGTAACCTTGTGATGGGTTCACCTGCTTTGCTCAGAGTGTGGTAATACATGTAGGAGTAGCGCTCGTATTCCATAATTTGCTTAACCCTCTGCTGCACGCATTATGAGAGAAAAAAAATTCAATTCACTTTTTTTTGCATGAAATCAACCTGATTATTAAATCCAAATAATAACAAAATAATAATGTGTACAGGGGTCCGTTTGGGGTATGTTGCCCTGAGGCAACATTGTGCTACAATAGGAAGAAATGATATAAAGCCATGGTGAGATCTGGCTTTGCGACTGGCTAAATCCATTCCACTGCCCCACAATGTTGCTTCTAGGCAACAAACATACTTCGGCAGTTTCTGGATGTTAAGAAAGAGGTTTAAAAGTGTCAATAAAATGACGATATTACCAAATACATCCTTTTATTGGCTTACTCAAACTCTTCCCTTTATTATTAACGCTGTCACTGTCGTTAAATATGTATGATGTTAGCGTAAAGTGAGGAAAATGTGTTTGTTGCCTAGAGGCAACGTTGTGCAATAGAGGGTTAACTATGTTCAACAGAATGACATGTTTAGGAGAATTTTAAGGTGCACACACTCCATTAGAGACTGAGCATAGAGACAGGTGATTCTTTCTATCAGTTTAGCCAGAATAATCGGTCTACTAGAATCTACCGCATATGATAAACATAATTAATATTCTATAAATATGAAAAAAGAGCTAAGAAAAGGGCCTAGGAATGGGTTCTCATCCCTCCAGTTTCTTTTCTTTTGCAGTTGTTTGCGCTTTGTCTCTGACGGTGTGGCAGTCCCGTTACTCTGTGTTGTCTGTCTGCCAAGGCCTGTCGTCTTTGTTATTTGTCATAATCTGAGAGGGGGAACAGCTCATAAGCACTGGGGAGGGGAAGCAGTCCAACAAGTAATGCAAGGGTGACCTCTGAGTCCCTTGTTTTCTTTTGCTAGTTATTCAAGTTCCCCTTTATTTTCCATCTCTTAAAGAAAGGTATGTGTTTCAGCGAACAAGCCATGTATGTTTTATGTCTACGAGATATAGCATCTTAGAGAGAAGTGATAGGAGAATTAGCTTGTCCTTGTTACTGCTTGCCTGGTAGTCCAGCATTTGACCATTGTTGTTTCTATGTATTGCTGGTCTGTGTGGGCAGAAGCTCTGCTCATACAGAGGTTTTCCGGTCACTTGTGTGCTCATGCTCCCGTTGACTCCTGTGCAGAATGAAGAGCGGAGGCAGCAAGGCCTGGGGCAACAACCAGGATGGCGTGGTGAACAGCCAGCCTGCCCGTGTGGTGGATGAGCGGGAACAGATGGCCATCAGCGGAGGCTTCATCCGCAGGTGAGGGGAACCGCTGGGTTCCAAGACACATGGTCAGTGAGGAACTGAACAAGTGCAGAAGGGGTTTGTTGCTTAGTTATAGGGTCATGAAGGGCTGGACAAGACAGCTGTGAAGCTTGAAAAGGCCAAGGGATGTCAAACGTATAGAACCTCTTAGTGTTTAGCAACATAATCTGAATATGTAATGCAAGTTAATATGGTGCTCTGAGAAAGCAAAGCATGCATGCTCACTACATCGCTATGTGTGCTTCTGTACAGGGTAACAGATGATGCCAGGGAAAATGAGATGGATGAGAACTTGGAGCAGGTGGGAGGCATCATCGGTAACCTGCGCCACATGGCCCTCGACATGGGCAATGAGATTGACACCCAGAATCGCCAGATTGACAGGATCATGGACAAGGTAGGGGCTAGATTTGAGTTTTAGTGCTAGAGTCAATATATTTTCACAGTTTATCGATGCTGCAATGCAGCATTACTCTCGATCTTTATACATCACATTTCACATATTGTGATCTGGGGCCGTATTACAGAAGATTCTCAAGTCTATCATATCTTATCTGTTTTGTTGTCATGGCAACTTCAGTTAAGATTGAAGTTAAGGACAGAAGCCATTACAGAACAACAGTCCTTAAGTCTATAATCTTATTTCCAGATAAGAAGACGGTATTACAGAAACATCCTGAGCTGCCAAAATATCCAAAATATTTTCTTAACTTTAAGATAAACCCAGAGCGTCTTACCTTCTGTTTTAATCGTGTTTCTATTGTTTTATGGAGTGATAGACAGCACAGTTCACTATAAGCAGCATAATGACGCTACATTTATCTACACTGAAAACGGTGCTTTGACTTCTTCAATTTACTTATTCCCTCTTATTACCTTTGTGTGGTAATGTTTCATTAAAACCCGTCAGATCCAACATTACAGTGATGGTGGTGAATAATGAGGAGACAGAGCTGAACGGGTGTCTGTTTATTAGGAGGAGTAACATTAGCGCGCTCGGCTAAAGCGTTTGGGAAATGAAACTGAAACTGTGGAGCGGAGACTCTGATAAACAGCACTAAGCACTAACACATTATTCTTAACTTTCAGTTTATCGCGCTTTAGTTTTATTTGACCTTTTTTACACCAGTAATGGTAGCTAACGTTAGCTGTCCGGCTAACTAACTTGATTACCTGTTTACGTTTCAGCTGCGCGCGTATGGTCAGTTGCTAGGTAACAGACACGACAGTTGATTGTCGACTTCAATCGAGAAAGTGAAGATTCCTAACTAGAGATAAGATAAAATGCCGTAAGATTAGATAAGATTCTTCAATTAACCCTCTACTGCACGTATTATGAGAGCAATTTAAAAAAAATATTCAGTTCACTTTTCTTGCATGAAATCAACCTGATTAATAAATTCAAATAATAACAAAACATAATGTGTACAGGGGTCCATTTGGGGTATGTTGCCCTGAGGCAACATTGTGCTACAAAGGGAAGAAATTATAGAAAGCCATGGTTAGATCTGGCTTTGTGACTGGCTAAGTCCATTCCACTGCCCCACATTGTTGCTTCTAGGCAACAAACATACTTCGGCAATTTCTCATAACAAAAAAAAAAACATACTGAATGGTAAAAAATTTATCAATTAAATGATGGTATGACCAAATACATCCTTTTATTGACTTACTCGAACTCTTCCCTTTATTATTAACCCTGTCATTGTCGTTAAATATGTATAATGTTAGTGTAAAGTGAGGAAATTGGGTTTGTTGCCTGGAGGCAACGTCGTGCAATAGAGGGTTAAGATCAGATTTGCTTCCGTAATATGAATATGTGAAAAATCTTATCTTGACCTGTCAGATCTTAAGACAAAAAGATAGGAAGTTTCTGTAACCTGGCCCCAGTTTTCTTAGTGATTAGTTTTTATCCATTCATTCTATTTATGTAAATAATATTGAATCTTAAAAAGTGAACTTCACAAGTACATATATAGCTACAACTCAAAGGTGTACAATGTATATCATTTATTCTCTTTACTCTTCGTCTTCTACCAGGCTGAGTCCAACAAGACCAGGATTGACGAAGCCAACCAGAGGGCCACAAAGATGCTTGGCAGCGGCTAAGCGTCTCAACCGTCTGCTTTTACCAACCGTGCAGTTTGTCAAAAGGCACAAACATGCTTTTATCATGGTATTTACCTTCTAGGTTTGCACACATGCACATATCACCTCCCCCCCCCATTGTAAATGTTGTTCTGTGTGCTGTCTGTCTGCTTTTTCAATGATTGTCCTCGTAAATGATTTCTTATACTCCGTATCATTCTTTCCAAAGGTTGTATATAGTGCTGACTCGATGGCTCTAGCTCACTTGTGAAGTTTTTATTCTCTTTATCACCTATATACATATATGTATGTATGTATACACATGTATGCTTATATGTGTGTACATATGCATATATATATCGCCTCTTTGCTGGATGAACTATATAATAGGAATGCTATACAAGCTGTCTTTCCTTTTCAGTATCTCAGTATCGTCTTAGTAAAACTGTGTCATTCCATTAGGCTACTGTCATGCTCCTTATTTTGATGTTGTCATGACAAATGATGAAGGGGTAAAAGATGACTAATTATATGATGATGCTGATACCAATACAAAAAGCACTTACAATATCTGTCCTTGGTTCATTTCCCTCATCACACCCATAATCAGTTACTGTTTAGACAATGTGCAACTAGATTCTGTAGCTGTAATAGACATTGCATTCCAAGTGATGTGAATTGTGCGTTATGCATGACAAATGGTAGATTTTAGAGTCTTATAAATAAAACTTGTTTTAAAAATATGAAAAAAAAAAAATCATGGCAGTAGCAAAAATCGACAAACGCATGCTCAGTATTAGGACACAGTTGAACGTTCCATATTCCTGCAAGTTTGCAATAGTGCAACTCTCTCTGTCAATATATATTTACAGACTGTGACCATCGTTGTAAAATAATGCAAAATGAAGAAATGTAACGGAGATGACAAAAAGTGGTGGTTCTGCAAAAATGACCTGTTTTCTAAATGATTATGCAGCTCAGTGAAGATATTGACTTAAGTGCTGAACGGTGGGGACTGGTTGTTTACTGTATCATAGGTTTTGGATGCTCTGAAAAAAAAAATTAAATAAATAAACGTTTGCAATGTAAAGCAAAGACGCATATTTCTGAGAGACCTTACTTTTTTAAGAAGACTGTATCCTGTTAGTTTTCTTTCCCCGTGTGGTTTGTTATTGGTAAAAAATGATAATAATCCATAAAAAAAAAAATTACAAGAGATTTTTTTTGTTGCTTCTGTACTTAGAGCTATGCACACCAAATCGCTGAGATGTTGAATAGTCACGAAGACAAATAAATACCTTACCTGAATGACACATAAGTTAAACTGTGAGATTGATGTCCTCGAAGCATGTAATATTAAAAACTCCCTCTGTATCCTGTCAGTCTGTGAAGTGGTTGACATTTTGTAGCTAGCTGAATTGATTAAAAGTAATATAACCCCTCCTCACTATGGGTTCTCATTATTGTTTCGCATGGATGTATGGAACCGACATCTATCGGAGCAGTTTATTTGGACGGATCCAGAGTGGCCAAAGTTGATAACCCTGTTAAAAACCCAAGGGGGGATTAATGGATTCATCAGTAGTAAATCATATACACCGATCAGGCGTAACATTATGACCACCTCCTTGTTTCTACGCTCGTTGTCCATTTTATCAGCTCCACTTACTATATAGGTGCACTTTGTAGTTCTACAGTTACAGACTGTAGTCCATCTGTTTCTCTGCATACTTTGTTAGCCCCCTTTTACCCTGTTCTTCAGTGCTCAGGACCCCCATGGACCCTCACAGAGCAGGTACTATTTGGGTGGTGGATCATTCTCAGCACTGCGGTAACACTGACGTGGTGGTGTGTTGTGCTGGTACGAGTGGATCAGACACAGCAGTGCTGCTGGAGTTTTTAAACACCTCAGTGTCCACTCACTGTCCACTCTATTAGACACTCCTACCTTGTCAGTCCACCTTGAAGATGTAAAGTCAGAGACGATAGCTCATCTGCTGCTGCACAGTTTGTGTTGGTCATCCTCTAGTCCTTCATCAGTGGTCACAGGACTATTCTGAGTCCAGCAGTAACACTGAGGTGTTTAAAAACTCCAGCTGCACTGCTGTGTCTGATCCACTTGTACCAGCACAACACACACTAACACACCACCACCACGTCAGTGTTACTGCAGTGCTGAGAATGATCCATCACCCAAACAGTACCTGCTCTGTGAGGGTCTATGGGGGTCCTGACCACTGAAGAATAGGGTAAAAGGGGGCTAACAAAGTATGCAGAGAAACAGATGGACTACAGTCTGTAACTGTAGAACTACAAAGTGCACCTATATAGTAAGTGGAGCTGATAAAATGGACAATGAGCGTAGAAACAAGGAGGTGGTCATAATGTTATGCCTGATCAGTGTAGACGTACACTGTTCATACACTATTATACACAGGAAAACCAAAGTATTTTTACTACATAGCACATATCCTTCACTGTCTTCCACCAATGACTTAAAAGCGTACCTGAGAAAAGCCAGTGAGATTATGACTACATTGTTTGAAGAGCCTTGTAGTTGTGGGACATCCTGTAATGTAAGTGGGTTGACCACAGGAGCTGTTGATTAATGAACATCAATTTGCTGCCACTGTAAAATAATGAAGATACATCATACTCATTTACTTTCATTAGACACTGCAACAACACAACACATCCCAGAGCACTACTGCTTACCACAACAGACAAAACAACAACTTCAGCACGGAAGAGTGGTTATCTACTAGTGAATCACAGAGGATGCACTCAAAATTGTGCTTGGTTATGGCTTTTCTCACTGTTACCCCCAAACAAAAACACAGCTGACGACAGTACGATACAGAATCAATGCACAGAAACACCACAGATACATTTGGCCAGTACATAAAATGTTTTAGACCCACAGTGGTCTAAGTGGAGACACTCTGAAAGCTGAACAAAACAGAAACGTGTTCATAACGTTTACTATTTAATATGAAGGCATTTCAAGAGACGTTCCTCTAAGTCTCTTAAATGTGTGGCAGGTCTAAGTTGAGCTTGGTTGAAGTGTTTAGCTACTACTTTGAATCCGACAGACTAAAGAACAGTACTGCAGTGGAATAAGACTTCCACAGACTGGTGATGAGAGATCTTGAGGACAGGTGTTGCAATAGGAAGCAATTCTCACTGTAACATACATTATTCATTAAAACAACAAAAACATCCACACTGGAGCTGAAGAGGGCCAGAGGACTGCAATCTGGTGCTTATTCTCTATTTTTTTTTTAAGTAGAACAAGAGAACCAATTCTTATATTAAGGCCCAATCCCATTTCTTATCTTTACCCCTACACCTTGATTTCAAGTGTCTCCTTGCCCCTTGGAACTGAGTTATAAGGGGCTGTGTTTGAAGTCTTTTTCTACAAAATGGGACCCTCAAATAAAGGAGAACATTACTTCTACACATTAACTACACATTAACAGCTACTAGCGATGCTCTATAGACGACCCTGCCAGTCTACAGTGATAGCAGAGGAGGGTGAAGTTCAGCTCCTCACTGCTGGGCTTCAGTTTAATTTAGGGAATCATATGCCTTTAAAGAGAGGGGAAGCGATTATTCTGCACATTAATAATTATTAATAATAATTATTTATTATCGCCCACCCCTAATTCTTCAGTGTTATGAAGCTGAAGTCAGCTACTCGCCAGCTTCTTGTTTAAATTTTCCCGTTCCACCTTAAATGGAGCAGTGTTTACATTCTGGTGCTTCAGGTGTCAGTGCTACTGGACGATTTAAGGTGGAACAGGAAAGTTAGCTAGCCAGCTACCGACGCATTACAATACTATTTTATGCTTGTTATGAAGAAAAGGACCATAATACATCTAAACAACATTAAACTAAGATAATACACTGTTTATTGTAATTTTGTAACTGAGAAAATATTCACATTTGTGGGTTTCGTTGGTTTCTTGGCAGCCGTCTTGCCAGCTTTTCTTTTTTTCTTAATAGCACGCTGTGTGAAGTGTGAAAACCTCAGTTTGGAGGGCCATGTAGCCCTAACACTTCGCCCTTCCCCTCTATCTCAACAAATTCTGGACACCCTACCGAAGGGCTAAAGGCTAAGTGGTAGGTGCGAGGGGTGAAACAGAACTGGGCCAGAATAAGTGTCAAAAGAAGCTGATATTTGTTAAACATGATGGAATATACACTGACAGCTGTGACTGCAATCTTACTTGCTGTTGTCCAGGGTTGCTGTATGTGGTGGTGCCATATCGCAGCACCCTTGGAGCAACTTGAGGCCATGAGCCTTCCTCAAGGACACAAAATGCAGTAGACAGGGAGGGATAAGGCCTTCTGGGACTACACCAACATCCCTCGTGGCTACGCTCTAAACCTCACCTGATGCACAAACAGACAGATGACAGAAGGACTCATACAACGTCCAGTTATACATGCATAGTGCGATCTAACTGGCGCCTTCACGCCAGATGCTGTCTCTGTTTGTAAACAGACTGACATCTGTTGCATTACCCTACTTTGTGTACTGTGAACAGATATGCCTGTTCGCGTTGGCAGGGTAAGATGCAGCACATGCCTCTGTTTTGTGTTTTGTTGCTGGACCAGACAGATGTAACAGGCAGCCAGTGGCACATCTCTCTGTTGTCTCCCCATTTTAGCTAATACAACTGAGACTGTGGGGAGCCCTGGCCCTCCTGCACAGGGGTGAATAGGGTTTCCTCTTTCCCACACACACAGGAGGCTGGCGAAGGAGCCGCGGCTGGCTGCGTTTGCGCTGCTGCGGAGGTGATTAAGGATGATGGTGATTTATGAGGGAGAAGCAGCCTCCGGCAGATGGGGGGACATTTTCAGTTTAACCTAACACCACCTGCCCACAAACATCTTAAAAGGATACTTCCTCCAGAAATGCTAACATAGCTAACAATGAATGGCAGCTAATGGGGAAGAAATAACGTGATGGAAACTGTTTGCTAGTTCTTGCCCCCCTTTCAGTCAGTAGTAGTAGCATTAGCATTTCAGAGTGCACTATCATTTTAACACTTTTGGAGTGCTGCATCACTTCTTATTCTGCCTCTGTGATAGCAGAATGTCTGCTCCTTTGTTTTGTGGTGCCTTTTTCAAAATATGGACTGGCACACCTCTCAGCCAATCACAACTGTGTGTAAGCACTACTTCCTCTGTCAAGCTAAAGAAAACATTCAGGCAAAACTCCTCAGAACAACTCTGGAGCATGAACGGCAGGGGTAGTTAATTTAGTCAGAGTTAAGAGGCTAAAGTACTGTTCGGCCAGGATTAGTTTTCCGTGGGGAGGTGGGGTAATGCCAGCTTACGTCAGGGGGTCTTTGCATAAAATAAGAAATCTGGATGACAGAGATGGGAGTGGCTACTCGGTGTATGCGCTGCATTTACTCCAGAAACTAGTAGAAAACACGCCAAAACAATTTAATTTAGCCGTTACTTTGTTTACTTTAACCAGCCACAGATAAACATACTTAGAAGCCGCGCTGGGTCCAGCCAGGCACGTCAATGGCGCTGCCATTTTGGGGAGGTCAACATCGCTGCTGGACTGCATTCAGTACCATTACAAAGCAGCAGTTTAAGAAAGATACTGTCCAAAATTACACTATTTCAAGAATATTGACTCAGAAAGTGGGAGAGGAGGCGCTCCACACTCATGTCTGTGTGATGTTTATGTGTAGATGGCCGTGTGGTTGGTGAGGCACAGAGAACCTGATGATGTGATTGTTTTTCCTCTGGTTTTATATTAAGCTTTTCTCATTTAACAGTCTATTCACCTGATGTAGTAGTTATTTATTTACAGTGATGTTTAATGCTTTGTAGCTGGGTAAGTTATGGCATCCTTAATCTGTGTAAATAATCATAATAGATGAACTTTAGCTTTTAACTTCTTACACACCTTCTTAGCCATTGTAAAATTCACGATACAGGATATACGCACACCTATGACCGCCTCACAATAACTGAACTGAAAAATTCTTGTGCTGTTAATGGAATAATATATTTGACTCTAATGCTGCTCACATGGACCACCTAGTGTACTGATGAAGTAAGACCCCGTTTTTTGTTTAAACTGAGGGGCTTACAGCTTCTATTCTTAACTAGAACTAGGATGATCAGCTAACAGACCAAAAGGCCAACAGCCTGAACAACTCCATCTTTAAATATCACAGGCTTGAGTTAAAGTACTTCCAGTATGATTAACTGTAGAACAGCAGTATAAAAGTCTGAAAATGTGACTTGAATGTCTTACACGTTTCAAATGTTTGTGTTTCAGTCAGAATATATATATATATACAACTGTACCATAATCCATTGAAATTATATTTTTTAAGTTGTATTGACTCACACACCCCGTCTCACCTCCAGGCTTTTTACTTTATTGTTCTGTTTAGAAACATTGGGTTATGAAAAGGTACAAATACGAACGGTTTGAGGGAACATTTCCATTGTTGGTACCTTGATGAACCAGAAATGTACCTGAACAGAACCTTTATTTCTAACAGTGTAAAGGACCCGCATTTCTTGACGTAAAACGTTTATGTTGATTATTATTAATAATAACTTCAATTATTTTCTGACAAAATGTGTATTTTATCATATTTCATCTTATCCACTTCACATTGTGCCTAACAACACCCCTTCCTGCAGTAACGCACGGCCTCTCGTGGCGTTTTGCTTTCATATACAACTCTTTCTCCATCCCTGCTGACACACAGCACGCTTGGTATGACAGAGTCAGCAAGGTGGCCTGTGAATCGCACTCAAAGTCCTGCAGTGCTGACCAGTATTTACAACAGCGCATTAAACATGGGCCTTAAGAATTCACTCCTTCCAAATGCATCAGCCTGGCTATCATAGCAAGCTGGGAAAGGTCTTGCACAGAAGAGGAACAGAAGGAGAGGCAAAGAGGGGGCAGTGGAAAAGAGAGAGAGAGAGAGAGAGAGAGAGAGAGAGAGAGAGAGAGAGAAAGAGAGAGAGAGAGCTAAGGGAGGGGAGGCTTATGTAAGGCTTTCGCAGTGCACAGTGAACGCCAGGCATTCTCACAGACTGAGCCATCATTCCTCCTGAAAGATGGAGAGAATGAGAGAGAGAGAAAGAGAGAGACGGAGGGAGCGAAGCACAAGCAGTGCGGACAGGGTGGGCTGATGAAGTTGGGCTCTCTCCGCAGTGCCCACATCCTGGGTGTGATCTCAAGAGAGGTCTCAGGGCAAAACCAAAGGGAGGAGGGTGAGAGGAGAAGAGGATGTGAGAAGGAGAAAGAGAAAGAGCGCGTGAGGAGCTGCTGGTGTGGGCAGACAGAGTTTAAAGGGTGTGCTGTGAATATGTGAATATAAACACAGTGATGGGGGGGGGAGTAGGGTGGGGCTCTGTTTCCACCGCATTCTCTCTCTCGCTCTCTCATTGATCTCTCCTCTCGTCCCTCCCTTTCTCCGCCCCCTCACTCACATACGCGCGAGGTGGGAGGCGGCCAACAGGCTACCACAGCCTGAAGAGGCTATTCCGCCTGGGTGGGGGGAGTGGGGGTCGTTCGAATGCTGGCTTAGACTGACTCCAGCCTTGCCCTGGTTCGCATCCCCCACCCGCCGGGCTCACTAACACCGCGGGACCAAACTTTACCTCAGACAAACCGGACTCTACCTTCCCGCATCCTCTGCCTCAGAAACACCCCAAACCACGTCTGCGCCCCTCGCACGCGCCCAATAACCTCTGCTGTCATCTCGGCTCTCGTAAAATAATGGCCCGCGGAGCGAAGGAGCAAGCGGGGAAATGTCTCCACCTCGCGGCGGACTTTGGTACTGCATCCCATCCGCGGTGCAGTACAGTAGTATTAAAGGTCTCATAAAAGGGAAAGTTAAGTATACATTATAAACACTGTTAAAGCTTCAAAGCGTAACGTTCAGTCCTCATGGTGTCTATATGGATCCTAAAATCCTAATCTAAATTTTAGTTTTTAATTTGATTATTTAACTATCCTGATTAAATTTCTAATTTCATTTTTAATTTAATGATTCTCTCTTTTAAATGTTTTCATTATGGTTTTAATGTTGTTTTTTATTGTTTTTCTGTTTGTGCTTACTTTACTTTTTTTTTAAAACAACCCCGACTCTGAATTTTCTCATTTGTAAAGCACTTTGAATGACAGCAGCAGTGTTTGAAAGGTGCTATATACATAAACTTGCCTTGCCTTGCCTTACAAAAACCAAACCACACCCCTAGTCCATTTAGAAGTGGTGGACGAAGTACACGAATCATGTACTTGAGTTAAAGTAGAGATACCCAAGGTAAAATATTACTCCAGTAAAAGTATTAATCCTTCCTTTAGACCTCCACTTGAGTAAAAGTACAAAAGTATTTGCCCTCAAATGTACTGAAGTATCGAAAGTAAAAGTACTAAAAGAATAATTATGACTCTGATGTCCTATTATCATTTTTGTAACAAGACTCTTGCATCATTAATTGATTTTAGGTCCAGTGTCTCTCTTGGTAAACCAATCTTTTAATAGAATGTCATTAATTAGTCTGATGTCTATTAAAATTATCATAAGCATAAAACACTGAAGGCAAACAGTTTCCATCAGGTAGAACTGAGTGGCTCTGAAATGACCTTTTGTAAACAAGCAAAGTTTCAGTTTAAGATTCATTTGCAACTTAGTTACAAGTTTAACTTCAGAGAAATTCAGAGAAAAGATTCACAAATGAGTTTTCCTTTACTAAACTGCATCTGTAGGTCTCTGTTCATAAACATAAACTAGCCAAAACAAATTTACTATAAAAGGAAATAGTGTTTGTACAAATTCAGAAAAAAGTCACAACTGCATATGTGTACATATTTCCATACTGCGGTCTATTTATACACAGGTAGGTTAGTTCATCATTTATGTTGGAATAGACACTCCCAAAATTTTACGCTGCTGCACTGATGTTGAACTGTGTGCTTGCCAAAAGGAACGACAGATTTCTCATAATGTAGTGGAGCAAAAAGTGAGATATTTGGCTTTGAAATGCAGTGGAGTGAAAGTAAAAAGTCGCCCAAAATGGAAAGACTTCAGTAAAGTACAGATACACAAAAACTACTTAAGTACAGTAATGAATTACATTTACTTCGTTACTGCCCACCATTGCAAATTACATTTCTCTGATTTTCTAAGTGAGAATAAGTTAACACATCCTAGATAATTTAAAAATCACACTGCACACTGCAGTGCACAACGTCTATTTAGTTAATGAGATTCACATTTTTGAAAAAAATAAAACATAAAATGTTAAATGTGCCGTAACGTTCATCCAGGCCACATTTTATGTTCCATTTGTTCCAATATGGTGAATTCAGCAAATAAATAATAACTGTGCATTAACGTGTGCAGAAGTGTGTTCTCTGTAGAGGACGTGTTAACTTATTCACACTTAGAAAACCAACAGAACGGAATTTGACCAGGGCTGCCCAAACTTTTGCATGTGACTGTATATTCACCTATTTAGCCTACAGCAAATAAGCCCCGCCCATTGACACTAACGCAATATGGAGTGGTTCAGCTCAATAATACACACAATACAGGCCAGCCAATAAGAACAGTGCTCATCTACATACACGTCTTAAGCGCTGAGCAACAAAAACTGCCTGTTTAATTCTGAGGGATAAAGAAAAGTTGGATAACAGTCATGAGGAAAGACTTACGAGTGATTCGGCACAAAGGACCAAAAAAGGTTTTAGGTGGACTACAAGAAGGATGCAGGGCCCTTTAAACGGAGCAGCTGCATCTATTTTCATTAGGAAAAAGCCAAACTCAGCTGGCCGAGGCGCTGAGACGGATTTGCATAGCATTTGTAATCATCAGCAAAACAGTGTGAAGAATGAAGAACCTGTGAGGAAAGACATGCTTAGGCGATGCTCTTTCCTTTCTTGCTCAGCTGTGAACAGGTGAGCAAGAAAGGAAAGAACGGAAAGGAAAGGTGACGAGGATAATCAGAAAAACTGGGCCAAACACTGGAGATTCATTTCACAGCCAAACAACGCAAACTTTGCTTTTTAATTTATTCCAGTTTATTCTTTTATTAATGCGCATCACTGAAGTGAACTAAGAGAGACTGTATCTCTGTGGGTTTGATGGCACTGCATTATAGTTCCTTAAACCCAAGAAAAACAGAGGCAAGATAACAGCAGAACTGTGTCAGTGCCCGGCGATGGACTGGCAACCTGTCCAGGGTGTATCCTGCCATGAGCGGTTTAGATGATGTATGTTTGTATGTGTCAGTGTTCTACACAGGGACGTTTCTAGCTGTAAGTAGTGTATCGCTGCTGTCAAGACAAAACCTCATTTTTGCCATTTTTCAGTTTTTGACATAATTTGAAAATACCTGTTGCCCTTTACATTGTGTGTAAACTTCATGATGAATGGACTAAAAGAAATGACCCAAAATTACTTGGAAAAAATTCTGGTTCCATTGACTTACATTGAAAGCAAAGGAGGTTTTTTCCTTCTCCTGTGAAGTTATTATTTTTGAGGTTTTCTTTCGACAACAGCGATAAGCCTTCAAGCCAATAAGCGGCCCCACAATCATCTAGAATTTATTTAGTTTATTTTATATAATTTAATTTATACATGTTCAAATATTCAGTTTGTGCCTTTTACCCAACTTTCTCCTCATATAAAAATGAAAAAAGTCTTTCATTCTTGATCATTCATGCACACATATTACAGGGAGATTCACTTGAAAGAGGCCCCGGATATTCTGTTGTAACTCAATCTGAACCACAAAAATACACTACATAACTTGACGTATGTATAATTGATTGCATTACATGCGATGCTGGAAGTGATCTCCGTTTTCTGCCAGACACATGAAGGGGTATGGGGGTATGCACCCAGCAGTTGCAAACGGAGGCTAAACGTCGCAACGGCTGTCTGGCGCCTACCTCATCGCTCTGACCCAGGGGCATCCCGGCTTGTTTGAAGCTCCATACACTGCACGTTGTTTTGCTCAGATTGCTTCGTCCTAGAGAGAGTTATTACAGAATATTCAGGGCCTCTTTCGAGTGATTCTGCCTGTATTATAAATGACAAGAGCCCCCCAGGGAGAATGTCACTTATTTCCCCCAAAAGTTCAGAAATGACCCTTGTTCGACAACATAAAGGTCTTTTAAATTGTTCTGCTCATCCATCACAGCTAGGAAGGGGGTCATCTGTTTATGTATCTACTTAGTATCTATTTATGACCTTTGAGCATTCATCACACAAAACTGGACCCCGTGCTTGTTGAGACGCTCAATCAAGGTTGTTCTTGCGAATGCAGACCCTGGAGTGTGAACACCACCCCTGTTAATGTAAAGACAAGCTTGCATCAATAGAACCATCAATTCACCGATCACTACAAGATCCATATTTTGCATTGAGTGATGAAGAGTCCGGCTGCACATACGTTTCTGGGAGGCACTGCGGCTCGTTGAGCAGAGTGATGGCCGCCTGCACCATGGTGATCGGCGTGGCAACATAACCCGGCTCTGAAAAGCATGGCAACAGTAACCAAGGTCAACCATGCATAGCGCTGCTGTCAGAACAAAACCTCGTATCTCCATTTTTGTTGGTTTTCAGTTTTTGACATAATTCGAAAATACCCGTGGTCCCATAAACACCGATCAGGCGTAACATTATGACCACCTCCTTGTTTCTAAGCTCACTGTCCATTTTATCAGCTCCACTTACTATATAGGTGCACTTTGTAGTTCTACAGTTACAGACTGTAGTCCATCTGTTTCTCTGCATACTTTGTTAGCCCCCTTTTACTCTGTTCTTCAGTGGTCAGGACCCCCATGGACCCTCACAGAGCAGGTACTATTTGGGTGGTGGATCATTCTCAGCACTGCAGTAACACTGACATGGTGGTGGTGTGTTAGTGTGTGTTGTGCTGGTACGAGTGGATCAGACACAGCAGTGCTGCTGGAGTTTTTAAACACTGTGTCCACTCACTGTCCACTCTATTAGACACTCCTACCTTGTAAGTCCACCTTGTAGATGTAAAGTCAGAGACGATAGCTCATCTGCTGCTGCACAGTTTGTGTTGGTCATCCTCTAGTCCTTCATCAGTGGTCACAGGATGCTGTTGGCTGGATATTTTAGGTTGGTGGACTATTCTCAGTCCAGCAGTGACACTGAGGTGTTTAAAAACTCCACGGGGGTCCTGAGCACTGAAGAACAGGGGGCTAACAAAGTATGCAGAGAAACAGATGGACTATAGTCTGTAACTGTAGAACTACAAAGTGCACCTATACAGAAAGTGGAGCTGATAAAATGGACAATGAGTGTAGAAAAAAGGAAGTGGTCGTAATGTTATGCCTGATCAGTGTATTGTGTGTAAATTTCATGATGAATGGACTGACAGAAATGACCCAAAATTACTTAGAAAAAAGTCTGGTTCCATTTACTTACAGTATGTTTTTTCCTTCTTCTGTAAAATTCTTATTTTGGAGATCACAGTTTTGATCCGACAACAGCAATAAGAACAACTGACATAATAAAAATCCATTCGATTTTTAATGAAGCAATAGTGGAGCTAAAAAAACACCTGGGCCTTTTATCTGTGTGGTGATGGTAGCATCAGGCTTGCCCTGTGAGGGATCCCGGCCGTCTGAATAACCTTCTCCAAAGAAAGAAAGGCAAAAAGAGGCTCCTTCCATCTAAAATGAGATAATATATTATACACTCACATAAAACAGAATCCCTGGCCAACATTAGTCTACGGTAACTGTCAGCAGCTCTTATTGTGGAAGACAACACCATGAGAAATGGAGACATGATTAAAAACACATGCCTGCTTCTTTGATGGTCCAGCCTTGGAGAACAAGCCAAAGGAAAAAACCTCTGGAAACTGGAAATAATAACCAACAACACAGTTACATTCAGACTGTAATCTAACATCTCCATCACACAACTTTCACCAATTAGGGTTAAATATGGCAGGAGGGCAAAAATCTATCCTAATTCAATGAAAGATGTTTTATTTTTCAATTACGACATTATTTTGATAAAACAATTAAAGATGATGCACTCAGCAATATTAATGATGAAACATTGAATTTGTTCATTAGAGCTCAGTCTCAGCCCCACAAAGGAATCATATCTAAAATATACAAAGGCTTAATGGTAAAGAAAGGAGGTTCGACAGAATATATGAAACAAAAATGGTAAAAAGAGGCAAGACCATTTCAAGTGAAATATGGCTTAAGATATGTGAATTTTGGTGGAAATGTTGGAGGATGTGTGGGGAGCGGGAAGCCGGTCACTGGCATGTATTTTGGGAACGCTCAATATTATATATTTTTGGACAGAGCTGAATAAAGTACTGAAAAATATATTTAGTTTAGAATTTCCCTGTCAATTTGACACACTTATCCTAGGGGTGCTAAATTTTGATGTAACAAGATCGGACAAATATTTATGGGACGTTCTATTAATTGCAAGTAAAATAGCTGTAACAAGGAAGCGGCTGTCTCCGTATTTGGGTGGTGGATCATTCTCAGCACTGCAGTAACACTGATAAATAAATACAGAAATGAATAGTTTTGTAAATAAATGAATTGAAAAAAAAGAAAAACTATCAATAAAGAAACATAAATAACAAAATAAATAAATACAAAAATTAGTGAGGACAGGAAATTACTAAATAGACATATAAGTAAATGCAGACATATTGATTTAATGTTAGGTTTTATTTATCAATATATTAATTTCTATGTATATGTATTTCTTCTTAGATTTATCATCATCATCATTCTTTGCAATTCTAATTCATGTATTAACATGAATAATGTGATATGTTATATTCATATAATTAATATAAATAATATTAATAACAGTGGGGCAGTCGTGGGCTGGGGTTAGGGAACCTGTGACCAGAAGGTCGCCAGTGTGATCACCTGAGCCGACAGTACGTGACTGAAGTGCCCTTGAGCAAGGCACCTAACCCCCAACTGCCCCCGGGCACTGCGGATAGGTTCTGCCCACTGCTCCGGGCAAGTGTGCTCACTGCCCCCTAGTGTGTCTGTATTCACTAGTGTGTGTGTGGTGTTTCACTGCACGGATGGGTTAATTGCGAAGGTGAAATTTCCCTGTTGTGGGACTAATAAGGGTCACTTAATCTTAATCTAATTTACTGAGTCATTTATTTTTAATTTTATTAAATTTATGCACACACATTTTTTTCTGGTCGCTGTTGTGTCTCTGCATGCCCCTCAGAAGCTAGTTTTGGAGGCCCAGTGACCCAGTGCTCTCCTGTAGCTGTAAATATGTCTCCCAATTACAGAAATCTAATTGGGTCTAATCTGCGTGACTGCAGTTCCAGCTTTTACTGACCCCTATTAGCTTTCATTCATTCATTACTAGCACTGTTGTTATATTTAGGTAAAGCTTTATTTACATTTGTTGTTTATACAACAAACCCTAATTTCAAACGTTTCAGAGCTCTTGATAAAGAGATTAGGCCTTTAAAAGCTCACTGACAGTTAAACTCTAAAATGTAAAGATGGATAGCAGTGTATGGTGTATCTGATGGAGCACTGGAAAAAATGTACCTGAATTAGGAGACTCCTACCAATACTGAATTTGGTCATGAACCAAAACATCAGGCCTGCAAAGAGGGTCTTCGCCACAGAGAACACCCCACCAATACCAACGTACGCAGCATACTGAACCTGAGGGAGTACAGAGAAATCACCATCACTCCAACGACCACAGACCACAGCAAACAGGTAAGTATACAAGACTCCAAGCTGGTGCTGAAGATACAGACATTCAAACTCATGCAATAGTTGATTTCCATGTGTATTCAAATTAGGCATTTGTAGCTTGGAACTTCTTAAATCTTGTAATTTAATAAACTGAAGGTTTTTGGCTGAGTGTGTGCTGCAGAGGTGGAAACACTGATGTAAGGTACGTAGTTTTGAGAGTGAAGAATGAAGTCTGGAAAAGCCAATGAGTCATCAGAACTTAAGAGATTAAATACATCAATATACAGTTCCAGCACTCTGTCAGCACCTGCACGAGCTCAGTGACACCACTCTCAGTCATCTCTATGGCGAGAGGAGAAGAGAGTGCTGAATCACATGGAGCATGAATCATACCCATCATCTGTTCTCTACATAAACCCTTTTCATGCACTTATCACTCCTTTACTAAAACTGGGAGAAGGAAAAGTGTTTGATTAATATCAGAGCATAAACATTCATATGAGGCTTCGAACAGTACAGAAGGTGACAGATGTCTGCCATTGCAAAAAGTTTAAGTGCCCCTAAAGTCATGATTTAAACCATGAAAAATCGATGTTGATTAATAAACTGTTAAATATGTTTTACTGTATGTATGTATTACTGTTACGCCTAAGGCGCTGTTCGCCTGCAAGCTAAGGTTTAGAGTATAGATATACATACCTAGATGCCACGCTGGGTCCAGCCAGGCACGTCAACGGCGTTAACCTGAAGTTAGCTTCTTATTTGCCAGCTTCTTGTTTGAATTTTCCCTTTCCACCTTAAATGGTGCAGCTTCAGGCACCAGAAAGTGACTGCTGCACCATTTAAGGTGGAACGGGAAAACTCGAACAAGAAGCTGGTGAATAGGAAGCCAACTTCAGCTTCGTCCTTCTTACTGTGTTTTGGGGGGGTTATTTGATTTTTATGTGTATCAAGATTAGAACTGATTCACACATTGATGGATTTGCTGATGTGTGTGAGATTGTGGTGTTTCTACTTGCGCTAAACTGGGTTTTTAACATCAGGTCCGGATGGCTAATTATCACGATCAGTTATTAAAGAAATAAAAGTCAGTCTGTGTCTGAGGATTATAACAAAACAGATTTGGTGAAAATTGGTTGAGTAGTAAGGAAGTTGTGGCTGATTTAATCCTGAGACTCATCGTCTCTCAATACAAGTGAATTCATTCGCAAGCGGGTCTTGACCTCTCCAACATGGCGGACGTGCAGACGTATCGCCTCAGATAGAGAACAACAGGCAACGCGGCATCTAGGTACGTATATCTAAGGTATAGAGTGTAAAGTGCAGACTGCTAGCTATGCAATACAGTGCTAGCTTTGCCTGCAGGCTAACAGGTCTACACACCATATTTGACAATGTGTTAGATGTGGGACATAATCTATTATCTATTTTAGCAAACTGATAACTGCCCTCAGAACATCAAGGTGGTTTCTTTAGCGAAGGCACGTTCTATAGCTACAAGTTTCCTCACACCACATCTTAATCCTCTCAGTAGCATATTTTACAATATTGGACTGTGATAAATTCAAGCTTCATCCATAACACACAAAAATAAACTACGTATTTATTTATTTACGACCCCAATTCCAAAAAAGTTGGGACGCTGTGTAAAATGCAAATAAATGTAAGTAAAAACAGAATGTAATGATTTGCAAATCTCACAGACCCATATCTAGACCCACAGGCTGTGTCTACCACTTTGTAGCTCCCCCTCTTCTTTTAACAACAGTTTGTAAACGTCTGGGAAGTGAGGAGATCAACTGCTGGAGTTTTTGGGAGAGGAATGTTGTCCCATTCTTGTCTAATGTAGGATTTTAGCTGCTCAACAGTCCTGGGTGTTCTTTGTACGATTTTTTGTTTCATGATGCGTCAAATGTTTTCTATTGGTGAAAGGTCTGGACTGCAGGCCAGTTCAGCACCCAGACTCTTCTTCTGTGAAGCCATACTGTTGTGATGGATGCAGTATGTGGTTTATCATCGTCTTGCTGAAATATACAAGGCCTTCCCTGAAAGAGACGCCGCCTTTGGCCCAGAGAAGATGGCGGTGTTTCTGGATCGTGTTGACGTATGGCTTCTTCTTTGCATGATACAGCTTTAACTTGCATTTATGAATTGCATGGCGAACTGTGTTCACAGACAATGATTCCTGGAAGTGTCCCTGAGCCCATGCAGTGATTTCCAATACAGAATCAGGCCTGTTTTCAATGCAGTGCTGCATTACTTTAGACGCAGCTTTTCACAGATTGGTGAACCTCTCTGAGAGACTCTGCCTCTCTAAAATGCTCTTTTTATACCCAGCAGTTAGTTGTTAGTTGCAAATAGCTCCACCAGCTGTTTTTTTATTAGTACTACTTACTTTTACAGTCTTTTGTTGTCCCTGTCGCAACTTTTTTGAGATGCGCTGCTGCCATCAAGTTCTAAATGAGAATGTTTATCATGAAATGGTAAAATGTCTCACTTTCAACATCTGATATGTGTTCTATGTTCTACTGTGAATAAAATATGGGTCTCTGATATTTGCAAATTACCGCATTCTGTTTTTATTTACATTTATTTATATTTTTACACAGCGTCCCAACTTTTTTGGAATTGGGGTTGTAATAAAACTTTGTTTAATTTAATTCTGTTTCCGAAGGAACGATGTAAAATATAAAATACAATACTGTGCAAAAGTCAGAGCAAGTTTTTGAGTGCAGTGGGTCTTTAAAGAGTAAAACTAGGTTGGCCTGTTTCTGCTATGACATAAGTATAACAGTCAGGAAGCAATTTACCTGAAGCTACATGCATTTGAAAGTGCGTAGTATGCAGTATGTATAGTTGTATGCGTTTGAGTGTGTAGTGGTCAGTCGGTAGTGTACTTACAGGGGCTTGCTGCTGCTCCTGGTGCAGGTAGCGCTGGGTCCTCCTCACCACTGAGGGGTCAGAACCCATGAAAGGAATTGAATACTGCTGTATCTCTTTACTGTAGAAAAGAGCACCCCTGAAAAACAACACAAAACAAAACCAAAACAAAACACATCATGGTGCTCTGTTCATAAACAGTGGCCGGCAAATTTGGGGATACCTAGCTTTTCAATGTTGAGTACAAGCATGCTTTCTTTGTCAGTCTGCAATAGGTTAACATAATTACGAGACCAGGTTCACTATGAGGAAAATAATATCAGGTATCAGCTGATATCAATCTGCTCCGATCTTGGTGTTTTCATTAATAATAGAGCCATGTAATTTAGGTAAGATATGCTAGTCTGTTAATTAATACTACAGTAAAATCTCTTTATTTTTAGTATTTGCATAATAGATTGTTTTGCTTTTTGTAGAGTGTTTAACATCAGCTTGTGATCAAATCTGATGTTTGCTACCAGGTTCCTTAATTCTCTGCAGTGAAAGCACATAATTTTTGATATTGATGTAATGGTAAACAATCTGAGGTGATATCTTTAGTTTTTTGTGGACTATTGATGTGAAATCATTTTATAGTCTCATGAATACCGAATGATTTCATACTGCTTGAATGTGTGCACATTCACCTGCTGCTTTCTCTCAGATTTGAACCTACTGTTTCTGTTAACGCTGGTTTAAAACTGGAAAGCAAGTGAGAAACCCTGCAGGAGGGAGTTTTGTACTTGGATGCAGAATAACAGCTTGCTCTGCTGTAAAACAGCTCCACACTGCAGACGTTATGATCTCTTTGTTAACTTCTGAACAAGTGGTTCACTTATGCAGGTTGTGGATAGTGCCTGTTCTTAATACAGCCAATACCTGATCCATTCAAATATCCCTGTATCGGCCCGATACTGATCCTTTGGACTGGACCGGGACATCCCATAGGCTAAGGAAGGGTTTTTTTTTTTTTTTTTTTAGATGAATATACAGTTCTTGTCACAAATATTCACACAAGATATTACTTTTCTCAAAACAAAAGAAGGTTTCTATTTAATTTAACATAGTTTTTGCAAACGGACCAAGAAAACATGTTTAATGATTGAAAACATTTTGGAAAGTCTCTCCAAACTTGGCAGGCATTGCAGAGGCCTACAGCGAAACTCTAGAGCTCTTCAGAGTTAATTTAGAGAGTTCGGGTCATTCTATAGAAACGTCCACTTTTCTATCTCTCCTTAGGGGTCACTGGTGTTACTGATCCTCATTGGAGTTACACATAAGAAAGAAAACACCAGAGACATTTTTAATGACAAATGCATTTTACAAAATGCCTCCTACAGAGCATCAAACCACATGCTGTCAATCATCAATATCCACTAAAATATGTAATTTAATCCATTTGTATTCTACTTTTTCACAACTACCTAAAAATAAAGTCGGTCACACCAGTGAAATCTCTGATAACTGAAAGACACAGTGGACTCACCATGTGCTTTTCTTCATAGATCCTCAGAAAACAGGTAAAAGGAAGTCAAGTGATGTCATCAGTGTGACTTTTACTTCAAAATAAGAGTTTTTTGTTACATAGTGACACGACTCCTGGGGACAACAACTTTCATTATATATTTTATAATATTTATTTTTGTTTATTATTTGTTTTCTTTACGTCATTTAATTTATATATTCCATAGTCATGTATATATTATTATAGTTAAAATTGCATATTCTTCAAAATATGGCCCCACCCTTTACACATGACTGTGAGGACAAGCTCTTCTGTGGTGCTTGGAATTCTAGATCATTGATTTAAAAACCAATATTGCTAAATTGAGGCTCAAGAAGGTGTAATTGTTAATATAACGTATTCTTTTATTTTAAAATATAAATAAACTGTAACCCTAACATGTTTTTTAAGTGTAATATATCTGTAAACACTAGGGACACAAATAGACGTTTTTGTAGAATGACCCGTTTAAGAGATAAAACAAATGCACTCAGGGAAAACAAGTAAAGCACTTGAATGCTTGATGGACTCTTTTATAGACGTGGTAAACGTAATACCTCTTTTTAATGGTAGCTCCCACCACAGGCAGAGGTTTATGACCAAACTTCTTCCTTAGGCTTCTGAGACTGGCGCTGTCCGCAAAGCCAAAGATGGCTGACTGCCATGTTGCTTCATGGCCGCATCCACCCTGATGAAGAAGACAGAAAGCTGAGGATCAGCCAAACTCTGAGCTCTGCATGCCTCAAGGCAGGACAAAGCATGGGCCTATTTCAAACAACCAGCGCCAATGATTTCTTTATAGTTGTTTATAGTAAGTATGTGTTGTCACAAACAACTGAAAATGATTCTATCGATTTTTCAAAACTCAATCACTGACATGTAAACAGAGTCATTCGGAGTGGTTTGACATAAGATCGTTTCTTGCAGAGAAATTTACTGACTCAGTGGTGGTGACAGGAACCAGGGTCTACTACTTCAATTACTATCCAAAATGACCAGTGAACCTAAACATGTCCACCAGTGAGTTTTTACATGCAATGCTGATGATGATAAAACAGTGGCAAATTAAAAAAAAACATATATTAGGCACTATTTTGCCCTAGAATGCCCTGTGCCTCTCTGTCATGAGTATTTAAAAGTATGTTTTAAGACAAAAGCTTATCTCAAAACTATTGTCTCAGACATCAGGCAGCTTAATCACAACCATTTCATGCAATAATTTTGTGCGAGCTTTTAGAGTCATTAAATGCTTCAGACGTCTGGTTCCTATTACCACCACTGTGAACACTGTGAACAATGTTGATGATATTTTACTCTAGAAATGAACATTTCACACCAAACCACTCTGAATGACTTTGTTTACATCTTAATTATTCATTCAATTAATCATTTAATTATCATCGCTGTCCAAGAAAACCATGTATCTCCATTTTTGTTGATTTTCAGTTTTCTACATCATTTCAACACACCAGCTGTCCTTTACATTGTGGAAAAATTTCATGATGCATGGACCAATAGAAATGCTCTAAAATCACTTGGAACAACATCTCTTTGCCTTGACTTACATTGAAAGGTAAGAGTGTTCTTGCCCTCTCCTGTAAAGTTACTATTTTGGAGATGCTTGTTTTTCATTGGACGGTGACAATATGCAGAACTTAAAACATTGGTTCCCTTTAACACATTTAATTTTAAGTAAATAACAAAGCACTGTCACTTTATTGTTCATTAAAATAATGTGCAGCTTCTCAAACTACAAATCCCACAATCCAGTGCAGGACCCTGGTGACTTTAAAAGCCTCTTACATTATTCACTAGCAGATGCAACTTGGACTTCTCTGATCCTCCTCTGTGGCTAGTTTAATAATAGATCAAACAGCTCGACACATCTCCACACAGAGTCGTGCAGAAAAAGGTTCACCTTACAAACGCGAATTTCTTTAATCCACACCTGGCAACCAGGCAGGGTTTTTGAACCGGCTTTAGAAAAGCTCTCAGCTCACCTCTGGTCCTGTGCTGACAGTTAAAAAGCTCTCCACAGCGGTAAGAGTCCCTACGAGACAGAAATGTAGGTTAGAGTGAAGGTGGGCGATCTAGAAAACTACATTACATCGTGATACTTGATACGGTATGCAACATGATACATAGTTTTACTGAGGTATCAAATTAGAACTGAAAAAGCCACATTTTAAAAAACTGCGTATAATTAATTTTACTCAATGCTTCACACATTGCAACACACAAAATCCAATTTAAAAAAAGACTAATTATAATCTCTTTGTAATGTAAACTACAGTTGTTCGGGGTTCTTTAAGTACTAATGAAATCAACAAAAAGCCCAGAAAAGCCTATAGTGATGTAATTTAAGATAATTCATCACAATAATAAATATCATTACACTGCCCACCCTCATATAAGAGCAGGACAATTTGAGACATGCAGCTGTTATGACCTATTTAGACACTTGGTTTAACAAAAACATAACTTGAACAACACTTTACATGGAATAAAGGTAAAAGGGCAGCCAAAGTGCAAACTGTGTTATATACTGATTTAGAAAAATAAACCTCTTCATGCAACACACATACATACGCATTTAATACATTTAAATACAGTACTGAGCAAAGGTCAGAAACCATCTTCATTTATTTAATTTCCAGTCAAAACAGTCAAAAGTTATACATTTTTTATTGTCAGGAATTAAGCAAAAGCTGCGATAGGCTCCGGCTTCCCCCACAACCCAGAAGAATAAGTGGCTTAGAAAATGTGTGTGTGTGTGTGTGTGTGTGTGTGTGTGTGTTTAGAGGCAAATCAAATGCTGTCACAACTGATTCTGAATTAAGTTTGTAATTTCCAGAAACACCTCTTGAAAAATAATTACTATAATAGCTATTTAAGCTGGTAATAAAAAAAATGAAGGGTGGTCTTTGACTTCTGCACAGTGCTGTACGTAACTAACTATATGTAATGAGAATTATATAAACCACACTTACACCTAACCCTAATCTTCGTAAAAAAAAAAAGATGTAAAACCAAAATAAAACATGTAGCTTCATATTTTGCTGTTGACTTTCCCTGCTGTTCTCTAGGTTTCCTAAAAAGACACAAGACATTTTTTGTCCAAAAAAGTATAAAAATGTACCTTTGAACTGGTCTCTCATATAAAGAATGCCCATATCTGCTGGGACGGAGTCAAAGCCACAGCTCCCAATGACATATACTCCCTTCTCTTGGGCTTTGCTGTGGTAGTTGAGCTGCATTCCTTCCAAAAACTGGAAAACAATTTGCCTTTATTAAATACAATCTTCAACAAGCTTTCTAAATTGTGCAAGCATTGCATCTGTGGGCAAACTGGATCATTAAGAGAGATTTCTGATGTTACATTCCTATAAAAAATGGAATGCAGCGAACAACTGAATCATTATTACCGTACTGGTATATTGACCAGGGTATATTTTGGTTTGTCCATCTGAATTTACATGACCACATCTTAAGGCAAATTATTCAGTAACTGCATGAAATAACTGTAAATGTTTTATTTTATTTATTTATTTATTTTTTAAGCTCCTCCCAAATTAACAGAACATGTGTTTTATGATCTACACATATTGCAATATGCTTACAATTTACTGCTGAAAGCCGAAAATCTTAGACGCTCTTTGTATTTTTTTTATAATAATAATTTTTACAGAGCAGATCACTGAAGAGACGCCATCTGTTTATAGTTTACAGCCCAGATTTGTGGAAAACTGGGTCGACTTTCAGTAGGAAAAAAATTGTGAGCTCAGCTTCTTTTATTATAAGGGTTTAAAATTACATCACCCATCTATTTGACTGGAAAGAAGACAGTTACAGCTCTCATACGACACCCATCTATTGAATGTAGCTTATGAAATATGAAAGTTATGAAGAATATAACGAAGTGCGTTTTGGAAGCACCGGTGGTCTCAAGGAGTTGAAGAGGTTCATATGTAAATTGGAGAACATGCACACTCAAAGGCTCTGACATAAATAGCACACTGAAATGAGCAAACATGCTGACTTGGCACTGGATAAAATGATCTACCTGTGGCTCTCCACAGATGTCAATGTAGTGAGCTCCATTCTCTATGCAGGCCTTAACCACCGGCTCTCCATAGAACCTGTACTGGGAGGAGGGAGAACACTAGTTAACACCTAGGATTATATTCCATACACAACAGACAGCAGGGTTCACAGTAAACAGCTCTATTTGTGTTGGGCACACAGGACCCTTGGGACAGAACACACTCTACAGATGTGGAAACTGCCTCCTTTCTACAGCTTTAACACACATTACAACTTACCGGCCCCACGCAATTGAGGACAACAATGCCTTGCTTGCACATAATAGCCAAGGATTCTGGCTGAGCCACGTCTGCCACAATGACCTCCACACTCCTCAGCTCTGGTTTACCTGGACAACAGTATGGTGTTATGATACACGTGTGTTGAAAGAGAATTCAAAGAGACCTCAAAACTTGGTGAAGGACGTATTTACTGTTGTCATCAATATAATGTTGACTCTGCATTTGAGACCTAAGCATTAAGCCAGACCTTTTTTTGAGCCTCTATGTTCGACGCTGTCGGAAATACTCATGCAAAATCTGACCCAATACCACTGACTTTTAAATGATTATTTCACACTTTATTACTTTATTTTTATTTATTATTATTATTATTATTATTATTACGATACATCCAAAGCATTTCATTATTATTATTTTATTATTATTTCAGGGTGACTCACAGCACACACTATATGCCTGTTTTTTGCTCCTGACTCAGTGATGTTACGTCTTTCAATTTTAACTAAGAAATCTTACATAGTGCAGCTTTAACGGTGTAAGAAAAGTATAATTTGTAGTGGTCCACCATATAAGTCAGCTTCACTTACTAGAAGGCTAGCAGTGCCCTTGGGACTCTCCTTTAGTAAAGGCAGTAATTATATAAAGAACTCAAAGATCTTTATGAATACATAAAGGGTTAAATGGCTCTGTGATGGAAAACCTGATGTATATGTTTCTCATAAGTGCCCAAATCATGGAAAACAGAAAGTTTTCTGAAATAAAAGAGTCTGACGTAGCGTGATAACATTGTTAACATATCAAAATGTACCACTGACTCACCAGATATGTGCTTATGGAAACTATAAGCTGCAAAAAAAGAGCCTGAATTTAATTCACTGTTTTTTGTGATGACACGAAAACCAAAATATTTACTTACATCCATTCAGACTATAGCAGTTTAGCTCTGCCCATTACAATGAAGTAATAAGCAGACTGCTTTTTTTTTTAAATGTGACACAATACAGAGTAGCTAATCAGAACAGAGGTCAAACCCATCTCTCTCTCTCTCTCTCTCTCTCTCTCTCTCTCTCTCTCTCTCTCTCTCTCTCTCTCTCTCTCTCTCTATATATATATATATATATATATATATATATATATATATATATATATATATATATATATATATATGTCTCGCTGTTGTCAGAAGAAATCCTTGTGTCTCCAAAATGGTACCTTTACAGGAGGAGGAAACAAACTTACTTTACTTTTAATGTAAGTCAATGGAACCAGACTTTTTACCCGCCGTTTCTTTCAGTCCATTCATCATACATGGTAAAGGGTAACCAGTAAAAATGTCCAAAATGGAGAGGCAATCTTCCAACAACAGTGCTATATATATATATATATATATATATATATATAGCACACACACACACACACACATATATATATATATATATATAGAGAGAGAGAGAGAGAGAGAGGTGTATACACACATGTATACACACTCTTAAAAGTCTTGAAAAACTGTTTTGCCTGTTTTCACATAAAACCACACAAACAAGTGGACATAATACATAAATAAAATAGTAAAAAGTATAATGTAGGATAATGGCCCCGTTAAATCACCTTTCATTAAATCGTTCGATACAGCACCAAAAAGTGCTTTGCTATCATAATTGCCAATAAACATTTTTGATAACATGTAAAACTCTTTTTGCTATGTGTGTATTTTTGATGCTCATTTTCAGTGCTTCCATTAAAACTCGTTTTGAAGCATAGTTGTTTTTAAAATGAAAAATATCAGATCAACATGAGCCAATACTCAAGGTTTCAATATTTGCGTCAGTATCAAAAAAGAAAGTCACCTCTAACACCAATTCCAATGTATCAAGCCTGGCTAACTGACCCTGCAGTGACCACTAGCATTACAGCCCTTCAGCTGAAGCCTTTTGCCTTGGGTGGAGCATAAATACATTTTGTGGGTCTAAACATGGATTGTCAATCCAGGCAATTTGAGATTATGAGAGGATTGCCTAAATGCTCAACATCAGCCTATTCCCAGCCCCATATAATCCTATCCTATAATCTCAATATAAAAAAATCTGCTCAAGCATCTAATCCCAGCTTTCTATGACTGCATGTCTAGACTCAGAAACAGTGTAGGCCCACAAAACAATGACAGGCCTGTATTTACAAACAGATTAACTACCAAAAGGAGATATTATCACCTTAGATAGGCTACAGTTTAAAGGTTTCTTAGCGTTAGAGAAATCAAGGCTATGTTTACGTTTGACTGTAACTGCACATGCAGTCAAGGTCAATTTAAAAAACAGCCTCTGTGGGCAGAAGTGCATGAGGGGCTGTTTAAAGCGGGGGGTCCTCCATCTACAGCACTGAGGCTCTCCAACACGTACTGAGCGCCTGAGCAGCCTGAAGCAGAACTTTCTCCAGCCTGTCGCGGTTTCTCCCGGCTATGGCCCATCTTAGCGTCCCGCCTGGCCCTGCCGAACACGCTCTGGCCACTTCCTCCACCACAAACCGGCCCGTGAAGCCAGAAGCCCCGAACACGATAATGTGGTACGGCCTAATCTCGCCTCCAGCCGGTGAACGCGCCGCCATTTGGGTCGGAGCTCCGCGTCCTCCAGCCGAGCGCAGGAAGAGGAGAGAGGAGCGCTGCGGTTCGGTGCGGAGCGCCCTGTGAAAACGAGTCGGTCTCACGCTGTGCAGGACGAGCAGGGCGTCTAATCGGATTACACGACCTGCGCACACAACAAACCCACATGCTGGAACAGTCTGGAGACTGAGCGTCATCTGGACAAAGAGCGACACCCTGTGGTGTGAGTGTGGTATTACAGCGTCCGTCCTGAAAGGAGCAGGAGTGTTTACATTTATACCAAAGTCTGGAGAAGCCATGAGCTGGTGCTGTAATTTTCTGGATAGTTATCCTGAGATAACAAGATGAGTAACTTGCTATTTCAAGATAACAACTTTGTTATCTTGAGATAACAAAATAAGTAACTTGCTATTTCAAGATAACAACTTTGTTAACTTGAGATAACAATACAAGAAACTTGTTATTTTAAGATAACAACTTTGCTATCTTGAGATAACAATATAAGTAATTATTATTTCAAGATAACAATTATGTTACCTTGAGATCACAAGATAACTAACTGGTTATCTTAAGATAACTTTTGTTATCTCGAGATATCTCTTAATGAGTTGCTTATATTACCTTGAGATAACAATATAAGACACTTGCTATTTCCAGATAACAAGTTTTGTTATCTTGAAATAACAAGGTAAATAACTCTTTATCTCAAGATATTTTTTGTTATCTCAAAACCACAAGATAATTAACTCATTATTATAGTCATATTTTGTTATCTCGAGATAACAAGATAAAAAACTCATTATCTCAAGAGAAAAACTGTTATTTTTAATCTGTTCATGGGGAACATGCAGTGTATTTTCAGACAAATTAACTTAAATAGTTCCCAAAAAAGTTTTTTTTCACACTTACCGCTATTTTACAATCATCATCATTAAAAATAAAAACTCAGACACGTGTAGGTTCACCAGTGGTTTTGGAAGGTAAATGAAATGGCCATATTTGTATTGTAAACATCATGACCCCTGGTTCCCATCACCACCACTGTATAGAAATCTGAGTCTCTAAGCTTCTCTACAGTGAACCACTTCACATCAAACCACTCTAAATGACTTTGTTTATATCTCACTGTATAAATTATGCAAAAAAATCTAAAAATTGGTGAAATTCCCCTTTAATTTACCACTTTTTTGGGGGCGGGTGAGTGCTAAAATTAGCAAAAGTGACCACTATCATTGAAGCCTTTGTCTTCAAATGGAGCATAAACACATTTTAAAGGTTTAAAGGTTTAATCATGGTTTGTCAGTCTAGGGAATTAAGAGATTAAGAGATTATGCCCTCGGCCATCAACAGCCTATTAGAGCGTTTTGACATTATTCTGCTTTTTGATGCAAAACCAAAACATGAAATATTGCCAAGACTGTTCTCAGAACAACAGATTTTATTCTTAAAAACAGAGAATAGACAACCAACATAAACTTTTTGAACATAAAAATACAAGGAAACAATTCCCCTCTTCGATCTCAATAATAAGGAGCCTATAACATTGATATACACAAATATAGCACTATTATAAAAAGATGCAATTTACACTAAAATGTGAGATAATCACTGTTGTGCAATAACCTTATATCTCCATTTTTGTTGTTTTTTACTTTTTTTCTTTGCATAATTTAAAAACACCCCCTTATCTTTTCCATTGTGGTTAAATTTCCTGATGAATGCGCCAAAATTACTCAGATATGCTACGGTTATTTGTTATGTCCAGTCATTTTATACAACACATAACTGACTGTATGGGAAGCAATTCATTTGCATCAAAAATGAATAAATGCATAAGATTAAGTACATAAAGTTTTTGACATACCAACAGTAACACTGCACAGTAAAATCTAAACGCCAAGCACACTGTGCTTACATTTAATTGCATACCTAATGAAATATACACTACATGTCCAAAAGTATCCAGACACCCCTTCTTCTCAGTGAATTCAGCCACTTTAAGGGGCATCCATCGCTGACACAGCTGTTCAGTTGTTTAATCTCTATTGAAAAGCACTGCCAATAGAATGGGACGCTCTGAAGCAGTCACCAGGTCACCATGTCCAATGCCAAGCATTAGCTAGAGGGGTGTAAAAACCCCAGAACTGTGGTGTGGAGCAGTATAAATGTGTTATAACTGTTCTCTGGAGTGATGGAGCTCCATCCAATACCTTTAGGATGAGTTGGAGTGGAGTTTGTGATCCAGGACTAATCATCCAACATCAGCATCTGACCTCACTAATGCTCTTGTGGCTGAATGCAACCAAATCCTCACAGCTGTTCCAACATCTAGCATAAAGCATCCAAGAAGAGTAGAGACTGTTACTGCAGCAAAGGGGGATGAACTCCCTGTTGATACCCTTGATTTCCAAAGAAACACTGGATGGGCAGGTGTCTACTTTTGCACATGCAGTCTATAATGCAAAGCAAAGATCCATGAGCACGTTCTGTGGTAATAACACCACTAAAAGTATGTTGAGTTAAAATGTTAGTATCAAAAACATACTTTAAATACACATATATGCTTGGAATGTCTCTTCTTTCTACATAATGTATGCTGTATATTAAAAAAGAACTGCCATCAGTGCATAGAATCATTGCTCGATCAGTTGGTAGTGGTTAATTTAAGTGTTAATGTACTGCTGTACTGCGGAAGCTCATTCCGAACCTGTGTTTGTATATACAACCCCATTTCCAAAAAAGTTGGGACGCTGTGCAGAATGTAAATAAAAATAGAATGCAATGATGAGCAAATCATGTAAACCAAAGGAAATTAAAATACCACAAAGACAACATATCAAATGTTAAAACTGAGAAATTTTATTGTTTTTTGAAAAATATATGCCCATTTTGAATTTGATGCCAGTAACACATTCCAAAAAAGTTGGGACTGGGGCAAGTTTACCACTGTGTTTCACCACCTCTTCTTTTAACAACAAGTGTTTGGGAACTGAGGAGACACTGCTGTAGTTTTGAAAGTGAAATGTTTTCCTATTCTTGCTTGATATAGGATTTCAGCTGCTCAACAGTTCAGGATCTCCTTTGTCATATTTTTCATTTCATAATGCGCCAAATGTTTTCAGTGGTGACAGATCTGGACTGCAGGCAGGTCAGTTTAGCACCCGGACTCTTTTAATATGGAGCCATGCTGTTGTAATACATGCAGAATGTGGTTTATCATTGTCTTGCTGAAACAAGCAAGGCCTTCCCTGAAAAAGACGTCATCTTGATGGCAGCATATGTTGCTAAAACATGTATATATCATTCAGCATTAATGGTGCCTTCATAGATGTGCACGCCAACCATGCCATGTGCACTAATGCACCCCTATACCATCATGAATGCTGTCTTTTGAACTGTGCACTGACAACAAGCTTTGTCGTTAAAAAAGCACTATTTGATCGTGCAGTCTTTCACAGAGTGGTGAACCCCTCCTCATCTTTACTTCTGAAAGACTCAGCCTCTCTGGGATGTTTTTTTATACACAGTCATGTTACTGACCTGTTGCCAATCAACCATCAGGTGTTTTTTTATAGCATTACACAACTTTACCAGCCTTTTGTTGCCCCCGTCCCAACTTTTTAGGAACGTGTTGTTGCCATCAAATTCAAAATGGGCATATATTTTTCAAAAAACAATAAAATTTCTCAGTTTCAACAATGATATGTTGGCTTTGTACTATTTTCAATTAAATATAGGGTTTAAATGATCTGCAGAGCATTGCATTTTGTTTTTGTTTACATTTTGCACAGCATCAGTTTTTTGGAAATGGGGTTGTATATGTATATGTGTGTCTGTTGATACACTGTGCATACAGTGGTTACAGTAACTGACATTAAGGTCACTTTGGTTTATGCATAAATGCAGTTTTCTTACACTCATCAGGAAAAGAGGTATCCTTTTTTCTGCCTACTGACAGTCTAAAGAGACAAAGAGAGGTCAAAGGGAAAATAGGAGCCTGTCTTCAACGGCAGTGCAACACACTGAGTTGCCGGTTTATTAGCTACATGTATCTTGTACCTGCATTCATTGTCCATTTATTGGATTCACCTACAGTAAGGTGCACTTTTAACTGCAGCCCATCTGTTGCTGCACACCCTCAACTATGTCCATCAATGCATTGGGACCACCATAGGACCACTGCCCAGATTATCTGTGTGTCCTCAGCACATTAGTAACACCAACATGGTATTGGTATGTTAGTTATGCTCATACGTATGGGGCTACGATGAGCTGAGAGAAAACCAGTGTATGATAGTGTCCACACTGCGCCATATAGGTCCAAAATAGAAGTCCATATTTTGTGAGAAGTCCGCACAAACATTTGAATAAGCCCCGCCCAGTAGGCAGTAGAGTGCAGTCCCGCCCATGCTGATCGCCACAGTTACCAGGCACAGGAGGAGGAAGACCAAACAAGAGGCTCCGCCCACTTCATCTGCGAATTGCAACATGCAAACATTTGCTTAAGATTCAATCAAAATAACAATAAATGACACAGAAATGTAGATGTGGGGAGACACTGTTTAACTCTAGTGCTCCTGTTATAACTGTAGTATATGATGCTTATAAGTGGTATCATACCATTATCAAGTCCATCTGCCATTTCACTGAACCGGACTTTGCGTTTGAAGGAGCTTCTTGATGGAGAGCGGTTAGCAGGATCATCTTCCTCTTGACATGCTCTTTTTTTCAAGATGGAAACCAGGCCATTGGAAGGAAACATCTATGATAGCAGGAATAAGCCATTATAGTATATACAGAATCCTATGAAATGGATTCCTAAAGACTTAAAGACTTATACAGACTCTTTGCCAAACTAAAGCTTGCTCAACAACCACTCAACAGAGTATGATTTTACTCTTTAAATGGTCAGAATCGTATTACATACTTCTATAATCTATTAATAGCTCAGCCAGTTTGCATTGAAGTCCCTGTAGATACTGAATATATGTCTTAGTATGAAATGAGCCAGAGATTTTAAGGGATTAAGTAAATAACACTGAAATATTGCTGAAACCTGGGATATCTGGGATGCGTGATTGGAAACTGCCAAAATTGGAATCAGCAGATTACAGCAAATGGCCACTTCGTATTAGGCTGCGCTGTTTTTGAACAGTGCTTAATGGTACACCTATACTAAAATGTGGTAGCATAACTATGCATTACTCACTGTGCTAAATAGCCAGTTGCCTCTTAATTTCAATGTTGCATCTTATATGATTCATATTATGTAAACAAGCAACTGATTTTACATTTACAAAATTAATATGCAAATTTGGTCCATTAAACAGCAAATAGTGTTCACACAATGTGAATCAGCCATTGGCCAATTTGGCTGTAAATATTCCTGATCAGTGCATTTTAACTATTAATGAACCATTAATAATAATATAATAATAATAATATTTTTTATTTATATAGCACTTTTCATGGCAGTGGCAGCTCAAAGTGCTTTACAGACAGGAGATAAAGTTAAACAGTAACACATGAAATTATAAGTATTCAGTTAGAATCATGTAAGAAAATGACAGATTTTAGATGCTTCTTAAAAGTGAGCACTGAGCTTGACTGTCTAATAAAAGATGGAATTGAGCTCCACAGTTTAGAAGCACAACAGAACAAGGCCTTTCCATGTTTTCTGTATTTTGCAGAAGGTGTTTGCAGAAGGCCAGTATAAATGTATTAGTATCAGTATTGATGAAACGGATGTGATAACATACATTCCATGTTAGAACAGCTGCTCATCAATATTTGGCTTTATTGAATATTTCACAGTGTAAACTCACCGGTTCTAGAGTTCATGTTGTTATGAAAGAGTCGCCACGTGAGGTCATTACCTACAGCAATTCAACTGACAGCATTTTACAGTCACCAGCTATGCACATGTGCTACTCATGTTGAGTAATATGCTAATTTGTGTTTATGACACAGTGAATGTCAAATATAGATGAATATAGAATAGTCACATGTAAAAAAAGCTAAAATAGACTGCTGAGATGTTTGTCTGAATGTGTCTAAGAACTGAAGAGAGTGAATAAATGAGATTAGAACTATTTCAGATACACCAATCAGGCATAACATTATGACCACCTCCTTGTTTCTACACTCATTGTCCATTTTATCAGCTCCACTTACTGTATAGGTGCACTTTGTAGTTCTACAGTTACAGACTGTAGTCCATCTGTTTCTCTGCATACTTTGTTAGCCCCCTTTTACCCTGTTCTTCAGTGGTCAGGACCCCCATGGACCCTCACAGAGCAGGTACTATTTGGGTGGTGGATCATTCTCAGCACTGGAGTAACACTGACGTGGTGGTGGTGTGTTAGTATGTGTTGCACTGGTACGAGTGGATCAGATACAGCAGTGCTGCTGGAGTTTTTAAACACTCACTGTCCACTCTATTAGACACTCCTACCTTGTCAGTCCACCTTGTAGATGTAAAGTCAGAGACGATAGCTCATCTGCTGCTGCACAGTTTGTGTTGGTCGTCCTCTAGTCCTTCATCAGTGGTCACAGGACGCTGCCCACAGGACGCTGTTTGCTGGATATTTTTGGTTGGTGGACTATTCTCAGTCCTGCAGTGACACTGAGGTGTTTAAAAACTCCAGCAGCACTGCTGTGTCTGATCCACTCAGACCAGCGCAACACACACTAACACACCACCACCACGTCAGTGTTACTGCAGTGCTGAGAATGATCCACTACCTGTTCTGTGGGGGCTAACAAAGTATACAGAGAAACAGATGGACTACAGTCTGTAACTGTAGAACTACAAAGTGCACCTATACAGTAAGTGGAGCTGATAAAATGAGACAATGAGCGTAGAAACAAGGAGGTGGACGTAATGCTATGCCTGATCAGTGTATATTGGATGCACTGGTTATTCAACAAAAATCGGAGTGTTTGTTTGCTTCTCTTCTGCTGAGAGCTTGTGCAGTTGCACTGTTATGCAAGAGGCCCACGCCCATCAGATCAGGCAGGCACACACTCACTCAACAAGTTTTCCTGTAAAATCCTACAGCTGGCTGTTGCTCCTGCTGGTGACATCATGTTTTGTCTTCAAAGACGTAATGGGACGCATTCCTCCAGCTGACCAACTGGCCACATGAATGAAAGCAGATGCCTCAAAGCCAGGCTGCTGATTACTGAGCTGTAGTTGATCACTCCCTTAGACTTAACCATTGAGAGACATTCAAACAATATGAGGTCCAAATTCCAATGCATATGTGGATCTATTGTTGACTCAGAACATACTGGAACTGAGAGTAGGAGTTACACTGAGCCAGAATGACGTTCTGGCACACTCTTGGTCACCAGGAGTTTTCTAGCTTTAGTTACAAGGTGACTGAACTAAACCATTAATCAATCAAGTTTTATATAAAAATAATAGGGGCCAATTATGTGCCTGCTTTGATAAGGGGTGCTCCATTCACTGCCTGTAGTGGGCAACATGCACAAAGGTTTGAACAAGTTGTGTGAGCTTCAGTTCATGAATGTAATCACTTGAAATCAAGTTGATTGTAACCATACTACTGAGTTCAGGGCTAAGTCCATCTAAACCAGGGGTGTGGAAGTAAGTCCTGGAGGGCCAGATTCCTGCACAATCTGGTGATCTTCCTGCTTAAACAGCTCTGATTCAGCTCATCAGTTAAAGGGACACTGTGGCCAAAAAAGGAAGAATTCAACCATCGCTGCGTCTGCTATAAACATGCCTATTTTCATCCTCCAGTGGTACCACAGTAGTCTCCAGAGGGAGATTTTCTGGTTTAATCCTTGTGGTGTTCAGGTCTGTGGGACTCATTTTATTGTTTTCCAATAGAAAAAATTATGTGATTTATTATCATTTCAGTCTCAGATTCTTGGCCTTTGCTCATTTTCTGTGAAGAACACATAAAATAACCCATTTTCAGTGTCTTCACACTGTTCACCCCCCACACATTTATATTACACATGTGGTGTTGGGTGAACCCGCAGGGAGTAAAAGTGTGGAGATGCTGTGTCCCTTCACTCTGTTCTCCTCCTACATGGCCTGCTGTTAGTGTGTGTATCTATGTGGGTATGTGTTTGTATGTGTGTATGTGTGTGTGTGTGTGTGTGTGTGTGTGAGGGTGGACAACATGGACAGGCTGCTGACTGGCTACAGCTGCTAAAGGAGAACCCTACGCTGGACACTTGAGATATTTTAAACATCCGGTATTTTTACATAAATTGTTTTGGCTGTATTGATTTAAAAGCAATAATGCGGTGGGTCCACCAGACCACTAAGTAACAAACACATCAACACCACACAAAGGTTAAAGATTAGAACAGCCCCCTTCTGATGACATATCTTGTAGGTGGAAGCAACCTTTGTAAAATTAAACCTGTATTTTCCCCTGGTGGATGCAGACGGAAGCCAGATAGCACTACTGCTAGGATGCTAAACATCTTATGGCAGCTGAGTAACTGTAATAACGGTCTTCAAATGGGAGAATGGATTACTCAAATGACAGAAATGACTCATCAGATGACAACACAGCTAATGTTAGCGAGGTAGCTATTGTGTAATGCATGCTGGGTACTGTAGTGAGTAGGAGAATACTGATTAATGAAAACATGAAAATGAAATACTGTGAGTTCTGTTGAACTGATCAGGATGAGGGATACAGTGCTGTGCTACAGAATAATACATAACACAATGAATAACATCTTAAACTTTAGTTTTAGGTGGGATTGCCCTTTTAATTGGCAGGTTTAGTGTTAGAGCAGGGAAAACACTAAACCATGCTGGACTCTGGCCTTCATACTTTCCCCACCCCTGATCTTAACAAACTTTTAATGACACATCCGGTGATCTTACCTGTAATTCAGCCCGTATGACTTTAAGATTTGATTATCAGATTAATATGTAAATGTTATGGCTAGGTAGCTCGCTGGCTAGGTATGTGCATTGTATAGGCTAACTTGTGGCTTGGTAATAAGGCAGCTTAGTCAATTTCCATAGTGCCGTTAGCTACAGAGGCAAAGTACAGTCATATGCAAAAGTTTCAGCCCCCTGGTCAAATGACATGTTTTGTTGATTTGTGAAAATAGGTTTTTTATAGAGAGCACACTTCTGCACATTTTAATACACAATGACTGTTTATTCGCTAATTGTAACATAAAATGTGTGCAAAAGTTATGGTCTATGTTTTTCCCAATATGTATGACGGACCAGATCTGCCAAATGAAAAATAAATAAAATAAAAAATATATGACTCAAGTATGACTAAATTAATATATGAATTAGAATAGCAAAGAATAATGATGATGAATAAAAAAATAAATAAATATACATAGAAATGAATATATTAATAAATAAAACCTTACATAAATTAATATGTCTGCATTTACTTGTATGTCTTTTTTAGTAATTTTTCCTCCTAATTTTGTTTCTTTATTTTGTTATTTATGTTTTTATTAACCTTTTTTCTTTCTTTATTCATTTATTTCCACAAGTATTCATTTCTATATTTATTTATTTCCCTATTTAAATAGGGAAATATTTAAATAAATAAATGAATTAATGAGTCAATAAATAAAGCTAGCATTTTTTCAAAATATACATACAGAAAAAATGTACAAATTAACATAGGCGTTAATACAAAAAAATAAATAATACAGAAATAAATAAATGCAGAAAAAGGAAATATGTGTATAATTACAATCAAAATAAGCAATACATACTATATTTAGTTATTTTTATTTATTGATTAATTCATTTACTGAGTCATTTATTTTTTTATTTTATTTATTCGTCATTTTGGCAGATCTGGTCCGCCATTATAAGTTCAACCTCTGAGAGCTTAAAAGGTGATTCCTTGCATGATTGTGTTGATGTGGCTGTGGGTGATACTGGATAAAGGATAATTATAAAGAACAATCATCTGCACTACAACAGCAGACATCTCACCTCTTCAACTTCGATGAGTTTAGCCAGCTCTTCCCCCCGCAGTGGTTCTCCTCTGGCCTCCTCCTCCTCCCCCTGGACCTCTTCCACCAAACCCTTATCCATCAGAACCTCTTCTACATCCTCTTCTTCATCCTCCTCCTCCTCCTCCTCATTCTCTCCTTCATCCTCCCCCTCCTGTGGTTCAGTATGTGGCCGCAGGGCGTCGTCTGTCTTGGCGAAGGTTCTGCTAGTCATCTCCTGAACTTTCGTGCTGTTCACTAGAACTTGCTTTGGGCTGTTTTTCAGCATCAGGTCAACCACATCCTACAAAAACACCACCATGCTTACCGCAGATGCCAAAACCTATTTTCCACTCATACGAAAGCCATTCTGAATTGATTTATTGTGGAGAAGACAGAACTTCTTTGTTTCCTCACCTTTTCCATAGTGCGATTAGGTCTGAAAGGGAGAGAAACAAGTTAAGTCATTTTATTTGCAGGACTTTTTAATCAGTACATCAACATGCAGTGCTCACTGCAGCAAATGATTTGTGTCTTTTGTCTGCAGGACATCGCTGCACGGCACACTGTAGGTGTGGTAGCCCTACAGTAAAGAGACACACCATTAAAAGACAGTCTTCTGGACTGTAGGAAAGCCTAAAATAATAAATTCAGGAATGTGTTATTAATTAGGTGTGGCTTCTTGTCTAGACGTGAACATTTTGTGGGGGGAAGGTCTAAAGCTACGTTCAGGCTAAATTTCACGTTACATTTGAGTCAGGGCTGGTGATTAGCTGTGTTCTATGTGCCTTTTGAATATTGTTTGGCACAGGTCAGTTTTTTAATGAAGGTACATTAAGTCTGGGTACAAACACAGATCTGACTTGGTGTTATAAAGAGACACTCCTGCCAAAAAGAAATATGTAACCATGCTGTTAACATGTTTACTCTCCTCCTACAGAAGTGCTGCAGTGGTGTCTGGCTTCAAACAGAAACTGCCCTTATAGCAGTGAGCGAAAAGCTCCAGGCAGCAAGATCAGCCAAGCTGTCATCTGTTCTGATTCTTCTTGACCTCTCCGCAGCTTTTGACACTCTGCGTGGTAGTGGTTCAAGTCCTATCTGGAGGGTCACTCTTATCAGGTAACATGGAGAGGGTCCACAAGGCTCTCCACTGGTGTCCCACAAGGCTCGGTCCTGGGTCCTCATCTCTTTTCACTTTACACTCGTTCTCTTGGTGATGTAATATCCTCTCATGGCTTCTCTTACCACTGCTATGCTGATGACACTCAACTAATGCTTTCCTTCCCACCTTCTGACACACAGGTTTCCAGTCGCATCTCGGCATGTCTGACTGACATCTCTTCATGGATGGCAGCTCAGCACCTGAAGCTCAATCCTAGCAAGACTGAGCTGGTATTCATCCCTGCAACCACAGGTCCTCATCATGATCTCGCCATCTCATTCCAGAACTCTCTGATTGTTCCGTCTGAAGATGCAAGAAGTCTCTGTGTGATTCTGGATGGCCAGTTATTGTTTTAGCTCATATTGCAAACCTGACTCAGTCATGCAGGTTTCTCCTATACAACATCCGGAGGATCCGACCCTTCCTCACTCGAGAGGCCACCAAGGTGCTCGTTCAGTCTCTTGTCATCTCAAGGCTTGACCACTGCAACTCACTCTTGGCTGGTCTTCCTATGCAGGTCATCAAACCTCTGCAACTCATCTAGAATGCAGCAGCACGGCTCGTCTTCAATCTTCATAAGTCCAGTCACGTCACTCCACTGCTGCGCCGCCTTCACTGGCTTCCTGTAGCTGCACGCATCAGATTTAAAACCCTGATGTTTGCCTACAAAGCCAAAGATGGTCCAGGCCCCCCCTACCTGATGGCAATGGTCAAAACTCAAACTGTACCTCGAGCCCTTTGAGCTTCAAGTACAGCTCAGCTTGACCCGCCATCCTTCAAGACGCGTGGAAGACAAGCATCAACACTTTTCTCTGTCCTGACACCCGGGTGGTGGAATGAACTCCCACTGGCTGTCCGAACAGCAGACTGAAGACACATCTCTTTATACAGCACTTAATAGAGCACTTTTAGTACTTTTTGTAATGTACTGTACTGCGTTGTGTTTAACGCTGTTTCTTTTTCTCTGGGTATCAACATCGGCTTTTGTTTCTAGCAGTATCTGAGCTCAGGATGAGCTTTCTCTCTAACCTATTTGTAACTAGCAAAGATACTTTCTGGATACTTCTGGATATTTTGGGGGGCTGTTTCAAATTACTTGCTGAATTCAGAAGGTAGACATACTGCTAGGAAACCAAATACCTGTATATTGCAGTTGTATACAGTGTACTGTAACTATAGAAATTGTTTTTAAATCATTATCATAGTGGAGAGAATATATTATAGCAGGGTTGTGCAATCCTGTCCCTGGAGATCTACCACCATGAAGAGTTCAGATCCAGCACACTTGGCTCTAATATTCAGATGCTACAGAAGAACATGACAAATCACACTGATATTAGTTTTAGACTGTAATGACCCTTAAAATTATTTTTATGTCCTTATATAAACTCTTGAGTCAGTCTGCCCTGGTCAGTGGCTGCTGGGTTGGTGCGTCTGGGTTGTTGTGTCTCACGTCTTTCATCAGGCTCTCCACTCCTACTGGAGGTCAAAGGGCTGTCTGGAGGAGACCATGTTGTCTTACCTCTGGTGTGTCCTGCAGATGTGGCTCAGAGAGTCCATGGACTTTGACTCCGCATCAGTGCCATCTGTTTTCACAGGGGTGTCGTTATTGGCCTGAGCGTCAGCCTTCCACTGGGATTCTGAAAGCAACCATGACAAGAGTTTGAATGAGACACTTGCCCTTCTGTCCCCACCTCCACCAACTTTTATATGGTCACTGCAGGTCAAGGCTCATATTTGTCAAAGGTAGGCAGGTCAAGTGTGCCTGGCTAGACTATATAAATCCTGCCTGGTGCCAAACAAGCATGTTTCTCCATGGCCTTTAATTCATTCATTTCATTGTTGCCCATTCAATGATTCAGACTACATTTATTAGTTTTATTATACTGCTTCTTTTTCTGGTATTCTGGTTCTTGGGAGCACTTTAAATGTTAGTTATATTCTTTGTATGTCTTGGTGGTTGTCATGACCACCCAGATGAAGATGGTGCCATCAGCCAATCAGCGTTCTTAACACATCAGTTCTCCCTTTGTACTGTGGTCATTCAAAGACTATTTTAGGGGTACATGGGTCACTGAACAAATCCCATTGAAATGAACAGGTGCTAATGGCAATGACTCATCGGGGTCCTCCATGTTTATCAAGCATCTACGACCAGGTCTCATCTGTTCATTTAATCCTATTCAGTAGTGTACAAAAGCTGTGAGCTGACTTAAGATCAGCAATCTTCCACTGAGAAGAAGCTCCAGGAACTGTATTCTGTGCACATTCCGAATAAGTTGTCTGCAGATTTTTTTATGCACCCGACACGTTAACTGAATTTTAATCTCTATTTTATTCCTATACTGAATTTTATTATGTTTTGTAGCACTTTGTAGCACTGAGCCCTGTTTAGTACTACAAAGTACTTGCATACTTTGTTAGCCCCCTTTTACCCTGTTCTTCAGTGGTCAGGACCCCCATGGACCCTCACAGAGCAGGTACTATTTGGGTGGTGAATCATTCTCAGCACTGCAGTAACACTGATGTGGTGGTGTTGTGTTAGTGTGTGTTGTGCTGGTCTGAGTGGATCAGACACAGCAGTGCTGCTGGAGTTTTTAAACACCTCAGTGTCACTGCTGGACTGAGAATAGTCCACCAACCTAAAATATCCAGCCAACAGCGTCCTGTGGGCAGCGTCCTGTGACCACTGATGAAGGACTAGAGGATGACCAACACAAACTGTGCAGCAGCAGATGAGCTATCGTCTCTGACTTTACATCTACAAGGTGGACTGACAAGGTAGGAGTGTCTAATAGAGTGGACAGTGAGTGGACACAGTGTTTAAAAACTCCAGCAGCACTGCTGTGTCTGATCCACTAAGACCAGCGCAACACACACTAACACACCACCACCACGTCAGTGTTACTGCAGTGCTGAGAATGATCCACCACCCAAATAGTACCTGCTCTGTGAGGGTCCATGGTGGTCCTGACCACTGAAGAACAGAGTAAAAGGGGGCTAACAAAGTATGCAGAGAAACAGATGGACTACAGTCTGTAACTGTAGAACTACAAAGTGCTCCTATATAGTAAGTGGAGCTGATAAAATGGACAATGAGCATAGAAACAAGGAGATGGTCATAATGTTATGCCTGATTGGTGTATATTGTCTTTTTGAGATCACAACAACAAATTCCTAGCAACTTTGAGGTTAATGTTGCAAGAACACACACTGTGTAACTGCTTTTAAATTTACTCTCAGACTCCCCTTTCACCCAGTGAACTTGAGTCTCCCTACAGCATCAACGCTGTGCTGAAACATGAGACAAGAAAACTGCGGCACTCAGCAGCGCTGAGTTGATTCGTGCTGACAGGTAATCACAGGAGGGGCACACAGACAAAGCATTTCAATATTGTAGAGGAAAAGAGGAAATCTCACTGAAATCACTACAGCACTGCTGTAACAGAACGAGGGTTAAGAAGTGTGAACAGACTCACTGTGATCTCACTGACTTCAGTCTAGCAAATCTATGCTTGCACATATAGATGGTCATCTTGCTCATCTTCTATTCATATCTTGCATAATCTGGAATATATACATATCAGTATCCTATCCCCTGTGTACCCTGCATCTCATTTATCTACCTCAGACTCACAGTTGCATACATGGAAATGTGTAAAACTGTACATATCATAGCTTTTTATTTCATAACTTATATTACTGTGCAAAACTGTACATTGGAAATAGTGCAACAGTGGTGTATATTAATGTGTATATTGTGTATATTTGTATATATTTATAGTCAAAGTTTATTTATAAAGCACTTTTTACAACAGGTGTTGTCACAAAGCAGCTTTACAGAAAAATCCATGTTTGAGCCCCCATGAGCGTCGCCAATGGCAACAGTGGCAAGGAAAAATTCCCTAAGAGCAAGAAGAAGGAACCTTAAGAGGAACCAAGACTCAAAAGGGGAACCCATCCTCCTCTGGTCGACACCGGATAGCAAACAGCATTAGTATACAATATTAGAAGACAAAACGGGGAAAACAGGCGGAGCAATGGTCAATTAGATTGTTTGAGTTTATGAAGCACCAGCAGCAGCAGGAGGGTCAGTTCATGAGGGTGAGGTTTGCACAGCGATGTACAGCATGAAGCTCAATGGTGGTCAAGCCAGTCCAGAAGGCTGGCGAGCAGTGGGCACCCGATCAAGGCAGAAGAAGCAACAGCATCAGACGCACAGGATGGGGAGTCTAATGTGTATATACTCAGGGCTGGTTCCCTAACCTCCAGCCCACGACTGCCCCCAGTCATTGCTGTTGTCATTTAAATTCAGTTCAATCTAGCGGTTGTTTTTAGTTGGCTGACCTAGTTTTTAGTTTAATCCTGTTCACCCAATGTTCCCAAAAATCATCAAAAATTATCTTCAAATATGAAGTTTTTTATTTTTCAAATTAAGTTCAGTAGTACTTTTAAAATCCTTTCCCATGTAGCTGCACTACTCTTTGTGTAGACAGTATGCCTCCACGGTTATCTGTGTACCACGGATTTTGTAGTTGGAAGGGTAAAAAATAATAATAATATTACTAAGAAATTAAAATGCAGGCATACACAGCTAACATGCTATCATTAAAAAGCTATAGTACTGTTACTATTATTAAGTTTTATAGCCTTAAATTAGCTGAGGAATGCAGATTGACTTGTTTAGAACTCAAAGATTAGGATTATTTACTTGGGACTCGACTTGAGACTTGCCTGTACTGACTCTGGACTTAGCTGAAAGGGCAAAAAAAAATAAAATAAAAAAATTAAAATGCAGGCATACACATCTAACATGCTTTCATTAAAAAGCTATAGTACTGTTACCATTATTCAGTGTTACGGCCTTAAATTAGCTGAAGAACGCAGACTGACTTGCTTAGAACTTGAAGATTAGGACTATTGACTTGGGACCCAGCTTGAGACTCGCCTGTACTGACTCGGGACTTGAAACCAGACTCGGCTATCTTGACTTGGGACTTGGCTCAGGACTTGAGTGTGAAGACTTGAGACTTACTTGTTACTTGCAACTTAGTGACTTGCTCCCACCTCTGTTAACCACAATCTCCATTTGAGTGGGTTTAAAAGAATGGAAATGCCCACCACTAGAGACAACACGCACATCCGTACGTGCACCAACTAAAACGTTACATTATCGGCTGTGATTATCAGCTGTAACTGAAATGACAGGCCTGATAATCTTATTTATATTTTACTATTCATTGTTGAATAGAGTATCTGCCAGCAATACATCGTGCATGTCTCCACTCACTTACCCCACTCTTGCTGCAGGGAGGCCAAGTTGGAGAGCAGTCTCTCGTGGTACAGCCGCTCCAAACGCAGAAACTGAACGGCCCATGTGTCTGCCGCAGTCAGTGATTAAGGAGAACAGTCCTGAGGGCATCTGGGGCCCTTCAAAACCACAGTCTTCACCACACTCACCACATTGCATGTCATATGCCTTTACACAGATTAAATGGAATCTCGGGATAAAACATGGTTTTGTTACAAGCACAAACACATAAATCATCTTTATTATATAACATTCATTAAAACTGGATTTTACGCCTTTTCTTCCTTAGAAACACCCTAAAAATCAACATGGAAAGACACACCCTCGTGAGCTTTCCTCTGGCCACACTGCCCCGGGTCGCTATGACAACAGCACAAACAGGGTGGAGAATTCTCATAGGCAGTGACAGGAAAGAGAGCAGAAAGGGGAAATGGCACAGATGAGTTCCCTACATGTGACTGTAAACAGATCAGATTCTGATCTCAGTAAACAGATCTGATCCTAAACAGTCACTGATATCTGTAACTAACAACTGAGTGAAGTTCACATGATCCATTGTTACCATTCAGACACTGCGTGTTTGGTGACACCTTGCCTTCTTGTGCAATGTTTGATTTTCACTTTTAAGTGAATTGCGTAAGAAAACAGGCCTGAAAAGGCTTTGACAACACTGTGCAGTTCCATCCTAATACTTGTCTAAGAAAAATGCATTAAACTTTTTTCAAAAGTGTATTTAATATGAAAGGTACACATGTTTAATGTTTGCACTTTAAATATACAGCTATATATAATAAATGTATCATCTTGGGACAGTTTATGGCAACTTATGTGTATTTAGAATATGATTATATATAAATTAAATGAATTTAGTTGTGTGTTTGAGTGCTTTTTCTAACTATTTAAATTGCACTCCAGTAGATTTAAGTATGTAATTTGTAGACATAATGGTTATTGCATTTGGAATATATCATAAATGCGGGATATGCAACTAAAATGCACTTTAAATTATTTTTAATATCACTAAATAAACATAACTGCATTCAACGAATAAAACTTTTATAAAGCATAATTGAGTACACACACACACACACACACACACACACACACACACACACATATATATATATATATATTGAAACAGCTAAACATATATATATATATATATTTGGATTATATTTAAGTAAGTGCTTTTCTGCTCTAAATTAAAATAGAATTAGAAATAAAATAGAATAGAAAGCATGTTGCAGTTAAGTCAACTTACCCCTCTACTGCACACATTATGATTAATTAATTAAAATAATTAATTAATTAATTTTCAATTCCCTTTTCTTGCATAAAATGGACCTGATGGATGTGTGTGCAGGGGTCCTTTTGGGGTATGTTGCCCGGGAAGAAATGATATAGAGCTGTGTTCACTGAAGTGGTGAGACCTGGCTTGTGACTGGCCAAATCCATTCCACTGTCGCACAATGTTATATGTACAATTATATGTATGATGTTATCATAAAGTGAGGAAAATGGGTTTGTTGCCCTGAGGGCATCATAGCTTTTTATTTCATAACTTATATTACTGTGCAAAACTGTACATTGGAAATTGCCCTGTGCAATGGAGGGTTGAGCAATTGTTGATTCTACTACATTTGAAATAGATTTTAAAGGTATACTCCCAGATGTACTGGGATATTTTACCGGTAGTTAGTTTGAATTAGATTGCAAATAAATGTAACTGCAGTGCTCTAAAGCAGACTTTAAAAGTCATTGCTTTAAAATATATTTTCTGAATAGTACAGTTAAGTCAATGACAGTTAAATCTGCTTTTGTTTAAGTGCGCTTCAGTATGTTAAGATGTATATTTATTCAAGAGTATTTCCTTACAGTAGTGTATTATATATATTTTTCTATATTTCAGGATAAATGTAGAAGTATTTAAGTATGTTTTAGGTATTCTCTCTATACTTAAAGTATACTCCTGATGTATGCTACTTTTTGCCAGTGTGTATTTTGCAGCACTCGGCTTAAGTGTCTTCCTTGGTATGAGGAGGTTTTGCCAAAATAGCTTTAAAATAGTGATTTGACAGCTTTCTGTTCCAAACCACTGTTAGAAGAATATACTGAAAATCTTTTGCCCTGAAAGTGGACTGGACAGCTGAAAGGTTTGAGTGCTGTGGAGTGATGACATCACAGCAAGAGTACAAAATGCACAAGTTATGGCTTTACAGGTAGCACTTCTGTCAATTGTTCCTTCAGTTTTGCAGTTTTCACAAAGAAAAATGGTGAAAACCCTGAACAGCTTTCTATTTAATGTTATCGCAAAAATTCACAAACATTTCCGGCTGTTTCACCTTTTTGACAGGCAGTGCTCATTTCTTACCATCCATGTTTTCCACTGTGCTATAAAAAAGAGTGAAAAATCCAGGCAAAAGGATACAGTCCTCTTCGAGGAAGTACGCTTCTGCGATCTGCAACGAAAGGGCGCCATTAGAGGAGAAAACACTACAATCTCTGCACCTACTTTAACCCAATTTCCTTTAGAGGAAATGTTTGGCAACAGTGTCCTTACAGTCCCAACTGAGCTGAAATCAAGGCCACGTCTCCTTGTAGGCATGTCAGTTTTGTTGGGGATACAAATTTAGGTCATGTGGTGGAGCCCTAATTAGATTTTAGCTCTCGTAACAGAAACTCTGGTTGTGATTAGAGCCATCACTATTGATTATATTAGAAACTGAGCCATTGTTTTGATGATTAGTTGAGCAATCAGAGTTATTTAAAATTGGTGGAATGACAAAAATGGCCAATGAAAATGCATAGTTTATTAGACAAAGATAAACAGAGAAACCTTTAAAAAAGACTAAATTAAAAATGGACAGATATAAATGGATGTGTCTATCAGGCTCTGTTTTTTTACTGTAAAAAACCTGTAAGTCCTGTACAAATATTTAAAATATGCATTATCGTCATGCTCCAGCCAGTTACCTATTGTAGATTCATTGCTGTGAAGGTAAACTGTAAAAGGTAATTGATGGTTTTTAATTGAGTAATTAAGTTTAATTGAGTTGCAGTTGTGATCGTAGTAATTAAAGGAGTCAACATTCCACAATTCCTTCAAAATTTTGGCACAATAAAATGGTTAAGATGAGAAGATGGTGATAGGAACCAGATGTCTGTAGCACTAAATGTCTTTAAAAGCTCTCTCATGGAAATCTACTACATGAAATGGTTACAAGTACACTGCTTGATGTCTGGGACATTGTTTTATGATGGTTTTAAAGTAGAGTTTAGGCCTAAACCGTATTTTGTTATCCTTTTTTGTCCATTCATGGTGGATAGACACACGTATGGCATTGTAAGGCAAAACAGTCCCCAGAGAAAACCTATTTTTGCAGATTTATCATTATTTTACTATTTAGACAGGTGTAGACTCAGATGGCAAAATGTTATTGTGACCCCTGGTTCCTATCGACACCACTGTAAAGAAATCCGAGTCAGTAAATTTCTCCACAAAGAACCATTTAACATCAAACCACTCTGAATGACTTAGTTCAAATCTGAATGACTGAATTATGAAGAAATTTTGAAAAATGGGTGGAATTCCCCTTTAAGCAAGATCTTAAAAGCCTCACATGTGCCAGCATTGCAGTACAAGTCTGACATTAACCTCAAGCTTATGGGATGTGAGCTTATTTCCGTTCTCTAGTACATATGCATGCTTTTACCCACATTGGCTCTCCTTCAGCATATCATAATTCTCTCATATGAAAGACAGTAAATGTGGGTAGCATAATTGCAGGACTGGCACATTCACATAAATCCTTGCTAAGCCCTGGACGTATACATTTGCCGCAGGACTACTCTGACTTCACCATCACAGCGTATTGTAAACATACACAGTGCCTGTCTGGGTGGATGTCAGCTTTAAGCATCTATTTAACCCCTTAAATGCTCAGAGGCCACCATCCAATCTGGGCTTCCATTCCTCACTGCTATAGCTTAAGAATAAGTCAGCACTGTTTTACATGTAGCTACTGTATAATAAGCACTGGAGTGTAATAGGCCTGGGAATGTAAGGGGTTAACAGCATTTGTCATGCTGCTAAAAGCCAAACTACTCGGCAGGTCTCTAACGTACTGCTGACAAGACATAAGCTAAGACAGGTTAATTATTAATGCACTGATTTTGCTCTGGTTTGATTGGCACTCTCACTTTGAGAAGTTAATCCAACTTGCTGCACAACAAAGGCACATGAGTCATTGAAAGGGCCTAAAGTCACTTTCCACTCCACAAAGTGCAACACAGTCATGTCACTCTTACTCCAGATGCCTTTCACACAGTAGTTACACTACAGCTGCACTTCAACCAGTAAAACATAAGAGGACAAGCATTTACTTTTACTTTCATAGGAACTCCCAAAGCTCACAGTATTAGTTGGCATTCGAAACATGCAGTACGCCTCAACAAAAAGCAGCCAGCAGGTTCAATAGTGCAGATGATAAAGTTACAAAGAGCAAAATTCCCAGCATACAAATATACCGGTCCCACAGTAAAAACTATTAAAATGACAGTTAAGTATTCAGACCTTGGATATTGTGGGATTTGCAGGGGAAAAGTCAGGTAAGGCCATAAATTCTGCTCAAAAATGTCCTTTAATGAAGGACAAGACAAAAATGCCACATGCCAACCATCTGGAATAGCTGGAAAGGTCACCTAAAGCCATGCAGTTCCATTCTACAGTCAGCACTTTATTTAACTAACCCCACCATCCGGCACATAAACACACACACATAACACATCTCAAACTACCAAACCACAACAACAACAACAACAGTTACAGGGAGCACATATCTCCCATAATCCTCCATGCCTGTGAGCTCCGCAGCGCAGTCAATAGTGAAACGCCACAATATTTACAGTGATTATGTTGTGGTCTATTCAAACTCAAGCCATTAATTGAGATTGTAATAAGGTAAATATATACAAAATCTGGCTGCCCCAAACCCTAACCCCAAAATTTCAACTTGTGAAAATACTTATTTGTATAGATTACATTTATTTTTTATTGTTTTTTTAGAGCTATTTTTTTCTAGAAAGTAAAGTTGAGATTTTGATGAGTTTAGTTTTTAAATAAAAACAAACTTCATGTCATTTTCATGTCACTACTGAAACTCTAATGAGGAGTTTAAGTCCATAGGCGGAGCCTTATTTTAGCCACAAGCTTGCATTTTAGAGCAGGAAGTGAGGCTGCATCCCTGTTCCTCATGGCCACATGGTGAGCAGTTAGATCCCACTGTTTTGAAGTAAACGTCTCCCAGAGTCTGAACGTCAGTGCGTAACACTAAGTATAGTCACTACCAACACACATATGTTCTGCAACTAAGTAAACTTCTTATGTATTTTTAAAGGAAATATATTTGATATATATGATTTTTTGTGTGTACAACTGCTCAAAGCTCTGTTTGCTTTGTCAGATATTGGCTAGCATTATTGAGTTCTGCTCAAACTTAGATAAAATTGTCACTACGGTAACAGTCACTACTGAAACATCTGGGTAGCGTCAGGACTGTTTTGATGGTGACAGAATTGTGTGTTTGACTATTTATTTGCATAAGATAAACATAACTAAGGCATAAGGTCTCTCAAAGCGAAAGGATTTTAGTCTGAAGTTCAAGTCAGTGGTAGAATTATCCAAACACACATATCCTGAATTTCTTTTGCTGAAGCTCAACTGTAGCCATTCCAAAGACATTTTAATGTTACATGCTAATTCAGAAAAAAAAAAAAAAACTTTAAATGGACTAAATTCTAACAAGTGCTAGGCGGGAATGTTAAAATTCTGTATTGCAGCATTCTCCAAATACATCACAGTCTCACGGTAACAGATGATGTTTCAGTTTGCGTTAATAAAGTTAATGAGCCCATGCATCCTGTGCACTTCAGCTCGGGACCGTAAAAGCCTTAAACAGTACTGTAAACGTTAACCATTCACAAGCCACATTTACAGAATGGAAATGTTTACATTTATTGAGTTGTTTTGGACTTTGAACTGTTCTTCTAAAACAATCTGAAGCGGCCAGTAAATCACAACACTGCAATAACATGTATAAACATGTGCAATAACATGAGTAAAGCACACTAAATAGAACTTAAAAACAAAAGAACTGCTTGGTAACTGGAGCGTTGCTCCTTTATGGTCATCATGTCACAAATATAATGCTCGATATCAAATATATTTGATGAAAATATTGTTAAAAATTAAAATAGTTTATCATAATTATACAATATCATCACAGACAATATACATTGATCACCCAACACTAATTCTAACATACCATAAATGAAACACCATTATCTGTGCATTAGACATCTCTATGCATTTTACTACACGATACTAATTTAGCATTTATACCTAATGAAGCACTAAGGAGTCTATCAATTTAACGTGAGCCAAACTCACCTGGTGTAAGGAGTGGGGCAGAAGCATGTGATCACTGTGTTCACCCAATGAGCGCAGGGCAGCCAGCAAAGAGGGGCTGGGGCCAGGAGCCCTACAGAAATGACCTTTCAAAAAAAAAAAACACATCAAGTTAATGATTCAATTCACTGAAGCCCTTTACAGTCACAAGTTTGTTTTAAGCACTGTTTTGATGTTTTAGTTCAGTTTTATTACAGTTTAACAAAACAGAACACAAAAAATAAGCTGCTCAGAAGTTAAAAAGGCAGTGAATTTCATTCTTATTTTGTCTACATAAACTTTTTTATTGACTTTCTTAAGTCAGAAATCCAAATAATAGCAAAGTGATCTTGAAAGTACTGATTTTTGTTTCATTGTTGTCAAATAGTGCTATAGCTGGTGCTTATCATACATATAAAAAAGTGGTGGCTTAGTTAAAACACGTTAGGAAGCTTCTGCAGGTGTGCATGTGTGGTATGTATTTGCGTGTATGAGATATTAGCCTCTAGGTGAAAAAGCTGACCTTATAGCAACCTTTCAGAAGGTTAGTTCAATGGAAATTTACAAAAAGCATGCGCCTTCAGCTCGGTTTGGAAAGTATTAGGACACAGACACGTTTACCCAACGTACTTCCATCTAAGGAGAGCTTTGTGATTTCATTCTCGGGTTTTTCTTCTGGGTTGTTACTCATCATGTCCTGTTTCGCTGCTCCCCAGTCTGCAGGTTCTGTCTCCTTCAGCCTGTTCTGGTTCTCATCAGAAACAGACAGGTCAGGGTTGACGATGGCGTCTGTGCTTTCAGACCAGACCCTGGCGGCCTCCTCTGTTTTGGGGTCTCCCATAACATCAAAGCAGTCCTGCACGTGACCATGAAGAGCCTCAAGCTTGATGTAAAGTCCAAATCTGCCAGACATAAACATTTTACAAAATATTGGTTTTGAAGGATGAAAGCTTTCTTCAAAGCAATGGTTTGACCTAAAGTTTGCTTCTTTACGTTTGTGCTCGAGCGAAGGCTGCCACAAGATCTCCTCTTCAACTCAGGTACTCCTCCTAGACACAGTTAAGTCCAGTTTGAAATCAGAGTGGGACTGAGGTGGTGGTGGTGTGTTAGTGTGTGTTGCACTGGTCTGAGTGGATCAGACACAGCAGTGCTGCTGGAGTTTTTAAACACCTCAGTGTCACTGCTGGACTGAGAATAGTCCACCAATCAAAAATATCCAGCCAGCAGCGTCCTGTGGGCAGCGTCCTGTGACCACTGATGAAGAACTAGAGGATGACCAACACAAACTGTGCAGCAGCAGTTGAGCTATTGTCTCTGACTTTACATCTACAAGGTGGATTAACAAGGTAGGAGTGTCTAATAGAGTGGACAGTGAGTGGACACAGTGTTTAAAAACTCCAGCAGCACTGCTGTCTGATCCACTCATACCAGCGCAACACACACTAACACACCACCACCACATCAGTATTAGTGCAGTGCTTGAGAATGATCCACCACCCAAATAGTACCTGCTCTGTGAGGGTCCATGGGGGTCCTGACCACTGAGGAACAGGGTAAAAGGGGGCTAACAAAGTATGCAGAGAAACAGATGGACTACAGTCTGTAACTGTAGAACTACAAAGTGCACCTATATAGTAAGTGGAGCTGATAAAATGGACAATGAGCATAGAAACAAGGAGGTGGTCAGAATGTTATGCCTGATCGGTGTACCTTCATGGCAGAGAGGAAAATGCCGAGCTTGTACTCATTGTGACCCCTGGTTCCTACAACCACCACTGTGAAGAAATCAGAACTGGTAAGTTTCTCTACAGTGAACCTTTTCACATCAAACCTCTCTGAATGACTTTGTTTCTCTTTGAGTAATGTTTTTGCGGGGAATTCACCTAAATGTGTTGGACTCCAGCCATCCGGGTCTGAATGGATGGCCTCTGACCTACATCTTTCAGCACTAAAAAAATTGATGATATGGCAAAAATACCACATCATGATACTTTAAAACAATTTCACGATATGATACATATTACAATATTTTGACAAAGGACACAGCAAGATAGTTGGGTCACATTTGTGCCACAATCAAAAACTGTAAATACAATGATTTTTATCAATATTTCACATACTGAACTGCTCTAAATGCAGTTAAACAGGACTAATTAGTCTCTTTAATGACACATGCAGTGTCATTGTTCTTTAAGTACTGACGATAATTACAATATGCTCAGAGATGTTATCAAGATAATAAAATTTATCACGAATTACAGTAAAATATTGTGATATTGCCCATCTCTATTTCGAATCTCTAAATAGTTTGCATGTAATATACATGCCAGCACTGTGAAACTGGCGCTCCAGTGCTGGGCTTATAATAACACACAATTTGCACAGCTCCACTGCGCTCTACAGTATAACTGTCTCCCACAGAGTAAACATATCATTCACCTTGCTGCACCTGAAATTACGAAAATGATCTATGTACAGTTTTTTTCCAAATAAATCTATTTTCTGCCTCACCTAGAGCCTTCCTTGTCCTCAAAGACCCTCATTTTTCCCACACTTTGCTCTATCACAACACATCTGAAGCAAGCGATCAAAACCACTGAATCTCTGGCACAGTTGTGCTGGAAGCTGGTATAGAGCAAAAATGTGGACTGACTGGGAAACAGTGCCTTAGGGCAAAGCAGCGCTGTCAAACCCAGCTACCCTGGCGGAAAGCACTGACATGCGGGTTCGTAAACAAGGAGCAGTAATGAGTGCTCTCTGCATTATTGATGGAAGAGCTCTTGTCCCAGTGCTGAAAGGAACAGATATGGCAGGGTGGCAAGGTTAGTGTGCTCGAGAGTGCTCGGTATAAAATAATGTACCACTGCCAAGAATGTAGGCCGAGCGAACATGAGGAGTGGAAGCAGAATGAGCAGAAGCAGAAGAAAAGGCCAGGAGGGTTTTTCTTCGGCCACGTGCAGAGATCTGTTCAGTATCAACAGGAGAAAGCCAAGCTCACACTTGGGCTATGAGCTTCCAGTCCTTGTTAGCTACATTAGCCTTGTAGCTCCAGCGCAAAACTAAAGAAGGAAACTTTGAATACCAAATGTGTAGGCTGACCAACTGTACTTGGGGAAAGGAGCAAATCATCTCTATCATGTCAAATCCTCTCTTTTTTAACACCACTTGAAAATACCAGCTGCCTTTTAAACTATGAACATTTCATTACAAAAGTCTGTTACATTAAAGTCAACCTGAAATCAAAATTGATGTCCCTGGTCATATTAAGCAGGATTCATCACAGTCTCACAGGCCCAGACGTGATCTCGTAACAGCCATGAGAAATTTTGGACTGAATGTGGGTTATATTAGGTGGCAATGCAGACTTTTATGTATGTAGACTTTTATGCATGTACACTTTTATGCATGCAAAACTTTGGGCTCCCTGGTTAAATGACACGTTTTGTAGAAATGTGAATAAGTTAAGGCATCCTATACAGAGAACACATTTCTGCCCATTTTAAAATAAGAATTACATGAACAGAGATTAATAGGAAAAAAAGAAACAGCCAATTTTTACTTTTGCATATAACTGTACACACTTTATTTGAATACCTAAGTGATTAAAAGAATACTGAGATGAGTGTGGACATCTGCTTCTACTAGAATACCACCTCTCTGACCCCTCTTCTCCTACAAAGCCTACAGTTTTGGAGACACATGGTTTGGTAACACTTTATTCGGATGGTCCACTTTAGAGGCTTTGTAGATGCTTTTTTTACTTAGATGCTAATTTACTTTCAAGTTACATTCAACTAAATATCTTCTAAACTGACCATAATTTTCTTCAACTCTAAACCTGCTCTAATCCTAACCCTAACCTTAACCTCAACCCAAAACTAAACCCAACCCTCTCCTTGATCCAAATCATAACCCTAACCCTAGTTTCAACAAATAGTTTGTTAACAATTTGAACATCTGTAGATAATCTGTAGGGAACTATAGAGGACTATCCAAATAAAGTGAGACCTATGGTTTTGTTACAACAACAGTATGCATGAGACCACGTTTCATTTTAGGGTATTTTGGTGGACGTGTCCTTTATTGTGTATGGAATAATGGCTGACCCTTTCTGTGACCACTTGGGCAGATTAATATTACAGTGTATTGTGAAAGTAGAGGAGGCTGTATGATCTACTACATTTAATAACTACCATCAATATTAAGCCAGTAACATCACTGTTTTCCCACAGCCTCACAGACATTTTGTCGAGCTATTTTTACAGCCATGTTTCTATTTTCGAGTTTAGAAGTTTGTTATTTTATTCTTCTCTCCAAGGGGTCAGTACTGTACCTAGCAGTGTACAGCAGTTCCTTCATTCTTGACGTTTGCTGATATAGCGATATATATATATATATATATATATAAAACTGAAAAATGACAAAAACGGAAATACAAGGTTTTGTTCCAACAGCTGCGATATATATATATGTATATATATATATATATATATATATATATATATATATATACATATATTTACATTGTGCATAATTTCTATGATGAATGGACCAAAATAAATTACCCAGAATTACTTGAAAAGACGTCTGGTTCCATTGATTTAAATCAAAAGTAAAGTATGTTTTTTCTTTCTCTCACTCTCTCTCTCTCTCTCTATATATATATATATATATATTCTCCAGGTGCATGTAACTGAGTCTGCAGCTTTGATCATTTCTACATTCTGCAGTTCAGCTAGCCTGGTAATTGCCAATTATGTTATTTTCTAAATGCTTAGGTCAAGATTCTCCCTATTTTTCCTTCTGGTGTTTGGTTAGCGCTCTGCCTTCCTTCTGCATTAGGCAGCTAGCAGAAAAAAAAACACTAACAGTCTGCCTTAAGGTATCCACCCCAAAGCAGCTGCAGTTCATCAAAAGATACTCCCCCCTTTAAAATACATTATCAGAAGAGGATTTATTAGCTGAAATGGAATATAATATACAAAACCATGTTTTTATTGGTGTATAAACACCTGTAACTATGAATTGTTGTTTTTGTCAGCTTAGAATCAGCCCTTCATATCTCACAGGGAGTGGATCCTCTTCTAACAGAGGCCGCCATGGCGCTATAGCACCAGTAAGACGTAGAAAGGATAAGAATCAGTGTTTGCTGCTGGGGTTGGCTAAGCATTCTGTGTTGTGAGAAATTAGGGAACCCAATTTTTGACAAATGAAGGATCATACTTATTATTTAGCACAAGAAAAAGCAAAGAAGGGTGAATCATTATCGTCTAAGAAGCAGGAAACTTTTCCTCAAAAGTAAAATAGTTCCTTGTAAAATGTCTCTTAACTTTTGACTTTTTACGAGACTGAAGTCAGCTTCTCATTCGTCAGCTTCTTGTTTGATTTTTCCAGTTCCACCTTAAATGTAGAATGTAGCTAACTATGTAGCCAACTGTTGCACCATTTAAGGTGGAACGTGAAAATTCGAACAAGAAGCTGGCAAATGAGAAACTGACTTCAGCTTTGTGACTCTTCAGTTTTTGACAGTTTCTCATTGCAGATTAAATGTTTCAGGAAACCAGTTGGAGTGATTATGAATGCAAATAAGTCCATTTGTCTCCAAATTATCGATCGTCCACCTCAGTCTTTCTATGTGACTTTTCAATTATCTACTAGATAAGTGAGATTGTTGTCTGCGTCGCTGTGAACATCAACAGCATTTAAGACCATTCATTGTTCAACTGTTTTAAATGATCAGCAGAGCTTTATTTTACTGCAAAGAAGGATTATTTTATTTTTACCTACGAATCTAATTCTGCTGTGGAGCCACAACAGGGCAGTAAAAGAGCCGCACGTGGCTCCAGTGCCCTGTGTCGCCGACCCCTGTACTACATGCTTAGAAAGGGAGAGGTGAGGGAGGGATATTCAGCTGATTACAATCTGCACCCTCCCCACTACATGCCACTATATCTTGCTCCTTTAAACCGGAAAATCTCGAGAGACCAGAGTCTACTAGGCATGAATAGGCATGTTTACAACAGATGAAGCAAAGGTTAGTTTTTTCGTTTTGGAGTACCTCTTTAAGCATGTAATCTAAAAGAGCAATGCATTCAAAGGGCTTAAATCACCAGTTCAAGCACCTACACATTGGTATTTAATTTAATCCAAGGGCTTTGCACGCAAGACGTGTCATTGCCGCACACCCAGTCTCAAGGAGGATTTAACACGGAAGCCTGCTAGGAGCTGTGATCTTTTAATCTACAACCGCATAATTAGTCTGATAAGGATGATTGTTAACTTCCTTTAAACTTAATGCCAGTACTTCACTGGCAGCTGCAAACGCCAGGCGTGTTCAGGTAGTCTAATTCTGCACATAAAGCTTTGGGGGATCTTGCAGCTTGGACCATGTTTGGATTGTTTTGAGACATACCTGAGCTCCAGAGAGGCTTTTGACCAGCTGCTGAACTGCAACATAAAAGTGTGAGAGAACCACAGTGTTAGTGAAAACCCACAGCTTAGCAACAAATGTCACAGCATTACAGGAACCAAAGAACTTCTTATAAAAAAGGCTTTATACTTCATAGAAATGTTTGTTTTTATTGTTGGGCTAGCTAAAATATTCCACTTTTACAAAGTGTATTATGCAATTATGTAAATGTATATATTTATTTTAACCACTCACTAGAGCTTATGTTTGCAGATTATGCATGATGATATCACTATCATGTAGGCATCGGACAAATGTTTGGATTTGACTGATATTACACTCTGATATTTTATGATGTATTAAATGTAACAGAACATAAAATGTGTTTTTGGTTATATTCTCATATTCCTATAGCATCATCATCTGCTGAATGTCCACAATAATCAGATGAAGCATGAAGGAACCTTTTTCATCTTAAGTGCTTTTCAATTACTGTATTGTCACAGAATTCAATCCTATATTACAGAGGTCACTAATAAGTGGACCGCGGGCCGAGTCCGGACCCAGACACTGTCCGAAGCGGACCTGGACCCATAACCGATAAACTGTGGAGAACTGTTTAATTTCGACGTGGTGGTCCTATTTTAATCGGCGTAACTTTTCTAGCCTTTGCGGTACTGATTTAGCAGCCCGGGAAACTCACAGGCCATTGTAAATATCACAGTAACGCTACTCATCCAATCAGAACTGTGCATTACAATGAGCTCTGAGACTCGAGTGAGTGACGCACACACAGGGGAGGGACGAGGCGAGAAACGGCAGTCAGAGAAGAAAGTGAGTCAGAGAGAGGTTATTTCACATGGCGTTCTCTAAAAAGAGAAAACTGACAATAAATATTGTTGAAATATGACTGAATTGTACTTATTTGATTTGACATTCAGTTGTCGACTACATAAGACTGATATACCTACTAGGCTACCTCAGTAAACAGTATACGGCACTGAATCATGATGCAAGTTAGACATTATGATGTTCCGGACTTTTGCTTGAGGAAATTTTCTCGAACTGGACCTTATTGAATTTAAATAGCCCTGCTATATTAGATTAATCTTGTCTTGGTGGCTAAAAAAACAAACTCACAAGAGCTAGCCAGATTAAAGCCTAGGGATGCGTCAATACCAATACTAGTATCAGGTATACCGTGATATTCACAGATATCGATTGGGAACAAAAACAGAAACTATAAAATGTGCCATAACTTTTGCACAGCTCACATTTTTTTCATTGTTTTTAATGATATATTCTGAAATAACAATAACTGTGCAGAAACAATAACTGTGCATTAAAATGTGCAGAGGGGTGCACATGTCTGCAGAGGAAGTCTTAACCTATTTTCACTTAAAAAATCAACAGAACGTGTAATTTGACCAGGGGTACACAAACTTATGCATACGATTTTAATCATATGTTAGTCTTGCCCGAATATTTTTTAAATTATTTAGCACAAATCAAAAAGTGTTAAGCTGAGCCTAATCCAGTCCCACATGAAAGATATCGGATATCGACATCAGAGCAGACCTGCCACATCAGTGATATCAGTGCAGCCCTGAACATCACAGCCTCCTGCATTAGAATTTAGAGGCTGGAGCAGAAACGCTTGCACAGTTTCACCAGGTTGCTTCTTAATTCAGCTACACAGCATAGAATACCATGAATCTGGCGCAGGTTCCTCTAAATAAACGGCTGTAATGACGGAGAGCAGGGCTGTCAGAGCTCTCAGGGGGAGGAGGAGCGCTGTGCTGAGAGTCATTACAGTGAAGCAGAAACAGCTGCTCACGTGTTCTCTGTTGACTCCCAGAGCAATTTACAGCCATTTTCTCTGTATCAGTCCGTTCAAAGCAGGCTACTCACTCAGCCTAGTCACCATCCTTTCACCCTGACAGAATCCACCCCACCGTCCTGTCACCTACACCAGCCTCGGCCTCTTCATTATAGACATAAACAGCCAGGTCTCCCTCAGACGCGCCGTCCAGTACAGCGGTCAGCTACTCACATGTAAACCAGCAGCCGGTGTCAGGAAAGGCGCTCGGCTCGGTGTCTGATCGCTGTAATCCACTTGTTCTCTGTCTTCACCGCTGTAAAGCAGCACACTGACCTGGAATCAGCCTTCACAGCTGTGCAGATGTTTTCCAGGCAGTCAGTGGGCGGTCCCTTAACATTATGCTGCTGGTCTTTGTGGGGTTTTAGTGCCACCCTCTGGTTCTTTGGCGCACTGACAGTCAAACCCTGTTAGTGTGGGGCAAATGAAGAACTCCACAGAGGGCTGAAGGGCCCTTTCTCAACACCTGTGATGTTTTGTCTGTTATTTTTGCATTAGTTTTGTTTTGAGGTTCTATGTTCTAAGGTAATATAATAATAATACACAGTAACAATTAACTATGTACTTTAACAGCTGTATTGTCCATCTACATAGAACAAGCAATAAAGAGGTAAAAAATAAATGATTCATTTCTGCCTTCTTGAGTTTATTTTTGAAGCATAGTCACCAGTGATGTCTTTATCATATTTCAATCAATTTCGTGGCTGATGTAAACTATATTTATAAAGACTGAGACTGAACTGCCTGCAGCACGACACCCCGATACAGTACAATACAGTACGAAGACTACATATCTTTATCATCATACACAGGAAATGGAGCTATATAGGCCCCGACTACAGTGCTTCAGGCTTTATTCAAAACCAGAATACAGCTTAAATCTTTTAATAAGCCACAAATAGAAAATCTCTGCCATTCTGAATCGTCGCTACTTATAGGCTTTGTTGAGTTTCTACAGGAATCTGAAATGGTTTTGTTGAAAAAGCTACAGCTTAGTGATTTCAGATGCACTGAAACACACAAGACTTTTATTTCTAGGAAAAATTAAAGCGCTATTAAAATGTAATAGCAAAACTAGATAGATAGATAGATAGATAGATAGATAGATAGATAGATAGATAGACAGACAGATAGAGAATTATAAAGATATATAGATAGATAGACTATTAATCCTGATGGAAATTGCAGAGTTACAGTTGTTGACAGTTGTCAAGGTCCTGCTTTGTCATTGCTATGGTATCCCATGCGGTTGCTAAGATGTAGTTTGGCCATTACTTTGGGGTCCTAGGTGATTACAAGGCTGTTCATATGGTATCCAAGGTGGTTGCTAAGTTGTTGGTTAGCCATTGCCATTGAATCTCAGGCGGTTGCTAAGGTGTTGCTGGACCATGACTATGGTATCTCAAGGTGGCTACTAAGGTGCTGCTAGGCCATTGCTGTGGTATCCCTGGTAGTTCCTAAGGTGCTGCTAGGCCAATGCTATGGTATCCCAGGTAGTTGCTAAGATGTTGCTAGGCCATTGTTATGGTATCCCTGGTGGTTCCTAAGGTGTTGCTAAGCCATTGCTGTCTGTATGTAATGTCTGTGTAGGCAGTGTGAGAGATGTCGTTTGTGACTTCAGTTGTGGCACTTAGCTTTAAGTTTTATGAATCTTAAACAAACACTGTACAAAAACTGTTGGTTCAATCAGTCCCAAAAGCACAAGCTCACTATTCCCATATAGGCTCAACAATCCCGCAAAGTTTCGTGGTTCTAGTTCAGAAGCTGCATCTCGTGAAAACAGTACAAAAAGGTGTATAATAACAAAACAGAGAACTACAAAGGCTTTGTCGAGCCAACTTAAATAGATAAATAAAATTTACAGTATACTGTAAGTTGAGGTAGCTTTTTTAAAAAGTTAAAGTGTACGTGGCTGTATTTTTCCAGATCATGAGATCATGGAACAAGTAACACAAATAACACAAAGTGTGCAATACTACACAAGAGAATACAAGATACTATTCAGCTGAGCACCATTCAGTCTGAATGAAGGACAATGGCAGTAGGATGACTCATTACAGATTCCAGTACTTGTAGATAGGAATGATCTCACATAGGACTCCTCGCTTTTCTGTTTGGTCAAAATGTGCTGAGTCAAAATTATCGAGCGTCCTTCATTCTGCCCCAGCCTCCAGTGAGTGCGGTCTGGCTCTGTGGACAGAGACAGCCTTCTTAATCTGTTTATCGATCTTGCTGGTTTCAACAATGATTATGCCATTGCTCCAGCATAACACGGCATAAAAGATTGCAGAAACAACAACAGACTGGTTGAAGACCTGCAGGAATTACTTGCATACACTAAACAACCTGAGCAACCCAAAGTATTTAGACTGATTTACCAGTTTATTAGTTTCATATACATGGCCCTTCATTCATTGACCATTTTATTAGAAACACCTACCATATACCATGTAACTGTTGCTGTAGAATTTATCAGACCCCCTCTATCAGGTCCACCCAGGGGCACTATGACCCAGCCCTGTCTCCCCATCCCCAAACTCCTACCAATGACCCAGTCGTTTCCCCATCCCCATACCCCTACCAATGAACGAGTTCTGTATCCCCATCCCCAAACCCCTACCAATGAACCAGCCCTGTCTCCCCATCCCCAAACCCCTACCAATGAACCAGCCCTGTCTCCCCATCCCCAAACCCCTACCAATGAACCAGCCCTGTCTCCCCATCCCCAAACCCCTACCAATGAACAGCTCTGTCTCCCCATCATCCCCATACCCCGACCAATGAACCAGTTCTGTCTCCTCATCCCCAAACCCCTACCAATGAATGAGTTCTGTATCCCCATCCCCAAACCCCTACCAATAAACCAGCCTTGTCTCCCCATCCCCAAACCCCTACCAATAAACCAGCCTTGTCTCCCCATCCCCAAACCCCTACCAATGAACCAGCCCAGGGTCTGTAACTGGTAACAAAGGCAAATGGGGAAAAAAAATCCATTACCATTATAAACTCACTTTATTATACACTCTTAAAAAGGATGGTTCTTCAAATATTCTTTAGTAAAAGCAATGTTTCTATTTAGATCCATGAGTTCTATATAGAACCATTTCTTGCTTAAATGGTTCTTTGCATAGTGAAATGGTTCTTCAGATTGATGGAGAATGTGTTATATAGTTCAATGTGGACCTTTTTAAAAATGCTTCCATATAGCACCAAACAGGGTTCTTCTATTGTTACTTGACATTGCAACAATACACTCTTACAAAGATGTTTCTTCAAGGGTTTTTAGTAGAGATATAGAAATATGAACACTCAAAGATCCATTTGCATGCTTCTTCTTTAATATAACGTTTCTTCAGATTGATGGCGAATGTGCTGTATACGGTTCTAAACAACCTTTTTGAAAAGGGTTCTGCGGTCATTACAAGATCGAGCTTATAATAACAGAGCAGAGGTCACTAATAGGCGGACCGCGGTCCGAGTCCGGACCCAGACACTGTCCGATGCGGCCCTGGACCTATAACCGATACACTCTGGAGAATTATTTAACTCGGACGGGTTCATCCTATTTCAATCAACGTGATTTTAATCGGAGAGAGGAAAGTTTTTTCACATGCTGCGCTCTAAAAAGAGAAAACTGACAATAAATATTGTTGAAATATGACTGAATTGTACTTTATTTGATCTGACATTCAGTTCTTGACTGCATAAGATGTTGATATAACTACTAGGCTAATTCTGTATATAGTATGTGGCACTGAATCACGATGCCACATGAGGATATTTTCTCGAACTGGACCTTATTGAATTTTAATTAAAGACCCCTGTAATCGAGGAACCCTTTTTGGTGCTATGCAAAACCATTTTCAAAAAGGTTCTGCTTAGAACCATATATAACACATTCTCCATCAATCTGAAAAACAACGTGACCATGCAAAGAAGCATTTAATGTAATCTGTGTCTCTCTGGATTTAAAGTACAGGAGAGGAAAAGAATAATATATGCTCACATCTGCAGTTCACTGCTAGCTCAGGGGGAAAATGCTAAATGAGCCCAAATGTAGGAACTGGAGCAGAAAGGGACAAACGCTGCTCTAGAAGAAGAGGAACTGTAGGGTCTTACTGAGTGCAGTAATGACTCTTACTTTACAACAGACCTTTAGTTCTCCTGAGTGAACTCAGTTCATACAGCTGCTTTCCCCAGCCTCGTCTCAGATGAGTAATATTCCCTCTGACAGCAAACAAGCTGGTCAGTCGAGTCATTCTGTATGTTGGAAGAACTTTACAGTGAACTTTTCAGTTAAAAATAACATTTTTTTACAGTATGTTATAGCTTTTCTGTATTAACTGTAAATCACATATGCAGAAGTGGTTAATGACCAGATGAATGAACCAATGAAGCATTTTTAAGAAAAGCAGTCCAACTTCTATTAGTATTCATAGAAATGAAGTGAGTCTGTATGAACCAGTGCTGAGACGTGTTTACTACGTTGTTTATTAGTGCATATAAGACTGATCAAGGGATTACTACAGTACATCTACATTTGCTTCACATGTAATGTCCACTTAAATAAGACCAGTAAGTTATTTTGCTTCGAAAACATTAACATAAAACATTTCTTCGAAAAGTGAGTTTGCACTTTATAAAAGCCTCGTACAGACATTTCTGTTGACCATCAACGTTGGTCGCCCTTTAGGTAACAGATAAGGATGCATCGTCACAGTAATTCAATGTCAGTAATGTTGTTAGCGTGGCTGTGGAGGCAGCTCAGGAGCTGAGGCATTTGTAAACTCATTTTATTGGTCAGCTTGACTCAGGACCTCCATCTGTCAAGTTCATTTGTAGCGCCGCACTCCAATATGTTGCTCTGACCCACATCCAAGCCTAAGCTGTGGCCAAAACAACAATTCGTTGTTCAGATCTGATTTGATTAGCACCAATGAGTTCAACCTAAGGACATTGGTGGTCATTTAGAGGCATGTTTGATAGTGTTGTATAAATAACAGTACTGTACATTATCAAAAAGAGGTGGATGTTAATTGAAACATGCTGTACACGACAAAAAATGATATCTTGACAAGTGAAATTATCTTAAGTCTAGTCTATGCATCTAATATTTTTCATTTTGAGATTGTTGTAGGCTTATTTAACTCATTTCTATACACTTTTAAGTGATTTTAGTAAGTAAAATCCTAACTATATTAGCAGATAATTTTACTTTTTTGTTATATATTTGAATTATCTGCCAATCTAGTGAGATAATTAGACTTACTAAAATCACTTAAAACAAGCAAAAAGGTCTAAAAATAAGTTAAATAATCTTATAATAAGCTTACAACAATCTCAAAATGAGAAATATTAGCTTTATTGACTAGATTTAGGATAATTTCACTTGCCAAGATGTCATGTTGCACTGTATTCAGTGCTATATTCCTATGAACCCTTTATATTCCACAGCTGGCCGGCAGCGCTTCTTTTGCCTGCGCCTTGGTGTGGCATCGAAAGAGGTAACCATCATGACAAGTGCCTTGCAGCGGCTCACTTGGCTCTCGAGCCGCTCTGTGACCAACTCTAGTGCCTCTAAGTGTTCCAAGGAGTCCACTTCAAAGGTTTGCCAGAGATCAACTGTAAAGTCCAGAGCAAAAATTAATTACAAAATGAAATAATAAGCAAAAGCAGCACCCCCCCTTTAGTTAAAAGGATAAACGTCTTCCACTGACACACACAACTCTAGATGTTCTAGATCTAATGTTATGGTTTACAGTATAATTCAACAAGGAAATTATTAAAAATACACACTTGCCCAAGTCAGAGTAATAAGAGTCTCAGCTTCAGAAGCTCCACCCACACATACATGGAGAGTCTGCTATTTATAGCTAAGCTGGCCTCAACTATCAGGATTTTGTCGGTGCCATTCTGATTGGCTACCTGCACATCTATGTCCATGCACTTTGACGCCCAGTGGTGCACGCAGTGACAGCACGAGCCTTTTAGAGATAGATGTAGATCTAGTCGCTTGATTTAAAGTTCTCGACATAGAATTTTTTCTTTGAGGGGCTCCCGAGTGGCGCAAGCATTGCCCTATCATTGGGACATCACAAGTTCGATTCCTAGCACAGCCATTTGATGCCAGGAGTCTAAAAGAGCATAATAAGTGGCCTCTCTGGGGGGAGAGATGGCCCTTCTTCTCCCCACATCACTCAGCAAGATGCCAGCCAATGCAGACATCTGTTAGCTAATGTAAAAGGATTGACAGTCAGCGTTCTTCCTCAAGCAAGTCCAGCTGTCAAATGATGTTACATTAGCGGCAGTTCAAAAACATAGTGTTATCATGTGACACAGGAAGATCACCTTCATATGCCCAGCATTGGTAGTACTCTGTGACTGGGGGAGACCTAACTTGCATGTAGCATTAGACATGAGTGACTTGGGCAAAAAATTGGGAAAAATGCCAAAAAAATACAGTTTTCTTTGGCTTAATCCCATTTCACCCCTCTGCCCAACCATTTAAACCTACCCCTCCATTTTGCGTGTTCACATCTAGTGGTAAGGTGTCCTGATTTTTGTTGAGATAGAGGGGTAGGGTGAAGTGTTAGGGCTACATGACCCTCCAAACAGAGGTTTTTCAGAGGCAAACTCCAAAATTACAATAACCATTGTATTATCTTAGTTTAATGTTGTTTCAATTATAGTCCTTTTCTTCATAACAAGCATAAAAAACGCAAGTAGCGTGCTGAGGTCTCGGTTGCTAGCAAGCTAAATTTCCTCTTCCACCTTAAATGCTGCAGTAGTTTTGACTCCTGAGGCACCAGAATGTGCCTGCTGCTCCATTTAAGGTGGAAAGGGAAATTTAGCTAGCTAATAACTGAGACATCAGTATACTACTAGCCATTTTATTTGGTGAAGAAGCTGGTGAATAGCTGACTTCAGCTTCAGATCACTGAAGAATTAAGGGTGGGCAATAATAAATAAGTGTTGCATCTCCCCTCTTTGAAAGCATATGATGTCCCAAATTTAACTAAAGCCCAGCAGTGAGGAGCTGAACTTAACCCTCCTCTGCTATCACTGCAGACTGGCAGGGTCACCTACAGAGCAGCGCTAGTGGTGCTCTGTAGGCGACCTAATGAAGTGATGTGCTTTTTTTTGAGGGGTCCATTTTGTAAGGGAAGATTTCAACCACTATCCCTTGTAACTCAGTTCCAAGGGGTATGGTGGCACTTGAAAACAAGGGGTAAGGGTAAAAATGAGAAATGGGATTGGGCATTTGAAGCAATTATTAGCTCTTAAGCAAGACATCCTTATGTTTTGGCCAACACACATACAAATTTGTTTCCCACAAGTCTGTTTTTTGTTCCAGCCCAGTTTTAAAAAAAAAATTCTGCCCCTACACATCACACAAAAACAATATGTCTATAGTTGGTTATTATGTATGTCAGTCAAACGGCCCCTTCCTGTCAAAGTAGGTGGTCTTGGCTATGGTAAGCTATGAAACACACCAGACTCTCTGACAATAGGTATCATTTTTTGCATGATCTGAAAATGAGCTAACCAACAGTTACCCTTTGCATGATGTCAAAATTTCATGATTTATGGACCAATCAGAATTGGTCTGAAGTTCCTTGAAAAAAAAAGTTACATTAACTTTTTCCCTCGATTGCAAAGTTTCCATTCTGGAGATATGAGGTTTCATTCCAACAGTGACAGTACATTTCACTATACATAATGACAGGTAGTAATTGTAAAACACATATTTTCACAGCTAATCGGTTAATGAAACAGATGAACGTAAACAAAATGGAATTCTAAAATGACTCGTCAACACTCACACTCACGAGTCCATTTTCCTGGGTCCACCATGAGATGCTGTTTGGCTAGTTCCAGCTCTCTCTTTAGGGCATTGTACTTGGCCCTCACCTCTGCAATCCTCTGTTGTCGATGCTCCAGGAATTTCAGCTTGGCACTGAAGCAGACCACACTCTGACAGCATGGTCAACATAAGGGAGAGGCTAGATTAACCATAGCCAAGTCAAATATTTGCCAGATTTTAACTGAAATGGAAACTGATTTCTTTGGCCATTCCAGCACTAAAATTTGGCCATAAATCGAATTCATCATCACCTTCTCAGGGGGTTTTTATAGTTGCCAGTTCATGGCATTAGCAAAGTGGCATATGGATAGATTCATCACATGACAGCCAATTTTACATTTTTAGCCTGAATATTACCTTGTTTCCTGCCTTTCCTCTCTTCTGCAAGCCATCCACATTGTCAATCTCATAGACCTTAATTTCATATGAATCTGAGTTACTCCGATCTACCCAGCGTATTTTGGAACCACTTGCAGACCTCCTTAAAGACAAGAGGGTGTCCTGCGATGGACGCCTCTGATAGGATCCTATGAATGAAAACAAGTAACCCAAAAAATAATAAATGAAAAAAAGCACTTTAAATGAACTACAGCTAGCATCTTGAGAATAAAGGCTTTCACTCCGTAGACAATTTACCTATATAATTCCTTTTCTTAGAGCTTCTGGCACCCTTTGCAGTATTGAAGAAGCAGCTCTGATCACTAATGGAGTCATGTATTGAAGTGCTACTGCATGTGGCTTCACTGTCCCTCATCATGCTCTCGTAGCCACTACTGAGCACACTATTGCGGTTGTATAGCAAGGCAGTCTTACACATGGCAGGGGGCAGTTCCCCACTTAGGACACTGGTGTTATCACTGGCATGCCCACTGCAGTGGTTGGGTTTACGTGGGGCTGTGATCCTACTGTACGGTGAAGGTAAAGTGTGAGTCAGTCCTTTCATTTTTGTTTTTGACACTTCAAGTTCATCGATATCCAGACTACCTTGGCTAGAGCTTGAGAGAGAGTCTCCACTTGCTCTAAGAAACTCAATCCGTCCATTCAGCACTCTGCTGGGAGATTTAAATGAGACAGAAGCTTTCCCCTGCTTTCGAGATAAAGACTGAGTGGACCATGAAATCTGTTTTACAGAGAGCCCATCAGGAGAGAGGCTTGAACTTCTATTGATTGAGTGTCTGCCAGATTTGGGGGATGAACATGAATTCTTGGGGCTAGTTCCTGACATCTTGCAGACTTTTGGACTGGACAGTTTGCTTTCAGTTGATATTTTTGATTGAATTGGTTTGGACAGATGGCTTGTGTCACTTCCAGTAGCATCATACATGGGGAAAAACCTTGGAACTCTCCTGAAGCTGCGACCAGTCCGGGACACAGTGAGGTCATCATCAAAAACGTCCCTCAAACCAGCTGAGGTCATGCTTTTGGCCGGAGCCAGTGCATAATCTCCATCCAAACTTGCTTTAGAGTCCAAAGTCATGCAATGCCCTTGCCCGAGATTTCTTCTACTGACTCTTGGTGAGGTACAACAACTTCCCAATCTTGCTGAAGATCCCTGAGTGAACACAGTATTGCTTTCCTCAAAGAATCGTAAATCGGAGCTCTCTAAACGTGATCTCCCTAGGGATCGGTGTCTATTTGCTAACTGCTCCAACTTTGCACTAAAAAGCTTACTGCTTTCTTCAACAGGGGATTTGGGGTTGGTCTTGTTGAGTATATCGTCTGAATTTGGTCGGTCACCCTCTTCACAGTGGGTTGCTGTAGGTTGTGGATGTCTCTGCTTTCTCTTAGTGGGTCTACTCTTATCTGATTCCTGCCCTGAAGACATTGATTCACTATCTTCTGCCCATTCCATGTGACCTAGCTGGACATGGCGTTGTTTCCTTTCTAGTGTTGATCTTGGGCTAAAGGGATTCATACAGTGATAAAGAGAGTCCTGGGAATCATACTGCCTGTCTAGACTGTGCAGATTTCTTGTACACTTGCTCTTTCCAAGGGGTGAGTAACTACTGGCTGGATTTTCTGGTATCTCCATACTAAAATCAGCTAATATCCTTTGATGCACTGGACAAAAATCACCACTTTTCTCTCTAGACAGCTGCCCGATACCTTGATTGCACTTTCTCTTAGTAGCTTTCTGCTCTGGTCCATTGTCACATGAGTACTCCTTGAACCTCAAGACCTCGTGTTCAGAGGCGGAGCCAAACGTAGCTTCAGAGACATCCTTTTCAACATTTTGGGACTTTTCTGACATAGCAACAGGAGAGGACGAGTCATCAACCTGTGAGCTGACCACACAGTTTTGATCCGCAGGTAATACCGAGGAGGCCTCACAGGTTTGACCTAAAGCTTGAACTTGAGATGCAGGGTTAACTGCAGTTTTCTCCTCTCCTACACTGCTTATGATCCTCACAGGTTGAGAACCTGATGGCAAACTCTCAAGAGAATGAGAGTCAGTTATACCAGCTATTTGTGCAGCCTTGTCTTTATTAACTGCCCTATTGATTGTCACTTCTTCAACCACAGAATATATAAGCTCATCATGTCCATTCAGGTCCAGCGGCTGCTGAACTGTCACAGTGATAGTGGCCTTCATTTGCCTTTGGTTCTCCATGGCAAACTGCGGAATACCTTCACCTAAGGTAATAGGAAGCGGTACTGGGGATCCCAGGCCAACAGAGAAGGAAGAGGACGAACTTTTACCCACAGGTGAGATCCGAACCTCAGGGGGCAGGGTGAAGTTGTCTGATGGCCTTCCTTCCACTAGCTGGGGTAAGGAACGGGTCACGTCCATTGTTTCAGCAAGGCTTTGGGATCCAGTTGCTTGTTCTTCTTGCACAGAGCTACTAACAATGTCAAGTCTTGGTGAAGAAAGGAGAATTTTTTTAGCAATTTTGGCTTGACCAGTACGCCTACAAGGTATTTCCTCAATTTTCTTCACAGGTGTCTCTCTCTGCGGAGGATATCGTATTCCCTTCTCGTTATTCTCGTTTTTAATTGAAGATCCTGGAATCTCTGGTTGTCCAGCAGAGATCTTGGTAGCTTTACTTGAGAGATGTTCGGATTTGGTCACAGTATTTGTATTTGTAGTCTGTTCCTTGCAAGAATACATGCCAACTGTATCACTTCCATCTATACATCCCAGTCGATCCTGCAGTTCAGCAAAGGTGTTGCATTTGAGACACTCTAAATCAGGCATATTGGATTCTGATGTTTTTTGTTGACTGGTCTGCTTTTTTGTCTCCTTTTTCAGTGTACAGGTAGAAATGGGCTTTAACAGTTCACAGCGCTTTAAAATGGAAGACCCTTTTAAGTCAGTCCTCTTCCTTTGTAAAGAGTGAATTATTGGCACAAACTCTTGACTCCCCTTGATGTCTTCATCAACAAGGACACAGCCATTTGGATCCACACAAATGACAGTGTCACTTGACTTGTCACTCCTAGAGTGGTCCTCTAGATCATCAAAAAGGTTGAGTGAAGAGAGATCGTGGTCTAATGTACTTGCAGAGTGAAATGCTCTTAGCCTGGTAGAGTTGTTCACTTTCTTTTCTTTTCCTGAGCTTCTCCCTCCAGGTGAGCTTGAGGAAGATTTCTAAAAATGAAAGAATCATAAATATCAGTGTGTTTCCTGATGAGAATGACTTCAAAAGTCAAAACAGCAATTAAGTATATGTACATTTTTCAGGGTCAAGGAAAAATACAGAAAACATATACCAAAAAAATTACACTGATCAATCCATACAACCTTACTCCATATCTCGGATGTCCAGATTTGATATTTAGTGCAAGTTTTCTTTTTTTTGCCCTTTCTTTTCTAATGGTTTCTTGAGAGATACATGTTGTTTCAGACCCATAGGGTTGAGCTGTCTTCTCACAGTGACACCTTTAGATTTTTCCAGACCTGATGCAAGAATGGAGCTTGATTTTCTGCTATGTTTCAAAGATGGTGGTCTACCAGGTCTTGCACGGTTGTTAGGAGTCCCATCAGAACTGACGGTTCTGAGACAGTTTCTTCCCCGGGCCATCACGCTGCTGAACAGCCAGTAGTGCTGGTGTATAGGTCAATGTTTTAAACTATCCTTTATGGTCAGAACATGACAAACAGTCGCCAAACAGTGGAACATTTCACAAATCTGTCTTGAGACGGTGGAAGAAAGTTTCTGGTCAGCTGTTTTTACCAGCTGGAAAAGCGCGGCCGCAGTTTTTGTAATAGTCAGAATTTAAGAAAGAAAACAGATTATTTTTAGTTGTCTGGTGGCGAGTGCTCGGCTATCCCATTACAAATGCTAAACACTAAACAAAAGGCCAACAACAGTGCTAAACTATTTAGTTTCTCAACAACATCAGCTAACATTAGCTGGCTCGGTACTTCAGTGATGGATTACTGCCTTACTGCCATCACTCCTACCACATAAAAATCAGAGCATATCACAGTATTCAAACACCAGCTAGCAGACGTCTGGATTTCTCCATAGTAATTTGGGGTGAACCGCAATATATCTAACACCAGACAAACAGAGTCCTCCTTTTAGGTACGTTTACACAGTATCATCAATTCGCCGTGTTGTGCGAATGATGGAGTGCTGCTTCAAGTTAAAAACAGCTAGCCTGGAAAGATTCTCCCGCTCTCCAATGCCTCACAGCTTCCTCAGTTTACTTTCGTTTAAATCAGGGCTGTAATTTGCATGAACCCACTTCTTTCTTTCACTTTCGTTGATTGGGAATGCATTAATACTTAAATATGACTGTTTGAGTGCTGTAACACAGCACTGTAGTTGTGTGAAGCAGACAGGATTTAATGTTGCTAAAGATTGTTAGGATGTTAGGAAAGACCAGTACTAAGCCAGTACAGTTACGCCACTCACACTTGGTCACAGGAGAACAGATCGCCGGTCACTCCACTGAAATAGGGGATGTATAACTGCACGTTTCAGGCGTTGCTAACGTATATTTGCAATATATATTTTCACTCACCTTCGCACCTGTGTAAATGCGATATGACAATAAATGCGATTTGATTCTTTTAATGATTTTTTTGAACTCCAGAGCTTTTTTCCACTTTTTTCCCTTTGACTTTCCCCTGCTTTACACGTGTGCATTGTTTAATATCTAACCTCCTCAGAAATATCTACTTTCGTCATTACAGATGCACAAAAGAAAGAAATTGGCAAGGCAGCTTTGGTGTGTTTGGGTAGTTTCTTGCAGGAATGTTAGTGTCTCTTTCAAGGGGAACAAGATGTCATCGGTACCTTTCGGAACAGCTTTTGTTAGCAGAATACAGCTGTAACCTGTTGGTTTTAAGATTGTAAGGATGGAAAAGTTAAAGTTGCAGTATTTTGGGTGCACAAAAGTAAAGAGGGGCCAAAATAAATACTGATCGATATTTTACTTAGTATTGGAGGCTTTTATGTCATTTTCTGTTAAATATGTTTCCTGCTTTTTTGTGACACTGAAAAATGAATAACTAATATGAAAATAATGCAGGCCTGTATGTCTTAAAAAACATTAAAGGACGCACCCTTGTCTTCTTTTGTAATCTTCGAATCTGAGAGACGATCTGGATGGTGCAGAGAGTCTCTGAGATGTCTTCAAGTAAAGTGGAAACATGGGCTACGATTGTTGTGCGGCAGTTGACGTTGCTCAGAGACTCTTGCATGAGCATGGCCAGTTTGCTTCTCCTGTCACAAAAAACAACACAAAAGGTCACTAACAAATGTTGTATGCCCATATAAGGTTCATATAAGCATGAGTTTTCTTTAAGTGAATAGAATATTTGCTAACATACTTGTTGGGAACATGTTTATGCCTATTCAACGTGGCCATAATGACATTTCCGAGGTCAACAAGACAGACTGCTGTATTGTTCTTATTCCTCTCTCTTGTACAGCCACCTAAGTCAATAAGGCTCAGCTTGCTTTGGTCCACATTCACTGGGAAAGGTTATGAGAGAAACACAGAACAACAATGGAATGGTTAATTGTCCACAGATAGTCTCTTTAAAAAGAATGAAATTACCAATAATTATACAGAGTTTGAGTTTCAGATCATAATTATAATCAGATCGTCATTCCTGTGCATGGAGAGTGGAAGTAATGTAAGTAATGCTACTCACTTCCAGACTTGCTGCTGCTCTCTATGTATTGCTGGCAGATGTGAAGGGTGTAGAACATGTGGCAGTGATGCTGGAATGTTTCTCTGCACCCGGTCACGCCTGAGCTCCGAGAGGCCAGGGCTGCATCCAGTAGAAAAGCTGCTCTCTCAGCTGTAGGAGCACTTAGCACACTGTTGTTGCAGAGCTGAAATGAAATTTTGACAACGTAATTACCATTCATTATGAGGGCTTTTTAAATTGGTGGTAATATATATATATATATATATATATATATGTATTCATGAGGATCTAATTAATTTTAAATGATGTTTGATTCTTTATAAATATTCAAATGCATGAGGACAGACATGAATTATGCATGCATCTCTAAATTTACTGGCAGTCCATCATTTGTTATGCATGAATGTTTTTGACATATCATAATGTTACATATCGTATCATGATGTGCAATACTGGTGTATATTAATGTGTATATTGTGTTTCTTTTATATATATATATATATATATATATATATATATATATTATATATATATATATATACACACAAAAATAAATACACATTAGACTACTATGTATATATATATATATATATATATATATATATATATATATATATATATATACGTATATATTTATGACAATAAACATGATTTGATTTGAACATGATTTGATTCTTTTTAATTAATTTGATTCTTTATAATTAATTAATTTAATTTTTTTGAACTCTTTTCCACTTATTTTCCTTTGACTTTGAATGAATTATGCACGCATTTCTAAATGTGCTGGCAGTCCATCATATGTTATGCATTAATGTTTTTGACATATCGTAATGTTAGGCTGGAATAAATGGGCTAGTAGTGCTAAGCCCTCCTTCTATTTTGCAGAAGAAAAGGTAATGAAGTAAAGTTTAATTACTGATATCCAAAGCGTTTTATCTGCTGTTAACAAACGACTAGAAGTGGATTATTTAGGGCTTCTGGGGACCCAAGAACAACAGCACCACCATACTTCGAACAAAAACAGTGTTTCAAAGCAAAGCAGGTCTTTTTGGCCAAACGGTGGTTTGAGTTCATACAGCTCCATGTGTGTCACTTGCTGAACAGAAACTGTTGCCCCATTTAATTTTCTTTTTTCACCCACTTCACCACACCACTCGGATGTGTGTCACACCTACATTACACAAGTGATCAATCGAGGCAGAAGGGAATGATGAGGAGCGGACTGTTCACACGGATCACACTCATCCCTAGCAAGTCAGCCTCACTGAGCTAAACGGGGTGCCATGCAAACTTTGCAATACAAAACATTTTTTAGAATTTTGAGCAAAACGTTATTATGCATTACGTGCAGGTAATTGCTTAGTTGGGCTATAAACTTGGGCCCAATCCCATTTCTTCTTTTTACCCCTACCCCTTGTTTTCGAGTGTCACCCTAACCCCTTGGAACTGAGTTACAAGGGGTAGTGGTTGAAATCTTGCCCTACGAAATGGGACAACCCTCAAATTAAAAAAAACATTATTTCATTAACAGGCTACTACCATCGCTGCTCTGTAGGCAACCCGGCCCGTCTTCAGTGATAGCAGAGAAGGGAAAAGTTCAGCTCCTCACAGCTGGGCTTTATTTACATTTAGGGCATTTAGGGCAGTTACAAGGGGGGGACAATTATTTATTATCGCCCACCGCTAATTCTTGGGTGATATGAAGCTGAAGTCAGATACTCACCAGCTTCTTGTTCGAATTTTCCTGTTCCACCTTAAATCGTGCAGCAGTTACATTCTGTCGCTTCAGGCGTCAGAACTGCTGGACTATTTAAAGTGGAACAGGAAAGTTACCTAGTTAGCTACCAAGACATTAGCTTTTTCATGCTTGTTATGAAGAAAACGACCATAATACACTGAAATGACATTAAACTAAGATAATACAGTGGTTATTGTAATTTTTAACAGAGAAAATTCTCACATTTGTGGGTTTCTTTGGTCGCTCGCGCAGCCATCTTGCTTGTTTTTCTTTTTTGTCATAACACTCAGTTTGGACTGTGTCTCTGAAAAACCTCAGTTTGGAGGGCCATGTAGCCCAAACACTTCACCCTCCCCCTCTATCTCAACAAAAAATGGGACACCCTAACCCTAGACGTGAACGCGCAAACGCGGGTGGGGGTGAAATGGGATTGGGCCTTGGTGTAGAACAGTGGTGAAATGCCTTTCTTTTTGTTCTTGTTAGCCATGTAGCCTTTAGCATGCTAACAAGCCAGCTAGCATAGGAAAGTGTCAGAAGTCATGTATAACCGATGGAGTAGTTTGTAACTGAAATCCGAAAAATGTTAAGCATTTTATAGTAGTTTATTGCTGTAGCTTGTAAACAGCTTTGTCCGCCATTATTTTCAGTTTTGAAAAGGGAAATGCGTCAGGTCACAATGATTTCTGGGCAGGCTCTGCTGTTGAAGTCGACAACGGTGTTTGCTCGGTCCTTCGCCCCCGACGGCTCATCTAACACCCCTGACTTCAGCAATAAAGTAATGGAACGATCCTTAAGATGGCAGTGGGGATTCCCCTGAGGGAAAATGACGAGTCCAAGTGGACAACGGCGTGTTAAAATGGAAAGTACCCAAAATAGTTCATCATGAATTTTTTACACAATGTAAAGCTAAGCTGCTGTGGCCAAATGTAGATGTTTCAGCCCTGGCTAAGATAAGTATGAGCCAACTTTACTTTCTACTTGGTCCAAAGTAAAATATGGCCTATTGATGTGAGGAGCCATTATTCAGAGAGTCTATCTAGAGAGCGACGACAGAATATCTCACTCTCTGTGAGCACGCGGGTGTAGGCAAACTTGAATGCCTCTGTGTGGAGTTGAGTCCAAGAATGTGGAGTCAACTCTCGAATCCCAAATGCCAGGAATGGGAGAATCGGTGCTTTTTTGGATCAACTACTAGCTCTAATGTGCAGTAGTCTGTTGGTACCAAGCTATAACAGCTATATGGACATTTGGAGCTTGTAATACAAATAGTTGAACATATATTATAACTGCTTGTAACACATTCAGGTGAGATACTTTTTACTTTGTATTCCGCTGTTTTACAGTGGCCTTTAGTAATGATGAACTTTAATCTCAAATCTGTTGATGTTTTAGTAGTGAAACATAGTGTAAATGAAATATAGTGTAAAAATTAGCTTGCTATTGGCTTTAGATAATGTCACTCAGCCTTCAACATTCAAGTGCAACCAGCAGCTAGCCCAGGGGTCGGCAACATGCGGCTCTTTTGCTGCTAATTCAACCTTTAACCCTGAAGGTTGGTGCGCAGACTGCTGGTTACCATAGCAACACAGATAACAGTCTCGCCTAGCTAGTGGCTAACAAAAAGACAAAGAGAGAGATTCAAGGCAAACATTGATAATTTGATAATTTGATAGTTTTCCTGATTTGTTAATCTGCAACAAGAAACTGTCAAACACTAGAAAGTCGCAAGGCTGAAGTGAGTTTCTCGTTCCCCAGCTTCTTGTTCGAATTTTCACATTCCACCTTAAATGGTGCAACAGTTAGCTACATAGTAAGCTACATACTGGTGACTCAGGCACAATTTAAGGTGGAACCAGACAATTCGAACAAGATGCTGGCGAATGAGAAGCGACTTCAGCCTCTGTAAAAGACTGAATGTTAAGAGACATATTATAAGAAACTATTCTACTTTTGTGGAACGTTTCCTGCCAGAGACGTGAGAAAAGCAGCTATAGCTGAGCTAAAGCTTAAAGCAGAGCGAAGTAAGTCTGGATTTTCGTTTGTATTATATTTTTAACCAATACCAGGACATTAGCACATACTGACACACATTTACAGCCAAGATGGTGAAACGTTACTTCAATAAAATGGACATGAAATATTGAGGCTCCCTAGGTGGCTAGATTTTTGTTGAAACTTGACAAAATGGCTCTTCTTAATATTTGGTTTGCGACTCCTGAGCTAGCTAGATATCTAATTTCATTGCTCTATTGCTGTAGCTGGAAGACGCTCTCGAACGTGATGCTACTGTGTGTGAGCTATTGATAAGTGTTACTTTAAAAACACTGCATCCCTCCCATCCAATACTCTGTCAGTGTATACAACTAAGACAGAAACAGCACTGCATTTAAAACCTTACCTGTGTTCCATAGACACGGTCGTCCAGGAGGTAAACATTTGGCTTATGGGTGTCCTTGCAGCCACCTGACTCAACATCAGACAGTAAGTCCCTGATGACCTCAGTCTCCCCGCACACCTCCACAGCTGTCACAGAAACGGAGATATTTGCCCACGTCCTGTCCTTCTTTTTGTTGATGAGCTTGAAAAGCCAAGAGATGGCGCAAGGGATGATTCCAAGACTCGGTGAGCAATCATCACGCCCAATCATTGTGTAAGATGTTCCTGCAAATAACGGAAAGAGATAGAGAGATGGTGAGTGACAGAGAAAGAGAGAGAGAGAGTGAGAGAGAGAGAGATGGCATCTTAAGGTAGGAGAAGACAGAAGCACAGGCCATCTTTTAAATTATTTGTCAGTTATCTCAGCATCCATTTCTGAATTCACCCATTTAGAGTCTCAAAAGCTTCACTAAAATACACGTTTTTGGGTTCTGCTTTTGTGAACTCAGCTCACATATGATATTAAACAAAAATGTCATATAATGTCACCTCCAATTATATGCAAGCCACTATTATTCATACATGACTGCAATCTAGTTTAAAAGATTTATAACCTCTGGCTGTGAGCCAGGAGCTTTTACAGGCAGGCAGAAAATTCAATTAGTTAACAGCCAATGACGTAATGCTCTAAGCTATGAGCACGAATTGTTTTCACAATTTTTGGTGGACAATTATTAATAACCTGCTAAGTGGATGACCCCCAACGACCTCCGGTATAGAGACCACCCCAAAGATAGGGCGACATTAACGTACATCCATTAAGAGTCACCCCAAGTCACTTCCATCGGCATTCGCAGGCAAGGCGGCTGAATCTCAGCCTCTTTGTGTTGAAAGGGTGAGGGGCACACGGTGCTATAAAAACACTTGCAATGTATAATTGATTAATCTAGTTTTATTTTTCCAAAGGGTGAACGATGAAATAGAGGTCGAAAGCACAGCACTTAAACACTTAAACACAAACAGTGTGTCTTGGAAATAGAGCAGAGAAAAGAGCAGTTCTTTCCTACTAAATCACGTTAGTGGATGGCAGCTTTCAGCAAAGGGTTTTAATACAGTGTACAGCTTTGCACTTACCCACTTTTCTCTGTCCAAAGCTTAGGACACAGCCATCAGCTCCGGCAAGCACAGACTGGAGGACCTCGAACAAACTCTTCTCGCATACCTCGGCCTAGTGATAGAATTAAATGGGTTAAAGCTTTTATTGAAGTGACTCACTTGTAGACAGTTATAGGGCTCCCTACAGTATGATAACCTCATATAATATCAGAGTTTTAGATGGATACTCAAGGGCACAACTGCCGTTTTAAGCAGAAGGGCAGCAATGTTGATATCTACTATTTTACTCAAATCCCTTAAAGATGCACTTGAAATTTTGAAAATCAACCCCCCAAGGATCTCTACAAACATGAGATCCTTAACCAACTGACCATACTCTCAACACATTACACTCATTTTCATCAGTGTTTTGACAGCTGGACTGAACGGATGCAAGCAGGCATGTGCACAGATAGATCCCTGGCCCCAGGGGGGCTTGAGCCCCCTGTATGTGTAGTCTTTTGGTAGGTGTGTATAATAGTTGTCTTTTATATGGCCATTCATGATCCATTTCAGGTCATCCCTGCTAGCTTTGCGGCATGAACAGAGTTTTTGGGTCGGTTTCATTGCACTCTCTCAGTTGTACTGACTCCACACACCTCGTCTCGTCTCCAGGCTTTTTATTTTATTGTTCTGTTTTAAAACATTCGGTTATGAAAAGGTACAAATACGAACTTTTCACCTGGAAAAACTTATTTAAGGTGCACAATCAGACCTTAAAACCACTGTTGTACCTTTGAGGGAACATTTACATTGTTTGTACCTTAATGAACGAAAAATGTACCTGAACAGAACCTTTATTTCTAACTGTACAGTACCATGGATGGAGAATTCCCCCCAGTCAGCTCCCATCTGACACGGACGTGCGCATGACCAAAGAAAAGCACAGATCTCAAAATAGACAGCAGAGTGGGTAAGGTTACTTGTATGCAAGAAGTTGGGTTGCAAATCTGCACAAATACACCGATCAGGCATAACAGTTGTAGTTCTACAGTTACAGACTGTAGTCCATCTGTTTCTCTGCATACTTTGTTAGCCCCCTTTTACCCTGTTCTTCAGTGGTCAGGACCCCCATGGACCCTCACAGAGCAGGTACTATTTGAGTGGTGGATCATTCTCAGCACTGCAGTAACACTGGCGTGGTGGTGGTGTGTTAGTGTGTGTTGTGCTGGTACGAGTTGATCAGACACAGCAGTGCTGCTGGAGTTTTTAAACACTGTGTCCACTCACTGTCCACTCTATTAGACACTCCTACCTTGTCAGTCCACCGTGTAGATGTAAAGTCAGAGATGATAGCTCATCTGCTGCTGCACAGTTTTGTGTTGGTCATCCTCTAGTCGGTCATCAGTGGTCACGGGATGCTGCCCACAGGACACTGCTGTGTCTGATCCACTTGTACCAGCACAACACACACTAACACACCACCACCACATCAGTGTTACTGCAGTGCTGAGAATGATCCACCACCCAAATAGTACCTGCTCTGTGAGAGTCCATGGGGGTCCTGACCACTGAAGAACAGGGTAAAAGGAGGCTAACAAAGTATGCAGAGAAACAGATGGACTACAGTCTGTAACTGTAGAACTACAAAGTGCACCTATATAGTAAGTGGAGCTGATAAAATGGACAATGAGTGTAGAAACAAGGAGGTGGTCATAATGTTATGCCTGATTGGTGTACACTGTCTTTCTTTATAAGAATGTCTGCAATATGCTTTAAATTACGTGAAGTTTAAAGTTACACTCTGTAGGTTTTGGGGGTCTCTGGTGGAATTGTGTAATTGCACGCAACGTGCCGAAGAACTGTGAACCCTCAGCTTCTGACCCCTTCCCTGAGGGGATGAACCTGATGCTTGCAAGCGCCAAACATGGTGAAGGATGTGTCTCCCAAAGATGTAAGTGAATTTTCTACTACTGTCATCATGATTTCACTTTTGAGACCTAAACATCAAGCTGGTCCTGTGCATGTGACGTTAATACGTAAAGATGTAGGACATGGTCCGAAAAACTTGCAGCCTGACTTTTAAAGGGCATATTTTAGCATGTTTTTTTCTCGACTCAGTAATGCTACTTTTTCAACTTTAACCAAAGAAACGGTCATACTGCAGCTTTAATCCACATTCACATTGCCCTTTTATCCCTTTTGAGCTGATGCCCCGCAAAATGTCTGTGCACAGACCTAGATGCAAGCCAAGAACAGGCCAAATGTCACATTTAAAAACAAACATACTGACTTTGTGTTTCAGCATGTGGTGCATGTGGGAAATGATCCAGTTTCAGTAAAAATCCAAACAAATATGCATGTATGTTGACCAAATTCAGTTCAATGAGTGCAAATGAGTTAAACTAATAGCAGAAGTCAGCTATGCACTGAAAAGAGTGGAAATCTGGATAGGATTATGGCCCAGATGGCACGTGGATGGCCCAAAGAAGTGTTTTCAGGTCATCAGACAGAAAAAAAAAAAAATAACAACAAAACAAAACTGTGTGATCTGGACCTGGGATGACTCGGGCCCAAAGGCAGCATCAAAGGTGAACGTCTTCGGGGTGGAGTTTGCACCCGCAGCCAGTCTCTGAGTGGCAGACTCCAGAACTGTGACCTGTTTCTTGCGGAGGTCCAGTTTGAGGGCGTGCAACTGAGATGTTCCTGCCGTCAGGAGTGGGCTGACTCTCAATATCACTTTGACCTGGAAAAGAAAAAATGAGACTACAGAAATGAAATGAGACAAATTCAACTATAACTATAAAACACCCTAACAGAGAGTGGGGAGGACGATCGAAGAGGCAAAAACATTCTCCAGTGACCACAGTTGGACAGTTTTCGAAGTTGGTCCCATGATGAGGTCACCAGGTCTCCAAAACTATTTGAGATACCCCACCAAGGCTTGGCAAAAGAGCACAAGAGGTCAGTTTAGTGTAAAAAAAAAAAGTCAAGGTCATGAAGAAAAAACCTAATTCCGAGGGTAAAGTATGGTTGTGGAACGATGCTACAACGAGGTTTTTCTTCCACATGCACTGGTATCACTGGTATTCTTTTTAGGGTGTATGGCGTCACAGAGTTACATCAAAATCTGTCTCTGCCAAAGACTGAGTCATGGTCAGATCTTTTACAAGGCCAATGATGCTAAGCATCCCTCCAAATCCTCAAAAGTGGTTCACTGACCGCAGAATCAGGCTTGTTGAGAGGCCATCCATGTCCCCTGACCTAAACTTGTGCTGTGAACTGAATATAAGAATACAGAAGGAAGGACTTAAGAGTCTGGAAAGAAGAGATTTTAGAGAGATTTTATATAAAGAAATACTCTCAGATACCCAGACTCAGTGTGCTTATATTAGGGGTGGGGGGAAACTCGATTCTTAGGTGCATTGCGATGCGGACGTGAACGATTCTGAATCGATTCACAAGTGTCAAAAATCGATTTTCTAAATTTAAATTTATAACATGATGTTGACGGAACGCAAAAGGCGAAACTTGGAAGTGCGGAAGTGCAGCGCCTGGACAGTCTGTGACGGCACATAACAAAAACACTACTGGATGAGCGAGAAATCTGACCGGCTCCCTCTGCATTAAAAGCTAGAGCAGCGGCCGGCAACCCAAATTTTAAGAAGAGCCATTTTGTCCTTTCAACAAAAATCAAACTACCTTGGGAGCCGCAACATTTAATGTCCAGTATGTCTCAGTATGTGCTGATGTCCTAGTATAGACTAAAAAATATAAACGAAAACGCAGATTTACTTCGCTCTGCTTTAAGCTTTAGCTATAACTGCTTTCCTCCCATCTCTGCCAGGACACTTTACCTCAAAAGTAGATCAGTTTCTTGTAAAATTTCTCTCAACGTTTGACTGTTTTACGAGGCTGAAGTCACTTCTTATTCGCCAGCTTCTTGTTCGAGTTTACCCGTTCCACCTTAAATTCTGCCTGAGGCATTTAAGGTGGAACGGGAAAATCAGAAAGAGAAGCGACTTCATCTTCACAACTTTTTAGTGTTTGACAGTTTCTTGTTGCAGATTTACCATACCAGGAAACCATATATAGTGTGTGTTGTGCTGGTACGAGTGGATCAGACACAGCAGTGCTGCTGGAGTTTTTAAACACCTCAGTGTCATTGCTGGACTGAGAATAGTCCACCAACCAAAAAAAAGCGTCCTGTGACCACTGATGAAGGACTAGAGGATGACCAACACAAACTGTGCCGCAGCAGATGAGCTATCGTCTCTGACTTTACATCTACAAGGTGGACTGACAAGGTAGGAGTGTCTAATAGAGTGGACAGTGAGTGAGGTGTTTAAAAACTCCAGCAGCACTGCTGTGTCTGATCCACTTGTACCAGCACAACACACACTAACACACCACCACCACGTCAGTGTTACTGCAGTGCTGAGAATGATCCACCACCCAAATAGTACATGCTCTGTGAGGGTCCATGGGGGTCCTGACCACTGAAGAACAGGGTAAAAGGGGGCTAACAAAGTATGCAGAGAAACAGATGGACTACAGTCTGTAACTGTAGAACTACAAAGTGCACCTATATAGAAAGTGGAGCTGATAAAATGGACAATGAGCGTAGAAACAAGGAGATGGTCATAATGTTATGTCTGATCGGTGTATATATATACATACATACATACATAGGGGAGTATATATACCCTCCATATATATATATATATATATATATATATATATATATACTATTTTTATTTGTTTTTACACTTCCTTATATGTATGCAGCTTCCATATATGCACCATATGGAATTAATAATAATAATAATAATAATAATTTCAATTTGCACAGCGCCTTCCACAAAACCAAGGAGTGAACTGTATGTTTTGAAACAATGTTTGCACACAAGGGCAAATTCTTTTTTTAAAGAACAAGGCAAGGCACATTGGGTGTCTGTGATATGGGCCCATTAAAATTCAGTCACACTTGTGACGAGACAATCTTCCCGATCCAGTAAGTGAATATGCAGTGGTTAAATTGATTACCCATTACTGACGACCTGAGATCACCCTCCTTGAAAAACCATGTTATTAAATAGGGAGCTCACTGAGTTTCGCCGATGCTACGTCTGATACGTAATGCACTTGTTCAGCGACTGACGTTATCTCCAGCTCTGCTGAGTGTCCTGTCAAATTGCGTTTATGAGAGATGAATTATTTAAAAGTCCATTTGCTCTGCTGTGTCTGCTGGACGAGCCAGTCTGAGTGCATGCTTATGACTGGGTGCTAGAGGAAGAGCTGTCTAATGTGTAACCGAAGAACATCCACCAATGGTGTGAACTGTGATGGCGGCGTGCACATCAATTAAACTGAATTGATTTTTACGCTCTTGGGAGTCGGTGCAAAGGAGAGAGAAGGATGTTAAAAAGTTGAGGGTTTAAAGGTTATGCGGAAGCGATTGTACATGCAGGTACTTCAAGACTGTAAGTAGCACTAAAGGCAATTCATACTGATGATGAAGAGATGGTTTCATACATACTGAACAAATGAAAGCTGGATTAAACAGAGTGGCAGAGTTTGCAAATGATCTGAATCATTTCAGGCTCATTAATTCAAATCCCTTTGATAACCTAATCATTGTGATGTTGAGTTAAAGGTGAATTCTGCAGATTTTTCAAAGATTATTCCATATAATTCAGTTGTAGAGGTGTAAACAATTTTATTCAGAGTGGTTTTATGTAAAATGGTTCATCGTAGGAAAACATACCGACTCTTATCGATTTTCACGGTAGTGCTGGAACCAGCGGCCACAAAGTCTACAACGCAAATATTGTTAGGGTCAGTGCCATTTTTTAAGGCTGAGTACGAGTACTTTTTTTGGGTACTTGCTGATTCAAGATTCAAGAGTTTTATTGTCATATGCACAGCAGAAACAGGCAGTTACACTGTACAATGAAATTCTTACTTTGCTGTTCCTCCATTCACCAAATATAATCTTAATATAATCTTAGAATGAAAAAAATATATATAAAATATAAAATATAAGAATAGCACTAAAAACAAAAGTAAAGTACAGTTATGTGTGCAAAGTTGAAGAAAATTAGAGTTACATGTGCGTAGTGCAAGTATGTAGAGCAGCGGTTCATAAAGTGCATTAACAGATGTAAACAGTATTATTCTGTGCAAGTAATAGATGTAAACAATAGTATTCTGACAGCAGCAGTACAGTGTATGTAAGGTGCAGTTATTGAGTGCAAAGTCGGCCAAAAGTTAAACCAGTTCAGAGTGGGAGGGGGGAAGAGGTAGTGTGTGAGGTGTTCACAAGCCTGATGGCCTGTGAATAGAAACTGTTCGTCAGTCTTGTAGTCCTGGACTTCACACTCCTGTAGCGTCTGCCTGAAGGTAGGAGTGTGAAGAGTCTGTGCTGGGGGTGTGTACTGTCCCTGATTATGTTGTGGGCCCTCCTGATGACCCTGGTGTGGTAAATGTCCTGTAGTGAGGGGAAGGCTGCCCCTGATACCAATATCATAATGAGTAACCTACTTAGAATTAAGTAGTTGTGTGTGTAAATGAGTGCAAAGTACCTTAACAGTTAAATTATTAGAATCATGCCAACTTTAAATGAAGTGAATTAGCTAGTTATGTTAAATTAGTTATCAAACTAGCGCCGCAGTAGAGATGAGCGCGTTTTGTTCCATGTCAGAAAAGCATTTCTGTAAAGCTGTGAGTAAAGCCGGGGTTACGCTACACGACTTTTACTCCGATTTTAGATTCGATTCTCAGTCTGGCCGAGTCTGTGCTGATTGGCTCTAGTCAGCAGATTTTTGGGTCAGTCAGAGTCCACAGTTGGACAGAGAGTCGAGTCGAGTGGGAGGGGCGCAGACTCCGATTTTTGACCTCCCGATCGCGTTTCAGACCAGTCGGAGTTTATCAAACGTTTGATTTTTTTGACCCGAATCTGAGCGTAATCTAGTTGTGTAAATGGATCAACGACTGAATCTGAATGTATTCGTGTAGTGAACCCAAGGCTTAAAGTACATTTCATAGTTTTGATCATGTGCTTGTCATCAGTCACTTTCAACAACAATCTATGTAGCACAGTGACAGCAACGTTGAAAAACAGTGGTACAGCAGCTTTGCTTGTGCCACACTGTGCACTGAAACTAAAAGCAGGCGATGATGTACATGTGTAAGACAACATGATCCCTCTACAGCCTATTTATTAAAATATCACTGTCTTAACCTTTATACCTCCCTATCCTATTCAGACTGAGTAAAGTCGGTTCTACGAAGTTCAGTTCCGCAGATATCGACTTTTTTGCCTCCATCTTCCTACCTTACATTTTTTCTTTACTCATGTAGTGAAAGTGGTTGTGATTCAACAAAATCATCAAAAAGAAGTAAACTGAAAGACAAAATTGTGTTGATGTAATGCATTTTATTCATATAGAAATTCAAACCACGTAAATTAAATCACTTTTTTTTATCAAATAATTTTTGTATGTAGAAAAAAACTAAAACCTTAGGCACAAAATGCAGGGAACTTTACCTTCCCCATCTCTGTCATCTCTCTCCCCTTGCAGGCAGTCTGTAGTAGGTTTGATGGTGCAGGAGGAGGAGCTCTCTGCAGGAGGCCGCTGAAGTTGGTTGGATAGCGGGAACAGTAATTGTTCTGCTTTCTCCTTCTTGAGGTCAAGTTCAACTTCTGGACAGCCCTGCGGACACGTTGGGTTAGCTGTTACTGAAAGAAGCTGACACGTTTGCACCACTTTGTCACTTTGAGCTCACTTCAAACTCCTTCATGGAAGGAGCACTCCCCTGTACATCGAATAAAAATCCATGCAACCTCCTACTTCTAAAGCCTTTAATTTCCCTGTTTGTTAAAGGAAAATTCCAGTATTTTACAACTTAATCTTGATCAGCTGCCTCTGTAGAATACGGTCAATAAACATGGACAATAATTTCAACATGTTTTCCTGTAAAAGAACAGAAACCGTGAAAGCTCACTTATAATAGAAGCTCGAAAGCTCACTTATAATAGAAGTCAACAGGCAGTTGCTACAGTGATGAATGACTTGCCCAGTGGCTTTTATTGTCTTGGTGAACAGGTTTTCTGTTCTTTTCTGTTCTGCAACAAATATGTAATCCATGGTAATGGACTGTATGATACAGATGAGGCTGGGTGCTTCTTCAAACACTGGCCAGCTTCAATATTAAATGGACTTTCCTGCCTAAAACTAGACTTGACTATGTTCCTCATTGGTTTAACTGAATGCATGATCTTATTTGCATTATGCAAAAACTAGGCGCAACTATCAGGCATCCCTGATAGATTTCTTTATCAAAGACACAATTCAGTTGAAGAATGCCTGCAGAGTTATTTTATAAAATATGAGGAGGCAAATGCTAACGCCACAGCAATTCACTAGCATATTTAATAACTGTTACCCCACACCCAGTAAAATGGGTTTTCCTGTCTAGACAAAGTCTGTAACTAGGACAGTGACCATTCTGCTTTTCCACTGGAAACAATATGTGTAACTATTGGAAAGAACATTAATATGCCACATAACAAGCATATTTAGCACTTTGAAACCAGAAGTCTATGAGAGGAATTTGAAAGCTTTATCACTGGCATATCTAACAAAGCAGATCCTAAAATAAAAAAAAACAGAAATTCTATGTTTACTCAGCAAAAAAAGGAGATCAGAGACAAGTTTTTACCCTTTCAGCCAGACAAAATCAGCCAAACTTGAGCTTTTAGCTTGCTGTCCTCACCTTTCTGTTGTTTGAATAATCCTTTCTGTACATGGCAATAATAATTTAGAGACAGTTATCGTAGTTATGTGGCTACAATAAGATATTCAGCTTGCTAGAAGTAATGTAACCGATCTGGCTTCCTTCTACAGTAGCCAGCTAGCAAAAAAACAAACAAAAAACCCTAATAAAAACAACATCCAAACAGCCTGTCCACAAAAGATTCGCCACAAAGCAGCTGTAAGTTCCTTCCACATTGAAGATATACCATAATAAAATTTAAACCAGAAAATCTCACTCTGGAGTTGAGCTGCCCAAGAGTGGCTCTAACCTAAAACCACTATATAATGCACATAATACATCATTTGTTAAAGTCTTATATACCTTTTAAAATTATATTTCATTAGTAATAAAATATATTATAATGTAATAGAATACATTTTTTAAAACTCAATTTAAAGCATACGTAGCTTATTTATGTGAACCCAATTCCAAAAAAGTTGGGACAGTATGTGAAATGCCAGTCAAAACAGAAAGCAGTGATTAGTCAATTCTGTTTGACCTGTATTAGATTGAACACAGTACAAAAACACAATATTTTATGTTTAACTTTACGAATTGTATTGTTTTGTGTTAATATATGCTCATTCCAAATAACTCAAAGAAGTTGGGACAGGAGCGTGTTTTCTTGCCATGATGTAATAGTCTTTTAATGTTGAAATAAACGTGGACGTCCCTGAAAGAGACAGCACCAAAAAGCTTATGTGGCTCCAAAGTGTGTATACATATTTCAGCATTAAAGCTGCTTTCAAGGATATGCAAGTTACCTACTGATACCCCCTCATACCATGACAGATCTTGGCTGTCCTTTTTGTTCTTTGGCCCGAAGAGCACAACGTTCAATATTTCCATAAACAATCTGAAAAGTGGACTGGTCAGACCTAAATGTGCGTTTCCATTGAGCATCAATCCATTCCAGATGTGATGCAGTGACATCTGAGGGACCAAAGGTGACGGCTATTCAGTTGTGGTTTTTGGCTTTTCTTTTTATGCACGGAGGTTTTTAATGATATTATGCACTGTAGACAGTGCAATGCCTAAAATCCTTGCAAACACTCATTGAGGAACATTGTTCTTAAACAGCTGGATCATTTGCTGATGCATTTTTTGCCAAAGCGGCGAGCCTCAACCCACCCTTGCTCAGCACTAGGCCTTTCCTGACAGTGCCTTTAATACCCAGGCTTGATTACATCACCTGTTTTAAAGTGTTTTCAGACCATGGCAAAACGTTCTAGGTCTTAAATTGCTTCTGTCCCAACCTTTGGAACATGTTGCAGGCATCAATTTCAGAATGAGCATATATTTACAAAAAACCTACTAATCATTGCTTTCTGTTTTGCTAGCATTTTACATTTTACATACTTTTTTGGTACTGTGTTTGTATATTGTTTTGTCTTTTTGGCCACAAACATTGGATTTTGATTCCTTAAGACAAAAAGTTTGGGCAGCCCTGCTCTAGAGACGGATGCTGGTAAGCACATTGACAATAGATGCAGCGAAGCCTTTTTTATAGTGGCCAGGGTGTCCATTTAATTAATGATTCCCTGTTTTCAGTGGCCATCACAGTGGTTTAGTATGACAAAAACACCCCTGTGTTAAATGATAGTTAGTCTTTATTTACCTGACAATGAAAGATATAGCAGCAGAGGTTCCAGCAGGCAGCATTGTGGAGACTCTGGAAGCACTAAATGGCAGTGGACTGCCAAAGTGGCAGAGAACCGTCCCAGACGATGCAGCCTTTTCATCTTCCTTGTTATTCTTTAAAGCATCCTGAGACATCTGGAGAAGCAAGATTCAGCAGAGTTATTTTCACAGTGGTTCTCTAAATTATTCATTCATCTACTTATAGAGCGTATGAGTCAGTGGGCTTGTGTAGAGGAATCGGTCTTGGATATTAGCTGTTAGGCTGTAAGCAAACACTGAAAAAAGTGATGCATTGAGTGTACTTGATATAAATATACACACATATATATGTATATATACACAACTTTACAGGAGAAGCAAAAACATACTTTATTTTAAATGTAAGTCAATGGAACCATCATTTTGCGCAGTTTCTTTTGGTCCAATCATCATGAAATTTATACGCAATGTAAAGAGCAACAGACAATTTTCAAATTACGTCAAAAACTATATAAATATATATAAATCCTGTGTTGATTTTCTTTTTAATGTTTTCGACTTTTTTCCTGACAGTCAAAAATAAATACCTTACATAACACATAAGGTAATTCTGACTGAAAATTAAATAAATATACATGTTTGAATCAAATACATCCAATGCATCACTTTGTTCAGTGTGCTTACCTTTATTTAAGACCCAAGCAAAATGTACAGGTGTGATTAAGCCAGACTGCGTAAGCCTGATGACTCTGACCTACTGAATATTTAAAGGAGTCAAAAATCACACATGAGCATGAGTTGACTCAGACATTCGGACGGAGTCATGAACTCTCTGACAAGTGTCCCATCCCAGCACACACAAAATGGCCGCCTGAGGCTACAGGCGCCGTCTGAAGGCAACCGTCTCTCCAGATTTGCTATAGTGAAGCTGTGGTTCGTACACGGCCAACGGTGAAGGCTACACACTCTCAGGCCTGCCTTAACGTCTCATCGATGTTGTATTCCAGCCATGCGAAAAGAGAGCCCTCCGCTTGCACTCGCCACAAGAATGTAATGCCATGCCGTAATGCCAATTAGTGCCAGGAGGGACCCTGAGGCCGCAGAGCCAATCTGGGGGAAGATGCTGAAATGGAACTGCTGAGTCCAGTGATACTCCCTGTGCTCGACTTTTCTTTCCTCTGGCCTCTGTCTCGTCTCACTTTGACTCTCTCCTCCACTGGGAGGACAGAAGGAAGATTCAGTTACATGCATGCTGCACTCCTTCAGCTGAACCACCCCCCAACAACCCCCCCGGCTAGTGAACACGTCAGTGCTGTCAGCTGCCGCTCGAACTAAAGTGCTTTCATACAGTGACCCTTCTGACTTCAGATAAAAATAAAGACACCAAAAAGCGTTCTTTGGAGCAATGCCATAGCAGAACCATTCTGGATTCCTTAAATAACTTCTCAGTGGAGGGTTCTTTGGAGAACCATTTTTTGTAAATGAGATGTGCGAGTGTGTAGAACATTTAAAGTTTAAGGAGCCTCCATATATTTTACACTCATTAAAATAAAGGTGTCAAATGGGTTTATTAGAACAGTGGTCACCAACCCTCCCAGCATTTAGGTCCAACCTGCATTTAACATGCTGTTCCCCAACCCATACCTTCAATAATGTTCCTTATCCAGCCAGTCAATGTTAACTACACTCTCAAAAATAAAGGTCACTGGGGCAGCTCCCCTCTTGTCACCGGGGTGGTACCTTCAAGGGTCCATCTCAGTACCTTTAGTCAGGGAACATATCTGTACCATAATCCACTGAAATGATATTTTCTAAGCTGTACTGACTCCACACACCCCGTCTCGTCTCCAGGCTTTTATTTTACTGTACTGTTTTAAAACATTCTGTTATGAAAAGGTACAAATACAAACTTTTCACCTGGAAACACTTATTTAAGGTACATAATTGGACCTTAAAACCACCGTAGTACCTTTGAGGGAACATTTATGTTGTTTGTACCTCAATGAACAAAAAATCTACCTACACAGAACCTTTATTTCTATGTGTATGTGTGGTGCATTGTGGCACTACAGTCCACAGGAAAGCAGATCTCCAGGACCAGCGCTGCTGACCAATGTCATATAAGAACCAATTTTGGTTCCCTAATGAGCTCTTCAATGGATAGTTCTTTGGAGAAGTGTTTTAGTAAATGAGACTGACTGTAAGTGTGAAGACCTTTTTTTAAAGTTTATAGTACCTCCAGATGATGTAAACGTTATACCATAAATTAATATAGAACCGTTACATTACTTTAAAATTCTCTTACCCTTTTTAAAAATATTTCACCCTCACATATCTCTTTTTTCAGACACAGTTTTTGAGGGAACCAAAAGTGGTCCTTTAATGATATCGCTCAAAGAACCCATTGCAGCACCATATTTCGAGAGTAGGTTCTACACAAGATTCTAAAAGTGCTTTCTGGTCTAAAACGAGCATTTAATATGTTGTCTGTTGTGTTATGTAATATTCTGCAGTGCAGCTCTGCATTGCTCAACCTCAGCAGTATAGAACAGAATACATCCGTGTATACACCTCAATCAGAATAGACTAGTCCGATTGAGGCCATTCAGAATACAATCTCTATCTGATTGAACGAGGTGGGTAATCCTGTAAATTATCAGTTAAATAGAAGAATAATAACCATGTAAACACCTGTATCTGATTACATTCCCCATCGGAACGTGTAAGTACATTCTATGCATGTGTGTCGCGTCATAGTCAAAGTTTATAACATTCAATGTGGAGAAACTGGTCTGCAGAGGAGACGAAGTTTATGCTCTGATCTTTAAAAGACGGCGGTGGGACGGACGTCCATCTTATATGTCTCAGAACACGACGTCTTCCTCTCGGCCTTCTTTAATAAGGACATGTGAAGTACGTTTTCCTGAGTCTGACATCATTTTAAAGCACTTTCACTGGACTCTGACTGGACATGATTCTGGTTGTCATGGTAACGTCTACACTAAGTGGTTCTCTACGCATGCGTGTCATTTTGGATCAGATTACTTGTAGTGTGCATGTAAATGGAGATTTTCCATCAGATTGAGTATTGAGTTTCCATCAGATTGAGTATTCAGATTGAGTTGAGTAGAGTGAGCACAAACACCTCAGTCTTAGTCTAAAACTGGAATGTATTCAATCGGATTGGCAACAATCTTTGCATGTAAACACAGCCAGTTTGACAGTATTTACAGTTTGTACTGATTTTTTTGCGATTTTGTCCACCATTGCTCTCTCACTACAATACCCAGCATGCACTAAATAAAAAAGTCACACAGCTGTGATAGAGAAATTGTGACTGCTAGCATCTCCATTGATGTAGAGGCTAATAAATGTGGACGTGATGCTGGGTTTCCTAGCAGAAACGTTAGCTATACTATATTGCCAAAAGTATTCGCTCGTCTGCCTTCACACGCATATGAGCTTGAGTGACATCCCGCTCTTAATCCATAGGGTTTAATAAGATGTCGGCCCACCCTTTGCAGCTACAACAGCTTCAACTCTTCTGGGAAGGCTTTCCACAAGGTTTAGGACTGTGTTCATGGGAGTTTTTGACCATTCTTCCAGAAGCGCATTTGTGAGGTCAGATACTGATGTTGGACGAGAAGGCCTGGCTCGCAGTCTCCGCTCTAATTCATCCCAGAGGTGTTCTATCGGGTCAGGCCAGTCAAGTTCTTCCACACCAAACTCGCTCATCCATGTCTTTATGGACCTTGCTTTGTGAACTGGTGCGCAGTCATGTTGGAACAGGAAGGGGCCGTCCCCAAACTGTTCCCACAAAGTAGGGAACATGAAATTGTCCAAAATCTCTTGGTGCTGAAGAAATAAGAGTTCCTTTCACTGGAACTAAGGGTCCGAGCCCAACTCCTGAAAAACAACCCCACACCATAATCCCCCCTCCACCAAACTTTACACTTGGCACAATGCAGTCAGACAAGTACCGTTCTCCTGGCAACCGCCAAACCCAGACTCGTCCATCTGATTGCCAGACGGAGAAGCGTGATTCGTCACTCCAGAGAACACATCTCCACTGCTCTAGAGTCCAGTGGCGGCGCTTTACACCACTGCATTCGATGCTTTGCATTGCGCTTGGTGATGTAAGGCTTGGATGCAGCTGCTCGGCCATGGAAACCCATTCCGTGAAGCTCTCTACGCTGTTCTTGAGCTGATCTGAAGGCCACATGGAGTTTGGAGGTCTGTAGCGATTGACTCTGCAGAAAGTTGGCGACCTCTGCGCACTATGCACCTCAGCATCCGCTGACCCCGCTCTGTCATTTTACGTGGCCGAGTTGCTGTCGTTCCCAATGACTTCCACTTTGTTATAATTCTACAGCTGAGTGTGGAATATTTAAAAGCGAGGAAATTTCACGACTGGACTTGTTGCACAGGTGGCATCCTATCACAGTACCACGCTGGAGTTCACTGAGCTCCTGAGAGCGACCCATTCTTTCACTAATGTTTGTAGAAGCAGTCTGCAGGCCTAGGTGCTTGGTTTTATACACCTGTGGTCATGGAAGTGATTGGAACACCTGAATTCAATGATTTGGATGGGTGAGTGAATACTTTTGGCAATATAGTTATCTGGCTTCCTTCTATTTTAGTAAGCCAGGGGGAAAAAATCAAACAGCCTGCGCTCAAATATATCCACCCAAAAGTGCTTGCAGCTTTACAAAAGTTCCTCCTACCTTCAAGACGCATCATGAAAAGGGGTTTAATAGTCTAAAGTGGAGTATTTCACTCTACAGACTCCTGTGGCGCCACTGAATGATGTTAGCAGGCATTTTTACATCACTTGTAGCAATAGTTAATTGTTTTTTTTATTTTGGAGTGTCTCTTTGGAAGCTTTCTAGAACCATATGTCCACCACTTAGGAACCTTTATTTTAACAAGTGTATATGGTCCATCAGATTCTGGATGCAAATTCAAGTGCAGGAAGTCTTAGTGGCTTGTTTGCGTAATGAAATGGACCCGGCCTAATGGACTAAGCTTGTCGCTGTGCACTTTAGCCAGCCAGTGCCACATAGAATCCTCACTGCAGTTGAAAGCATTCCTGTTTGGACTTTATTTATGGCTCAGCCCTGCGAGGGTATGAATATTTCACTGGTCATTAAATATTACCGTGATATTGATCATGCCCCCTTTTTTTGACCGCCTGCTGTATGGCAGAAATAAATCAAGCACTCCTTTGCCATTAACTATAGCAGTGCTGTAGCTACTGCTCGCAATCTAATTGAGGCCGATTAGAGGGGCTGTGAATCAGAGGCTGACACACATGTGGCCCGGCTATCTTCAGAGCGCACATAAAGGGAAAGTAGAGTGACATGCCACGAGGAGATGCATGAGGATAGTCTCTGGAGATAATGGCTCTTACTGCTTTTGGGCGGTTCATGTGAAGAGCAGGGCAACGTAATGGATAATCATTAGGGTTCAGGGCCCGTCAGCTTTGAGGTCTCCACACAGAGAAGTCCTCAAAACCTGAACAAAGATGTAATATGAATTTATACCTAGAATATAAATATCATGATTACTTGATTAAACTCAATTACCTGATTTAGACAATCATTGATTGAAATGTACCTTCTCAATGATTTGCGCTGAGTAGTTGGCAGTTTGCATGACATTATACATTAAATCCTCCTACTGATCTCTTTTATAGTTTTTTATTTTATTTTATTATATATACCATCATCACTGTAATATTTTATCTGACAAGTTTTCATCAACATTAACACACAAAGGTATTAAGAGGGGATGGTGGAGATTGTGTCTGCAGAGTCTGGGGTTTTAAAACACTGTTAGAAAAAAAAATGAACAAGTCAAAGCACCGTTTTCATTGTAAATATTTGCAACGTCATTATGTTGGTTATAGTGAGCTATGCTGCCTGTCACTGCACAAAACGATAGAAACAGACAGTTAAAACAGAAGTTAAGACAGTTCTGGGGTTTATCTTAAAGTTAGGACAGTATTTAGGAAATGTTGTGTAGTTAGGATGTTTCTGTAATACTGTTTTCTTATCTGGAGTTAATGATAAGATTATGAACTTAGGAACTGTTGTTCTGTAATAGTTTCTGTCCTAAATTCAGTCCTAACTGAAGTAAACAGATAAGATTTTAGACTTAAGACGTTCCTGTAATACGGCCCCTGGTTCCCATCACCACTACTATGTGGGTTCCTCTAGAATGGCTCATTTGACATCAATCCACTCTGAATGACTTTGTTTACATCTAAATAGTTTAAGTATGCAGAAATTTTGAAAAATCTGTGGAATTCCCCTTTAATCATCAAAATAATCAGCCTATTACTCCATTATTTATATGATCAGGAGTGACAGCCCCACAACAGCTAAGTGTAAGTCTTCTCAGTGATTTCTTTTTTAGGCATTCTTAACAGCTAGCATTTACAGTAATAAAAACTTATGTGTTATTTAAACAAAGAAGCCTACCATTTCAGGAAAAGAAGAGAGCCCATCGTTTGTAGATGACAGAGGCCACAGGGTCGACTGTTCCCTGATCCAGTCGTCCGTGCGCGGGTTGCGGGGTCTGTGGCGGGGGCTGGGGGTGGGAGAATGTGAGCTGCAGGCTCTGGGCAGAGTGTGAGCGCCTGAGGCAGAGCGGCCGGGTGAGACGCTGGCAGGGAAAGCGGTGGGCCAGATGGTCCTGTCTTGACTTAGAAGCGTGCGGACAGCCTCCCGCTTCAGCTGGCTCAGGTGAGCGGAGCAGACGTCACAGCGGCCCCCAAGACCGCTCCAGGCAGGACCCTGCACACTCTCATACAGGAGCAGGGAGAGTTTGGGGTCCTGAGGAAAGAGAGAAAAGAGGTCAGTCACAGTAAAATATCCTTGAAGTATTATTCACAACAGTGTAATATCTACACTGAGTTTAAAAAGCATCTACACTCTCAGAAATACAGGCATAAAACTGTCACCGGGCCAGCTCCCCTCTTGTCACTGGGGTGGGACCCTCAAGGGTCCATCTCAGTACCTTTAGTCAGAGAACATAACTGTACCATAATCCATTGAAATTATATTTTCTAAGTTGTACTGACTCCACACACCCCGTCTCGCCTCCAGGCTTTTTATATTACTGTTCTGTTTTAAAACATTCGGTTATGAAAAGGTACAAATACGAACTTTTCACCTGGACAAACTTATTTAAGGTTCACAATCAGACCTTAAAACCACTGTTGTACCTTTGAGGGAACATTTACACTGTTTGTACCTTAATGAACGAAAAATGTACCTGAACAGAACCTTTATTTCTTACAGTGTACTGCCTTGTTATTTTAGAACACGTATCATTGCTGACATAAGAAAACCTTTTTATCCAGGAAAAGGAAAAAAAATAGCAACTATTAATGTAACTCAAAAGGCTTTTGCTTTTCAAAATATCCATTCAACAAAAAATGTTAACATAATAAAAAGAGCAGCTGGCATTTTTAAAGGGCACACATCCTCTCTTTTATTGCATAAATTGTTTATGTTGACCATTTTCAGCCTGTCTTTATCCCTTAGAATTAAACATGCTGTTTTTGTTACTGTTTCTTTAAAACTGAGCCCTTCCAATAGAAAAAAAACATATAATAACCATTCCACCCTTTTCGGATTATGAGTTATTTTGTTTTCTATTTAATTTGTACAAGCTTTTACATTAAAAAGCCAAACTATGCTTTATTTACGCTTTATTGACTGTTTTATTTTAAATGCAGGGCATCAAATAATGTCATACCAAGCTTATACACTGATCAGGCGTAACATTATGACCACCTCCTTGTTTCTACGCTCATTGTCCATTTTATCAGCTCCACTTACTATATAGGTGCACTTTGTAGTTCTACAGTTACAGACTGTAGTCCATCTGTTTCTCTGCATACTTTGTTAGCCCCCTTTTACCCTGTTCTTCAGTGGTCAGGACCCCCATGGACCCTCACAGAGCAGGTACTATTTGGGTGGTGGATCATTCTCAGCACTGCAGTAACACTGACGTGGTGGTGGTGTGTTAGTGTGTGTTGTGCTGGTACGAGTGGATCAGACACAGCAGTGCTGCTGGAGTTCTTGATTTTTACCAAAAATGCCACATGTACTGTTTTTCTGGGCTCAGCTAATACATGTTAGTTTATACGTTTGCCAGTGTGGTGTAGTTTGAATGAATGGTATAAAGATTGGTCTTTAGTGACCTGCATGCAAAGTCATATCCTTGTACAAATATGATAAATGTATGTCAGAATACATTACTTTGTATACAGTGCAATGCAAAGGACACAGAGTCCAGACGTCTAAAAGTAACGTTATCGGTATGACCACACAGGCTACTATGTGATCCACTAACCTATTTTCTGTATTAAATATGGACATCAGTAGGCCACTGCCCACAAATGCATTTTTCTCTTTTAAATAACATTACATTTTCATTTTCCTCTCCGAAGGAAACTGGGTTTTCATATTCCACCCATTATCTTCCATCTCATGTAATGGGAGTTGGAGAGGAGACATGTGAGCCACGCTTTTCTTACAGAGGCTAATCGATTTAAACTCGTTTCAGAGAGAGAGAGAAAAAAGCCTCGCTTATGCATGTAATGGGTATCTGAGACAGCAGACTGGCTCATGGGTGGAATGTGTAGCCTATGTGTCCAGTGTCATTAGAATGCATCACTGTGAGGAGCTGTGACTTCAATGCAGAGATGCATGTTAGGACGTATATGAGCCCTAAAGGTGTGTAATGTCGCTGCCTGAACAAAAACTTCTGTCTCCATTTTTGTTTTAAATTTGAATCAATTTAATTTATGAAATTGAAGGAACATCTGCTCAGTCTGTTTCTGGCTTTTTTGCACTTTGCTTCATGAAATAAATCAAGCACTTGTTTGCAAGACTTTGCAAGAGTGGATCAGACTGCTGTGTCTGATCCACTCACACCAGCACAACACACACTAACACACCACCACCACGTCAGTGTTACTGCAGTGCTGAGAATGATCCACCACCCAAATAGTACCTGCTCTGTGAGGGTCCATGGGGGTCCTGACCACTGAAGAACAGGGTAAAAGGGGGCTAACAAAGTATGCAGAGAAACAGATGGACTACAGTCTGTAACTGTAGAACTACAAAGTGCACCTATATAGTAAGTGGAGCTGATAAAACGGATAATGAGTGTAGAAATAAGGAGGTGGTCATAATGTTATGCCTGATCGGTGTATAACTGACACATCAGAGTGCTGATGAACATCGTCACTCTGCTCTCTCAGTCTGGCAGAACTTTATGCAAATTAACTGAGTGGTGACCAATCAGACTGTCAATATGTGGTGCAGTAACCGATTATCTCGCCCTCAGTCACGCACCGAGATTGAACACAGCAAAGCACACCGAGCAGCAGATACAACGGTTAATAAAAACATCATTACATCAGCTGATTTTTAAAAGTTTAAAAACAGTATTAGGCTGCTTTGGGGTTCAGAACTGGCCTCTATCTCTGCGTACACCTTTACTCTTTGCACCTGTGTGTGCTTTAACAATGCGCCCCCAAAGAGGCCATCAACTTACACAGCGCACGGCTACTGCAGACTTTTAAAACATATAAATAACAATAGAAAAATACAAACTCCACTCTAAAACAAGGACACATGGCTCTCTACTAGGCTCATATTATTAAACACCACACCTCTGTATTACTATCGTTGTTTTGGCAGGTGCAATTCTGAAATCAGCCACCCCCACTTCCTGCATCCCTGGGGTACTGCGTTAGGGAGTGTGAGCTGCCGTCATCCAGGTTTGGGCCCTGATTCATAAGCCCCGGTGGGATTCTGTAGTGGCTACAGCTGTGCTAGAGGTTTGAAGAGCATGTGTCCTCCTCCCTCTAGAAATAGGAGAGATTTTCCCTCTTGTATTCTGGCTGCTGTGTCAGTTCTAAATAAAGCGTTGTTATTGGCACAAATGTCGAGTTGTTTAAGCTTCTTCTGTGTACCCGCCCACACACACACACACACACTACAATACAATAAAGTATATGGATATAGTAATGTACTACCTTAGAGGTCTAATCTGTAATGTGCAGTATTTTCACTGCCTTCTTTTCTTTATTATTAATTAGCATCTTTGCAATTTTTTTTGTTTACACTTTATTAAAGGGCCCATAATCTACATTTGTCTTTTTTTTCCCTCCTGGGATCCACTTACGAGATTTGTGTGGTTTTATGTGCCAAAGACATACATACATACATACATCATCTAAACCACTTATCCTTCTGGGTCGCGGTGGGGTGCTGGAGCCTATCCCAGCTGTCATTGGGCGGAAGGCAGGATACACCCTGGACAGGTTGCCAATCCATCGCAGGGCAGTGTGCCAAAGACAGTTGTAACTGATTTTATATGAGTGTTTAGAATCTCTCTTTATCCCTTAGAATTAAACAGGCTGCTGCTGTTGTAGCGCCTTTACAGCTGATCTGTTCTGATTGGCTGCCCTGTACTGTGTCTCACTGACAGGCAAGGCGAGTTTATTTATATAGCATCTTCTAAGCCACTTATCCTCCTGGGTCGGCGCGGGGGTGGCTGGAGCCTATTCTAGCAGTCATTGGGTGGAAGGCAGGATACACCCTGGACAGGTCACCAGTTCATCGCAGGGCAGACAGACAGACATACACATTCACACACACACTCACACCTAGGGGCAATTTAGCATCTCCAGTTAGCCTGACTGCATGTCTTTGGACTGTGGGAGGAAACCAGAGCACCCGGAGGAAACCCACACAGACACGGGGAGAAGATACCAACTCCACACAGAAAGGACCCTGGTCGCCCGGCCGGGCAATCGAACCCAGGCCATTCTTGCTGTGAGGCAAAACATAATTAAAACAATACATTTAAAAGAGAAAATCATTCAATTAAAAATCAAATTGGAAATTAAATTAGGATAGTTAAATTGATTGATTTGTTTGAAAAAGCAGTCTGGGGCTGGAACACACTCTTTCAGTGTGTCCCAATTCAGGGGCTGCATCCTTCAAAGGATGTGGTCTACAAAGGCGTGTCCTTTAAAGGCTGCTTGGACCAGCGAAGGCTGAACCGAAATGAGGTGGTCTGCTCTACGGCGGATGTTCTGTTTGCGCCACAGCACCGCTGTTCCCGCCCTTACCGCCGCATCACGAAATGCCGCTCCTGTCAAGTTCTTTGTAAGTTCCTTAAAGACGGAGCCACAAACTTTGATTTTTGATTTATTTTTTTCATTTATTAGAGCTGGAGATGCACCGCCAGCTGCTGATGAGATGTTTTTTTTTTTTACACTTGTATCGTTAGCTATTCGCCTCAGTTTAAACCCAATACTTATATTTAAAAGTGTCTCTTCAGCTGCCGTTCGCTTCTCTGTTGATGCCGCCATGTTCTCGAATCCTCACCGGCACACAATGAACCTCGGGATATGTTAGCTGGCGAAGGATCCACCCGTTGAATCCTTCGTTGCCATGGAAAAGAAGGACATTTCTCGGCCGCATATGAAGGAGGCTTCAAAATGGGACAGGCTAGTTGTGCCACTGTGATGCAATCGGCCTTCAAATGCAGCCTCCGAAGGATGCAGACCCTGAATTGGGACACAGCTTTTATATCTTCAGTGTGAGTGGGCGGGACTAAACTGCCGTAGGCCGAACAGGTGGATATATGTAAATGTGCTGATTTTTGTGACATCACATCCAGCTGTTTTTGCAGCTTAGTTTCCAAACATGGACTGTATGGACTGGGAAGTTTATGGAACACTTTTAAAATGTTGTTTAAATGCTCTTTCATTTCAAGAAAGAAAAAAAAAGTTTTCCAAGTTTTCCAGAATATGGGCCCTTTAACAACATGTGTCTTGTACTTCCACTCTCTGTCCACTTTATGACATTCATCTACTTTATACACCGATCAGGCATAACATTATGACCTTATTTCTACGCTCATTGTCCATTTTATCAGCTCCACTTACTATATAGGTGCACTTTGTAGTTCTACAGTTACAGACTGTAGTCCATCTGTTTCTCTGCATACTTTGTTAGCCCCCTTTTACCCTGTTCTTCAGTGGTCAGGACCCCCATGGACCCTCGCAGAGCAGGTACTATTTGGGTGGTGGATCATTCTCAGCACTGCAGTAACACTGATATGGTGGTGGTGTGTTAGTGTGTGTTGTGCTGGTACGAGTGGATCAGACACAGCAGTGCTGCTGGAGTTTTTAAACACTGTCCACTCACTGTCCACTGTAACTGTAGAACTACAAAGTACACCTATATAGTAAGTGGAGCTGATAAAATGGGCAATGAGTATAGAAACAAGGAGGTGGTCATAATGTTATGCCTGATCGGTGTATGTCCACTATTTAGACGCAGTTATAGACTGTAGCCCATCTGTTATCACACCCAGTTTGTCAGCCCCCCTCATTCTCATTCATCATGGGTCAGTTTCTGACCACGTGACCTCTGTTGACCAGATATTATTTGGGCGGTGGACCCTTCAGCGCAGCAGTGAGGCTCACGTGGTAGTGTGTGTGGCAATGTTAGGTTTCCATTACTCCAAGCTGCTCCAAGAGCTTGTGGTCAGAAACTGACCAGTAATGAAAGGCCAGAGCATGGAATACTAACTGTGCATCAACAGAGGAGCCACAGTCTCTGCAGGGGTGGAGCTACAAGGTAGGTGTTTCTAACAAAGTGGCCAGTGGAATAAAACAGGATGAGGAGTGAAGGTGGGGCTCTTACGCTGCTATTGAAGTGTCCGGTGGTGAGGAGCCTCTGCGCCTCCTCCATCAGCACCTCCACACGAGACACGCACTCCTCACACAGCCGGCCGCTGTCCAGTGAGCTCCAGCTCTCCGCTCTGCCCTCTACGGGCTCAGTGGACACTCTGCCTCCGCGCGCGCGCGCACGAAGCCGGGGCGAGCAGTCCGCGCCGCCGCGAGGAGCAGCATGGGAGCCGCTGGAGGCACACGCGCCTGCGCCATCGGGAGGCGGCCGATGCGCGCGCGGTACGCTGCTGGAGCGCGAGGCAAGTTTAGCGCGGGGCGCGTGCGCGAGCTGGACACAGAACGGGACAGCACACCGTGATCGGACCGGTGTGAAAACACACTTAATGTTCCTTTATAATGCAATAACTACATATTTCAATGCAATTCAACAAAGAAACAGGCCTACAAGCAGTTAGTTGCAGTTAGTTGCAGTTAACACTGCTCGATTATGATGCAAAAACTCGAATAAAACAACTAAATGTAATTCCACAAAGAAGTAAACATGCAATATGCCAACTTAAAACAATAAACTGAATGCAATACTTAAAGAAATGCAATGCATACCTGAGAAAAAGTGAAAGTGGGGCACTAAAACATCAGTGCAGTATCTAAAGAAGCACATTCTAAATTATTGAATAAAGAAATTTACATGCATTATTCAATGATGCTGAATGTAAATGCAATCCACAAAGAAACAAACGGAAACAAGCCTAAAAGCAATTAACATTTCCAGTTAGCATTGTTCATGAGTAACGCAAAAACTCGAATAACACAACTCAACATCACTCCACAAAGAAACCCAAATGCAGCATGCCTACTTAAAATGCCTAGATCATAACTCAAGACAACGCTTAAAGAAATGCATGCAGAAAAATAAGAATAAGTGAAAATGGAGCACTAAGGCTGGGCTAAAAAACATTAATGCAATGCATAAAAGAGTCTAAAAGCAATGCATGAATAAATCTCAATACAATGCCTAAAGGAGCCTCAATGCAATGCACAAAGAAATCTAAATACAATGCATAAATAAGTCTAAATGTACTGCATAAAGAAATCTAAAAAGTAAAAATGGGGCACTAAGGCTGATCTAAAACATAAATGCAATGCATAAAGGAGTCTAAATGCAGTTCTTAAAGAAAGAAAACAAAACGCAATCAGTAAAATTTACATGCAATATCTAAAGGCGCCCATTCTAAACTAATCATTAAAGCAGCTTCAATATAGCTTAATATCTACTGCTGCCTACTGTAAATGCCGTTCCTACAGCTGCCTGTTTTAAAAGCTATCCATTAAACTCATACTCACATATCCTTGGCTCCTGGCCACCTCTGAAGACCCCATCATCTATAAAAAGATTTTTCTTTGAGCTATCATTCCAGTTTACAGTCCGAGTTCAAGGTTCCTCTAAAATCCGACTCCAGAGTGGGAGGTTGTGGACAAGGACGAGCTGCAGAAGGACGCGCTCTCAGCTCTCAGGGTGCGGGATCCGCTCACTGTACGCTGTCATTCCCCTCATCCAACCTGGCGTTGAGAGTCTGGGTAGAATAAAGAGCAGAATATAGAGGAATAAAAGCCCCCCGGAGGAAGTTCTCACTCAAACAGCGGCTCCACCTCTGCAGTCCTCGGATCAGCTCTGCTCAGGGTTTATCTGAACTACAGCGAGGATTAAATCATTAAAGCAACAGTTTCCTCCTGGCAGCAGCCTGAGCGTGTTTTTCAGCCGTACAGTGGGGAGCCTCCCTCTTATTGTCAGGAGTCCAAGCCTGGAGATGGCCAACTGTTGTGGTTACCGCATGGTGGCGAACAGCGCGCGGGCACAGCGCCCCCTGCCGAGCAGGACACGCGACACAGCGAGGCTGTGTGCAGCAAGTTTGTGCTCGTAAGTCAGTTCTACTTAAATCATGTGTATTAACAGGGAGTTTGGCTTATTTGCTGAAGTAACAGCCTCTACTCTTCTGGGAGAGCTTCACAGTGGATGCTGGAACATTGCTGTGAGGATTTGATTGCATTCAGCCACATGTGCATTAGGCCTCACTGTAAAAGGTGAAGCAGGGCAGACTTGATGGTTTGAAGTGAAGTAAAATATTATTGTTTACCTACTGAAAGTTTGCTTTCAGGGCCCATATCCTACATTTTACTGTTTTATCTTTTACCCCGCTTCTTACATTATTATTATTATTATTATTATTATTATTATTATTATTCTTTTCTGGCTGGCTGTCCTGCACTGCGCCTCATTCAACAGTACACTGTAGACCCTGATCTACCCAAACTATTTAAGGTAAGTCAGTGCCTCGGATGAATTAAGTTTTGAAACTCAGTTTAAGTAGTTTGAAATTATACAGTTTAATCCATGTTTAATTTCACTCAAACGCCTAAGTTTGACAAAGTGTAACTACACATCACACAAACTTTACTGTTGCTAAAGTTTTCAAGCTGAAGTAACAAATATACTGTTGAATTTATTGATTGTCATGTCATTGACCTAATGTTAATGATCACAAGCTGAAGCAAACTCTTCAAAAAGTTCTTCAGAGTTACATACGCTTCTGCCAACTTAGACGTGCTGACTCAGCAGCAATTTAAGTTGTTTGTTACAACCAAACTGACATATATACATATATATATATATATATATATATATATATATATATATATATATACACATATACATATACAGCGTGTCCCAAAAAAACTGACATCATTTGAGATGTGAATATCTGAGTAACTACATGTTCTGGGCAAATGAAATTAAATAGGCTTCATGTTGAACAATACCAGATTTATTTATCAAAATTAAAACAAGAAATTCAGAGGGATGTAGATTTTATAACCGATTTCACAGCTTCACAAATGTAATATCTTCCAGTACTGGTGGTCGTCCAGATCCCTTTGTCCTGCACAGACAGCCTTCCTCTTTGAATTTTTTGTGCCATGTCCAAATCTGCTTTCCAGTTGGTGCATTTTTATTGAATTTTCTCGAAAATGCGCGCTGCACACTCTTGTTCGACTGTGTTTGAGCATATTCTAACACACAAAATGCCTTTTCAAACTTTAAAAATTAAACATGGTTAGTTTTTACAAATGTTTGTTAAAATTTGAGATCATCTGAGGGAGAACTGGCTATGTTATTAGACTATGAAATGATGTATATGTATATATATATAGTCAGTTTGGTGATATGTAAATGCATGTATTTTGTGACATCATAAGAACATATCCTTAAAATGCTTTTGAGGTATGAACTGGTATAAAATATTCCTTTTGTTCCTATAAATTAACTAATTCAAAGTATTTTTATAGTGTGTGCTCATGTGCAGCTGTCCTAAAGCATCTTAATTCTATTATCTTTATATGGAGATTAAACAAACTGTGTGTGCACAACAGTCTGGATAGTTTTAAACATATAATAAACATATAAAGTAGGTTGTTAATCTCACACAAACTGTTGTAACTGAAAAGAGGATTAAATAGTCTGTTACCACATTGGCAGAACTAACGGTGGAGTTTTCATTATTTCATTATTGGTTGGTGAACAATAAGGAACTTCAAGAAAACAGACCTAATAATGCAGAGTTTGTAGAACTCCAAGTATTCTAAATAAACTGTCAGAATACTACATACCTGGAAAAATACCTGGAAGATACTACAAATACCATTTGCTTATTGTATGTATACATAAATCAGAACAAATAAGTTTTCATAAGGGGGCTATTTTGCCTTACAACACCCTCCATGTACCTCTCCACCATAAATGGATTGAAAATAAATAGATTATATTTTAACAAAAATGATCATAAAACAATGTTTTAAAGGTCAGACTGAGTATTCATAACCATTTCATGTAACAACAATTCTGACTTGATAAGTTTCTCTAGAATACAGCATTTCACACCAAACCATTTACATTTCAACCATTTAATGATTGAGAATTTTTGAAAAATCGGTGGAGTTCTCCTTCAAGTCACCCTCCATACTCACTGAAATCTTCAAAAATAAAGATAAAGGTAAAGATCCAGTCACGTTCATTGTAAATTGAGCGTCCCAAATACACACTAGTTAAAGGGAATCTCCACAGATTTTTCAAAAATTCTGCATAATTAAATGGTTAAGATGTAAACAAAGTCATTCAGAGTCGTTTGGTGCAAAATACTTTATTCTAGATAAACTTTGTAAGTCTTAGTAAGAATTGTTCACAGAGGTGGTGATAGGAACCAGACGTCTGAAGAGTTTAAGGCCTCTAAAAGCTCCATCACATTAAATGGTTATGAATGCTCAGCCTGATGTCTGAGACATTGTTTTACAGTAGTTTTGAGATACGTTTTAGGCTAAAAAGTATATATATATATATATATATATATATATATATATATATATATATATATAGACCATTCCAAATGCAGCTTAGGGTGGATTCAGGTAAAAAAAAAAAACCTGCTTGTCTGTTGCAGTTTGATCTGAAGATCTGAAGCTCAGTAGTGTAGCCTGTTCTTTATAAACGAGTGAAAGGAACTACTATAAATAGACTAATTAAATTACAGAAGTAATTTTAGTGGGAAATCGAATAACAGATTAAAAAATGGCTTTGCTATTCATGGTCTATGACATACATGTCCTTAGGGACGGATCGCTGACTGTGCCAGTGGAGCCAGTGACCAGGGACCTCAGATTGCAAGATTTCAAGTTCAAGTACTTGGCACAATACACAACAGACGTAAATATTAGATAGGCCTTGAATTTGTACACAGGAATAAAGAAATGCAATAAATGTCTGTTTTCACGATTTACGTTACTATTGAGTTGTGAGATTTTGTTGTTCCGATTTAGAGGAGATATATTAGACAATTTGTCTAACAGTGATGTTAGTGTTTACCCTTCCTTTTGTGTAGTACTGCTAGCTTTTAAACACTCACTGTCCACCCTATTAGACACTCCTACCTTGTCAGTCCACCTTGTAGATGTAATGTCAGAGACGGTAGCTCATCTGCTGCTGCACTGTTGGTCATCCTCTAGTTCTTCATCAGTGGCCACAGGACACTGCCCACAGGACGCTGCCCACAGGACGCTGCCCACAGGACGCTCTTGGCT